AGGGTGCAGGATGAGAACTGCCCCGGACTGGGATATTTCAACCTCCCCTGCTGAGGCTGGACCAAGAAGTGGCCAGGAGCCCTTCCACAAAGCCCCCTGGCTTCTGTGATGGGATGGTGGGTTGGGGCGGTGGTTCTCCCTCCGTGGGGAGAGCCTCAACCCAGGGATGCCCTCACAGCCCAAGGAACCTTAAATGTCTGAAACACTTCCCCTGAGAGTTCCAGACACCAGGCTGTGCAAAACACGGAAGCTCAAACGCAAAGATGATCCGCAAACTTTACAAAAGATGATCAGAGTCAAGGTAAGTCACGGGTGCCTCTGACTCCTCCGGTGAATCCCTGGGCAGCTCCTCCACCGGGGAGGGTTCTGGGCACTCAGGCAGCAGTGAACACAGCAGACTAAAATCGGCTTCAGGCTGCTTCATTGTGACACTCGCATACTCAGCAGGGGGAGACACTGGACAGAAATAACACCAGGCACTTGCACAAGTTTGTGGGAGAATGGAATGAAAGGCTAGGGATAGGGAAGGGTAAAATGACGGTGGGGAAGTCGGGAGCAGGGGATAGCCGCCGTGCATACTGTAGGCAGGCCAGGGAAGGCCTTAGAGGGTGACATTTGAGAGGAGATCTAAGGACAGCCAGTGGGGAAGAGGAGCACAGCTGGGTCACATGTTCCCAGGCAGAGGGCACAGCCAGGGCAGAGGTGTGGCCAGAAGCAGAGCTAGTGGGATGCATAACCCCATGGTGGTGGTGGAGTAGTTAAGCAGGGAGTGAGAGGATCAGCTGGCTGTCCCGCTGGGCTGAGAATGAATGAATGCAGGAAGGCAAAGGCTGGAGGGCAAAAATTACAGCACTCAATCCTCAAATTACAGGTGAGAGTGGCCCTGGGATCTCACTCAGAATATCCCAGCAGATTGAGAGTCTGGGCAGCCGTGTCCTCATTTAAAGTGGAAAGATGGAAAGCAAGGGAATGCATCCCCAAAAAAGCAGGCAGGTGGGCAAGGCGGCTTGCAAAACCCCCTGAAAGCCCAGTTGGCGGATGGAGCAAAGCCCCGAGAAGGGCATCTAGGAGGAAGCACTGTATCAAGCATGACACGTCACTCCTACTGAATTAGCAACAATATAAAGGAATAGGCTTGCTAGAAATTCAGTTACAGATCTCTACACAAAAGCCAGCTTTTGCGCCCAGCCTAGAAAGTTCTCTTGAAAAGGGTAGTTACCTCATTTTTGTATTACTTGGCAAGCCTAGCTGAATATGTAGCAGCATGAACACAAAATGGCTACAAGGAAAGAAGACATCTAGTTTTCATGAATTTGAACTTGAACAACAAGCACACTTGATAGGATTTCATGGTAGAATCGGTGCCCTTATGGGATGCTGGTGTCACAGGCTTTGAGGATTAGTCTACTATGCTACCACATTGGCCCAACAGGTTGCCTTTCTTCAAACTGTGCCATTCCCTGTGTTCCCATGCGGCTATTCAACGTCCCATTGCCATTATTGAGCAGAAAGTGAAATCGCTGAAAGCCAAGGTTGAAGTTCTAACACTGTATTGTTCAGGTAGAGCAGGACATGGTTGTGTCCACATGAGAGTGGAACAGCTTAAGTACCCCGTGACTAGTGTCAGCTTGGGCACCAAACCGGGTTTCCAGCTTCACAAGCAGCATGATTTAGGGAAGGCGAGGTGCCTCTTCGAGCCCCTCCCCTCTTGGGTTCCAGGGTCTGTGTGATTCTGTAGGTTCTTATGAGCAACCTCAACACATGGGAAACACACAGCTTATGTTGCCTGGAGCGGTGGGGGTTTGAGCTCCCCGTAGCTGGGCGTGGCTGACGTTCCCTGCAGCAGGACAGGTGCCCTGCCCCGGCTTGCAAAGGCTCCCGGGGAGCCCAACTGAGAGCCCTGTCTTGTGGTGAGGATCATCACTGCCCAGTGAGTTGCTTGCCCACTGCCTGGGTACTTGGGGGGCACCTCAGTACAGCAGCCAGCATGGTGGAGCAGCGTGTCAAGTCTGAGAACCCGTGGAGTCCCAAAACCCGTACAGCTCACAGCATGGACATGATTTTTCCTATTGCTCCCTCTTTCTTTCCTCTTCTTTGTCTTTCTCTTCCTGCCTCCCTTTATTTATCTCTTCCTTCCTTCAAGAGTGGCAACTTTTTTTTTTTCCAATTTATTTATTTTTATTACAAAGGCAGATATACACAGAGAGAAAGATTTTCCATCTGCTTGTTCACTCAACGGCTACAACGGCTGGAGCTGAGCTGAAGCCAGGAGCTTCTTCCAGGTCTTCCACACGGTACAGGGGCCCAAGGCTTTGGGCCGTCCTCTGCTGCTTTCCCGGGCCACAGGCAGGGAGCTGGAAGGGAAGTGGAGCGGCCGGGACATGAACTGGTGCCCATATGGGATCCCAGCAGGTGCAAGGCGAGGATTTAGCCACTAGGCTCCTGAACACCATTTCATACTACTAAGATGTTGCCTCCCCTTTCCCTTGCCTTGGTATTTGCACTGATGTGCACAGGCAGTGGTGGAAAAACCATGGGAAGCTTGGCTTAACCTTGGGTAGTGGCACTGCGCTGCCAGTACCAGTCATCACATTCTGTATCGCCAAGCACTTTAGTAAAAACAAGTGTCTAGGGCCCAGCGCGGTAGCCTAGTGGTTAAGGTCCTCACCTTGAATGTCCCGGGATCCCATATGGGTGCCAGTTCTAATCCTGGCAGCCCCATTTCCCATCCAGCTCCTTGCCTGTGGGCTGGAAAAGCAGTTGAAGACGGCCCAAAGCTTTGGGACCCTGCACCCGCCTGGGAGACTGGGAGGAGGCTCCTGGCTCCTGGCTTCAGAATGGCTCTGTTCCAGCCGTTGCGGTCACTTGGGGAGTGAGTCATCGGACAGAAGATCTTCCTCTCTGTGTTCCTCCTCTCTGTATATCTGACTTTCCAATAAAAAAATAAATCTTACAAAAAAAGGTGCCTGTGTTTCTTAAGAATGTCATTGGAGAAGCAGTAAAAATGACTTTTGTTAAATTGTGACCCCTAGCAGCAGGCGACAGTGCTGGGCACTCACGGAGCAGCTGCATACTGTAGTTACTGGCTGCCTTGCCGAGGAACATTTCAATGAAGTTGGAAGCAGAACCGATTGCAACTGACTGACTGCAGTGCCACAGCAGAAACGTTCTAGAAGATTAGCACAGCGAGGCCACTGCGTCAAGGAAACCAGGACGTAGTACTTCCTGTCAGTGACAAGATTCTAATTTTTAAGTAAAAATTGCATTTATGTGGAACTATACTAATATAACTTACAATTTTTTTAAGACTGCTGATAAAAATTTGTGCATGATTTTGTGATATTATATAATGAAACATCAACCTTTGGATCCATGCACACCGTCATAGCAGTGGCAAATTCCTTATTGAATTTGAATCTGTATTTTCTCAAATGAGTAAAGCATGATGCTGTAAAGTTGTAAATAGGTAAAAGTATGTATGTAAAGTGCAAGACCTTCCAGTGGATGTTAAGGTCATGGGGTGTGAGCAGTACAGTACACTGGTATAATTTCAGATTCCATGTGATCATTTTTAGAGACTGAACCTAGGATACTTAAAAAAACAAAACAAAACTGTTACCTTTGAGCAATGATGGTCTGAGTGAGGCCGCACAGTTCCGCAGTTTCCCAACCGCACAGCCATGTGAGGCTGCATTTTTCTTCATATGCTTCAACCAGAACAAAGTTAACACTGTAGACAAAAGGCAGGAGTAGGTGGGAGAATCTGTCTCTGTAAGTCAGACATGGAAGGTTTGTACCATCACAGGAAAAGTCCATGCTTCTAAAGTTTTTTTTTGTTTGTTTAGAACAGTACTTTGAGGTAGTTTAATGTTACAATGTAATGGTTTTTTCTTGTAATTTAAAAATTAGTATCTCAACATATCTAATACAGTGATTGCTGAGGACAGCCATAAACCATATGAACATTTCAGAGTTCTTGAAATGTTTAAGGATCAAAGTGTCCAAGGATCAGCCATTTAAAGCAGTGCATTTCAGCTGCTCCCTGTCAAAACAGGAAGGACCCAAACTGGGGGCTTCTTCAGGCCCCCTACTGGGCTGGAGCTGCAGCCTCAGACTCAGTACTGACCCAGGGCTCTCCCAGACACCATGCTGTCTCTGGGTGCTGCTTTTCAAAACAGCAAATTTAAAAAGAGCTTTGCACTGGGTGGGGAAAAACAGCTCTAAAAAAAGCCCAAACGACTAAGCCGGGGCTGCTTCCTCTTTGATGCTTTAGAAGGTCTTGATGTTCCTTTGTCTTCTCTGGCTAAAGTGCAGGTATACTGCAGTGGTATTTGTAATGAGCATAATATCCTTAGGTTTGGGACTCTGCTGTTCAAGCATAAATCCAACTTAGTAGCTTTTGAAGACAGTAAAATCATCCAGATGGCATAACAAACTTACAGAACTATATTCTTTGCCCTGCTTTTCCTGGAAAGACTATTTAAAAGCAATAGGCTTATGACAAGAGAAATGAGTCGTGAGTTCTGGGACACCTGGCCTGCGCTTCAGGGGACAGGAACAGGCAGCGTGCACGTATAGGGGAGGGACTGCATGGGGAGAGACACTGGGCTTCCTTTGTGCAGCATGTGGGATGGGTTAAGGCTCAGGCCACAGGAGCCCAAACCACACACACACACACAGCTGTTTTGCTCTAGGTTGAATAAATTTGACATTCCCCTCTACTCCCCAACCCTGCTGAAGCCATCTTCCTGGCTCTACCGTCTCCGGTGCGTACTCAGCAGTCCCAGGAGTCCAGCCGATCAGGCGGGTCGGAGTGCAGAAAGCCTGGGTTTTAAGGAGAGTTCGACCTACAACTCTGAGCCATCTCTGCGAGTCTGAGAACGTGCTGCTCACGCAGATAGTCCCGAGAAAAGAACCCTGCACAGCCACGGACTTAGATCTCGGTGCTTCTGCTTTGCTTCCTTGAAGAAGTGACTGAAAAACAACTTCTGTGGGTTTTATTTTGGTGGTAAATAGTAGGTATTTATTTGAAATTAAAAAAAATACTTAAGTACCTGGACTATTGCATTTAATCATGTATTATAATTGTGTTACTCTACCTTTTTGCATCAGAGACAGATATACAATGAACATTCAGATATCACAGATTGTACACTAGAGAGCAATTCTTCAGGCCTTTTACATAACCACCAAAAACAGATATTGGGCTCTGCAGTGTAGTACAAAAGTCCACAATCAATCCAGTCTTAGCCAGTATCTTCCGTTTACTTCTGTTGCTGTACAAATAATCGGCCATTACTAGGGCTTACAAGTTAATAACAGGACAAAAAATATACATTGCACTGACACAAAAAGTCAGTTGTGTTAATTGTCATGCAACAAGTAACCAAACTTGCTGAAATTAAAAATACTTTCTAAAAACAGTTTTAACGGCATAAATATTTTATACACAGTTCATTTACCAAAACAAAATGTATTTAAATGATACAAAGCAAAAATAAGTTTCTACCAACTTTATACATTAAGAAAGTGCAAAATAACTTATCTAGAATGTTTTGCTATTATCCAGATGGACGGCTGCTCTGGGCAGCTATTGTCTGTTACGGAAGCATGACATGACAATAGCACACTACACACGAGTGTTAGAATCCGTGGATGAAGGCATGGACGGATGGGTGGACGCGCTACGGAGATCAGGCAGGAGCCCTGCGAGGTACTCTCAGAGAAAGGAGACAGACCGCACACAGATGGAGGTACATTGTGAGGATTCATGTTGGTAAACAAATTTACATGGAACACAGAAAGATATTCTGAGAAACAATTAGTTTATGTTTGTGAGTGTCCTTGCATGTGTGAATGACTCGGTGATTTCTGCATTAGAAGCCAAAACAAAAGAAACCTGACAAACAAACAAACAGTTGCCCACAGCACCAGCTGCCAGAGGAAATACTATCATGAGGGTTTTGGTTTCCACTTGTTTGTAATGGAAGTTGTGTTGGAGAGTTCAAAAGTGTTCATCCCTAGTACATACAGGAATAACCTTTGAGTAACTACATACACACATTCGCATATTCAAGTCTTTAGAGAACATCTCTTGCCATTGGGTATAAACAGGGATCATGAACAAGAGGAGGACGCTTCTATGAAAACCTGTAGAGTAACACTGCTGTCCCTCCCCTGGGGGCGGACGGGGGTGGAGCCCAGCGCTCCGTGGGAGTGGGGTGGTCTCCGCAGTGCTGACCCTCAGCAGGAGGTATCAGAATCGGAGTGGGATGGTGACTGGGGCGGGGGAGGGAGGAGAGGAAGACACAGAAAGGAAAACAGAACACAACTTCTCCTCAAGTTAAAGCATTAATGCCAATAATCCTTTTATTAACGGGTAGATTTGAACTTTTAGAAATGGAAGCATCTTCATCAATTTTGATATGTAATCATAGACTGTAGGCTCAAACCTAGGTAAAGAAAGATCTGAATTTAGTAAGCATAAGGCACTCAAGCAGCCTTTGTATGTTCCCTTGGAGACCTAGTTATCAGGAAGAACACATCTGCTCTGAAGCTGGTTTCAGCCCGTTAGGTACAAGATCGCTGTTGTACCAAATGCCTGTGCATATCTGTGCATTTTAGTGCAAAAGTGTGCCTGCCCCCGGGGGCTACGGGTGACATGCTGAGACAGCCAAAGCCGCTGTCCTGGGGGGATTCTCCTTGGGGGGGCGGTGGTGAAGGCCAGTCCTTCCTGTCTTGGGCCATGAGTGAGCCTACGTTTTTCAAACCACAGGGCTTTTAAAATTGTTCATAATATTATCACTAAGTATCTGAAAGTGTTAAAATCTAGATTAATTGTCTCATTTGCTTGTATATATATATACACACATTTATATTTATGTACATCACACACATTAAAAAAAAAAAAGTCTCACCACCAAAGCCTTTGCAACTACATTTTTCTCTGAGTCCCCACCAGCTTGAACCGCCCCCTGGATCTGTGTGTTCTGCATCCAACTGGTAGAACAAATTAAATAACTAAATATTAAAATACTGTAATTATATTCATAGCAAAACCAAAAAAATAGACATTGATACAGTATAAACCTCACTGTTTCCAGGTAGATGGCAATCAGTGTTAAGGTTAATCTTAAGCAGTTCTGACATGATCCAGTTTTACGACGAGGTCTTAAGGTTACTTCTGTACACTTACTTTTTATTCTTTTTTTCTTTGAAAATAAATTTTAGTAGAACATTAGTGTCACTAAAGGCATAATTATTACGTTGTATGCAAAAGAAGCTAGTTTTGGGGTTACATGCAAATATATCCCTGTTAGTCCCAGTGGGGCTTGTTCCTGCCTCGTATTTGTTAGTCACCCGATTGCATTTATGCAACGCTAGCCAAGCTCCATTTGGACCAAACAGCAGCCCCCCCGTGACAATTTAACAGGGGCCCTGGGTATGAAGAACAACACTGGGGTGGTGCAGAGCCAGGTGCAAGATGCCCAACTAGTGCCAGGTGGCCTTTCGGCTGGACTCTGACCCTCCCCCACCGCTGCCTGAGATTGGGGTCGCTAACCTTGCACAAGTGGACATGCTGTGGGCAACTTGAGAGAAATGATACCAGGCACACAGGCTGGATTGGAAAGAGGGAAAAATTACCACAGATAATGTCTTTAAAGATTTAAACAAAAAAGCATTTATAATTGGTAAGTGAGAGATGTCGGACAAACCATAAGTAGTTCATTGAGTTAGTGGTTTAGTTTGAATTCTCATGTTACAGGCAGTTAAGTCCTTATTTAGAAAAAAAAAAAAGGCCTTTATACTTATTTACAATATACATAGTTACTTGAAAAGAAGTCAGATTTACAACTATTTTCTAAAAGCCTTTTTTTTTTCCTTTTCTTGTCTTTTTTTTTTTTTGCCGTTGGTTTTTCCAAATAATGATGAGGAGCTAGAAAAATGAGATGCAGGGAAGGACAGCTGATAGATGAGGACTTTTCTCTTGGAGACGGCTACTGTTAGCAGGGAGAACTGGGTATGGCAAAGGTCACTCCCAGAGACCACCTCCTGCTCCGGTGCTGTTCGCCTCCAGAGCCCCGCCTGCCCGGAGCTCTCCCCCATCTTGTCTCGGTTCCCTCCGGGTGCCACACGTCAAACACGTGCCGTGAGGAGGTGTGTAGTGGGGCCTCTCCTTCAGCGCCCTCCGGGCCGTGCCAGGGGCCCTGGGCAGGGGTCTGCAGGCCGCACTCCACGGCCGGCTCGCTCTGTCCTCAACAATTCCGATGCCCGTCTTCTGACCCTCTCTCATGCTGTAGGTTATAATAACAGTTCTGGCAAACCCGCACCGGGGACGAAATTTTCAAACGTTTGATTTCAGATTGAAATCGACTGCACCTAAAAGAAAGGGGAAAAAATCAATTATGGTCCTTTCTGTGTGTTGTGCGCACACATGCGTGTGGTGAGGTTAGAAATGTTACTTTAATGAAATGGGAAACCTGCTGCATTATGGTCAAGGCCAGGAGAATGCCAAGGGCACGCGGGCTGTGTCATCAGGTCGACCAAAGACGAACAGCAACGCTCCATGACTTGTGCTTTCTGTCTATGGAGCCAGAGGGAGCCCGGCCTCCAACTGAAGGGGATTTAAACAACAACGACGCAGAGCTGAGACTGCCATGCGCGGCAGAGCTCCGTGGACTGCACGGCTGCTCCGCGCCTGTTCCAGCTGTCCCATGGCCTGTGAACTGGGGAAGCATCCTCAGTCGGAGCTTGACTTGTTTTCTTTGGGAATTCAGAAGACACAGTGCCCATTTCAAAAAACCATTCTGGCCACTACCAACTTCCTTTGTGCCTCTAAGCATTTTGGCTGGTCTGTTACTCGAATGCAGTCTGACTTTTCTTGTTTGGTCCAAAGGCTTGAAAAGGTATTCATAGTTCCTATTCCTAGAATAAAGCTGGGTGTGTCCTTGGATTGTTATGAAATCACTTTAAGTTTGGGTATCGATAAGACTGAATCTACCAGGAAAAGCGTCTGAGAATAATGAAGTGCTCTCAGCTTCAGCATTTGAAGGAGTTCCTGGAGGACATAAGGGCCCGCTGGGGGCTGTCTCCTCCAGGGCCAGTCACCAGTCTGGGTCACAGCCTATGTTAAATTCCTCATGCAACAAAGATCACATGTGCCAAACAGAGCTTTGAAACTTTTATAAGAAAACACAAAGTTGTCTTCATGATCTTAGCACAGGGAAAGAGTTTTGAAGCATAAAAAAAAGCAAAACACCAAAAATCAATAAAGAGCAATAAAGACACCAAAATTTAAACCTGAGGTAGCAGGAAAAACATTTAAATGCAAATCACAGCCTGTGATAAGGAATCTACGAGATACATAAAATATAAAATACTAAAGCCCATAATATAGAATGAATTCCTTGAGAAAAGAGTTTAAAAACAAAAAACAAAAAAACCAGGCAATGCTAAAAAGGGAAAATGGGCACAGTTACTTAAGAGGAAATCCACCACCAAGCATACCAAGAGATAAGTAACCTCATTCATACATCCAGCTGAAACAACAGAGCACTATTCCTCAGCTATCAGATTGGCACAACTGAAAAGCTTTGGCAATGCCATGTCTATGAATTTGAAGGACTTTCCTACCCCGCTGGAGGTGGCATAAACCAAACTACTATTGTAGAGGCTAATTTAAAAAAATCCAATTAACTCGCCAGTGAGTCTACATTCTATCAGTTCCACTCCGTCATCCCTACTTTGTGTGTTAGCACAATATTCATCAAGAATTACTTCTGGTATAGACAAAATAAACTCCTTCAGGGGCCATCACAAAGGAATGAAATTCTGATATGGTCACACAATAAAATACCCAACAGCAGCCAGGACAGATACGTTAGGGCACTAATGATTTCTAGGAATAGATCTGGGAAATGATGTGGCGTTAGGAACGCTGCACACGTGGCCAGCAAGTGGCACAAGAGGTGAAGTGCATGATGGCACACGTGCTTAGGTCCTTGCCACCCACACGGGAGCCACAGATGCAGTTCCCATCTCCTGGCTCGGGCCTGGCCCAGGCGTGGCTGTTGTGGCTGCTTGGGGGCATGAAGCAACAGATCTCTGTCTTTCACAGAAAAAAATAATTATGGTTCATAGAGGCAACAGATGCTTATGCAAGTGTAAAGGCCTGGAGAGGAAGAGGGTGTGACTGGACTTCAAAAGTGCACACAGCTCAGAAGCAAGTGTGACGACACGCACAGGTGCTCAGTCTCCCAGTCAGGGGTCACCAGGTGCCGCTCTGACCATTTCTGGCCACTACGCTAGACCCTTCAGTCCCCGCACTAACACAGCAACTATAGTGGGACAGCAGGGTAGGGCAGGACTCGTGTGTGAGGCCTCAGGACCCCTTGTGGTGCTCCCTCCCCGGCTGGGCCGACAGTGTGGGTTCCCGCTTACTTCTGGCAGAAGAGCTGCCCACAGTTCCTGCAGTGGTGCCGTCTTTCTGTGAGCGAAAAGCGCACAGAGCAGCCGGAGCAGCTGTCCCCGCCTTCGTCCTTCACCCAGTGGTCCGCGGCGGAACGGCCTGGCTGGTCACTCACGGACCAGCTGAACACGCGGCCTCGACTGTCGCCAACCAGTATCCTGCTGTGGTCCCTGTAGGAGACATTGTGGAGACAGTAAGCCCACAGAAGGCCTGGTGGTAGTAATGTGGGGTAGGTGGCTAAGGGTCACAAGGAGCCCCCTTGATTAACACCGGGAAAGTGTCCGGGGCTTGAGAGTCTGTGGAACACTGAAGGGGCATACATGATGACTCAAATGGCTAATCTTCAACCTTAAGGCACCGGCATCTCATCTGGGTGCCAGTTTGTGTCCCAGCTGCTCCACTTCCCACCCAGCTCCCTGCTTGTGGCTTAGAAAGCAGTGGAGGATGGCCCAAAGCCTTGGGACCCTGCATCCTCTTGGGAGATCAGGAAGAAGCTCCTGGCTCCTGGCTTCGGAGCAGCTCAGGTCCGGCCATTTGGATAGTGAAGTGGCGGATAGCTCTCTCTCTTCTCTCTGTAAATCTGCCTTTTCAATAAAAATAAGTACATCTTTAAAAAAATGCTGTATTTTTTTAGGCGTGAAAAATGTCCATGCACAGTTTTTCATAATCTTTCCAGGAACTTTTTGAAGAAATCCTCTTGCATGTATGAGACCAGAAATGAGCCCAAATGTGCATTTGTTTTTCAAATGTGCATTTTCACTTCCACTTCTTCTGGATCAAACCTTACTGTATCTGCTGGAGAACACAAGAAGGCAAATATCTGTGTTCTTTAGTTCAGAAGTCCATGGGGCACTACGAGTTAAGACTTCTGCCTGCAACATCAGCATCTAGTTTGAGCGCCGGTTCAAGTCCCAGCTGCTCCACTTCCAGCTCAGTTCTTTGACAATGCACCTGCGAAGGGCTCAAGTGCTCAGGCCTCTGGCACACCTGCAGGAGACATGAGTGGAGTTCCTGGCTCTTTGCTTCAGCCTGGCCCATCCCCAGCTGTTTACAGCCATTTAGGGAGTGAACCAGTGGATGGAAGATCTCCATCTCTTTTTTTCTCTGTAACTCTTTCAAATAAATGAATCTCAAAACAAACAAACAAAAACACCTGAATTGAAACTCCCTCCCACCCCCAACCCAGTGGCAGCTTTCTCCAGCAGATCCATCTCTTTAGGCCTAACAAGAGATTGTACAGGGCATCTGTTCTCCTAAAGACTGGGCTGGAAGTGGGCCGATAGGCAGAGGAGCAGGAAAAAGCCCGACACTCACTTGGAGATACCCAGCGCCGTGACCTCGGCCGGATGGGCGTTGTCCTTCCGGTCAAATGCCGTGTGCATGGTCAGCTTGCTCCTGAAGACCAGCTGCCGCTCCCAGCGGTACCCTGGATGCAGAAGGGGAGGATAAGAGATGCTAAATCGAGGGCACCTGCATTGGGCAGTTGTACCCTATGGCAGCAGCCTTAAAAAGCTGGTCTGCCCCAACAAACCAGAATTATGGCAGCTTTTCCAGATTTTGGTAGCTGCTGCAACTGTTCAGTGAGATGCAGAATGTCCTGTTAGAGAAGACAAGCTCAAGAGAAGAGGGAAGGCTGGTGCTGTGGTGCGGTGGGTAAAGCTGCCAGCTGTGGTGCCAGCATCCCATGTGGAAATGTTAGTTTGAGTCCTAAGTCCCAGATGGGTCGTTTTGGATCCAGCTTCCTGCCAGTATGCCTAGGAAAGCTGAGAAAGATGGCCACAGTCTCTGGCCCTTGCCACCCACATCCCACGTGGGAACCTAGATGAAGTTCCTGGTTCCAGCCCAGCCCAGACTTCACTATTGTGAACCAGTGGGTGGAAGATGTCTCTCGCTCCTCCTCCTCTGGCTTTGTGTTTCAAATAAACAAAAATCAATCTTAAAAAAAAAGGGAGAATCTTTGAGGAGGTGTATGCGATTTTTCCCACTGTGACCTTGACTTTATCATAGGCCTACAAAGAACTTGTAAAGATAGTTTTTTTTTAAGTTGGAATTAATAACATGCCTATTTTTAAAAGATTTCATGAGTTCACTATGGAATGAGTGCAATTTCTCATTTGAGGTGTTTTTTAAAAACAAAACAAAACAAACAAAAATGCCCAGCGTAATGTAAAATATCATGGTCGGATGGAATTGCTGGGTCCACGTTAGGCAAGGGACATTTAAGGTGCTGCAGCAGAGGTGGCCCGGGTCACAGCACATATCAGGGACAACTAGACACCTTCACCTTCCTCCAACCCACCAGCCCTCACGCCACCCCAAGCAGCCAGAACCAGACGACCAGACTGCAAGTTACCGGGTTTCAATCTGCTGTAATTCCGTGCTTCGATGGCATTGGGGTGGGGGTGGTTCAGGGGACCCTGCAGCAAAGCTCCGGTCTGACCCTCGGAATAGTTGACGAATATAAAGCCGTCCTTCTCATCGAGGCTGAGCTGGTCTGACCAGCGGCGGGAGTCGTCGGAGCCGCTGTCCAGGCACCAGGCGGCTGTGGCTCGGCAGGAGGCCGCCCTGGGCCTGTGGCTGGCACTGCCCGGCTGGCTGGGCATGTCTTTAGGGTCCTGGCTGCTGCTCTGCTCCTCGGCTTCTGAGTCACTGCTGTCCTCATCTTGGGCTTCCTGCCCTGAGGAAAGCATTGAGAGGATTAGAAACGCATACACATCACAGAAAATTAAAAAAAAAAGCCAGGATCTTTGGCTGGACTACAGATATTAATTTTAAAAATGGGTAGACTCTCTGGAAGACTTACTAATCTATTTTGGCCAAAATCCTTGGTTTGGTACCCAGTCTTTCGCCATCTGGCCGAGCCCTGCTTCGTGCTACTGCCATCCAGGCAGGCATGCCACTCAGCTCTGCTCCTCCCCACAGCTAGCTCTGCACGTGCGCCCGCCTTCCAGCTGCTCTCCCTCCAATGTGACCGTGTGCAAGGCCCAACGCTCAACCTCCCTTCTCTAAAATCCCTCCCAATTCTGGACTGCTTCTGGACTCCTTTGACAGTTTTTTTTTAATTTATTATTTTAATGGCAAAGTCAGATACACAGAGAGAGGAGAGACAGAGAAGGAGATCTTGTGTCTGTTGATTCATTCCCCAAGTGGCTGCAATGGCCAGAACTGCACCAATCTGAAGCCAGGAGCCCAGAGCCTCTTCCAGGTTTCCCACGTGAGTGCAGGGTGCGGGGCTGCCAGGACATGAACTGGTGCCCATATGGGATCCTAATGCATGCAAGACGAGGACTTTAGCCACTAGGCTACCATGCCAGGCATCCTTGGACAGTTCTACACCTCTCATGTCTCTCACCTCCCACCCCCAACTGCTGTCGGAACTCTTGCTACGAGGCATCAGAGAGCAGCATGGAGCATCTTAGCCTGCTGATTCACATGTCAGTGACTACAAAGATGAAAGCTCTGCTTTAGGATGCTTGGTTTCTTTCCTCTTTGCATTGCTACTGACCATTCCTCATTTCAACACCCTCCTTTCTGTCAATAAGGTCCACTGGAGAGAAAAGCGTATGATACATTTTCATGCATAAGTCATACATGTAATTGGGAAAAAGTAGAGAAAGAAATAACAATTGTGCAGGTACCAACCTACTACACAGACAGTAAACGCGAAACGGATTCTTGACACATCTATCCTGCCCCCGTCAGGAGTCCACTGGCTCACCCTGAATAGAATCGCTCAGGCCTTAAGATTGCAGCTTTAAGGGCCCCACACTAGAAGGCTTGGGGATGCCTTGATTTCCAGCAATCTTCTAGCTTTTCTTTGTTTCCACAAGCGCCCACAGCACTGCCACCTCAACACTGTGCATAATCAATCCTCTGAGGGCAGATGTCCCTCTTGGCCACATAACTCAAACTATTGCCAGGATGAATATAAGAAAACAGAAATGTCTCTTGACCCTGATTCTGACCCTTCTTCCACCTTACTTACTCATCTTATCTTCCTTCCACTGTCATCATGTAAAACCTCCACTAACGGAAGGGAAAGTAACCCACTTGCACTTGGAGTTCCTACTCCAACATCTCCAAACACTTAGAGAACTGACCTGAACTGAATGTATAAGCCGCCCAACACCCAGATGACCTTTCTGATGGGAATGCACCTGACAATGGAGAAATTTACATGTATTAACATATCAGAAGCATGGAAATGTCATGCCCATGGGATCTTTTCTATTTTCTGGTATGGAAGGTAAAGACTACTTTTAATTTGTCAACAGAAAAGATTTGTGTCTTTCTGGTAAAAAGCTTTTCCCTTAGAAATGCCCTTACATCGTGAAAGGCTTTCTCAGGGTGCCACATTCAGTCACTGGTGACAATGTGAAGGTCAAACTGAAAACCTTGCTCCTTGCTGGGGAGCCCCTGGCAGCAAGAGCTCCACATGGGAGCCAGTGTCTTGGAAGCTCAGCCACGCCAAGCAGATCTTGCCTTGGTTTTATGGAGTTGCTGCCAATGTCTCCATGCAGAGTCACCTGCCTCTGCTTCTCACTGGCAAAGTTTAAAGTGCTTCATGCACCACCAGGCTTCGGTTCCAATGAACACCCTACCGCACAAGCCAGGGGTGGGGACTGTGGGGGGGGGGGGCTCTGTGAACAGCTGGCAAACAGTGCCAGCCACAGGGTGGGCAGAACGGGGGCTGCCTGACTTCCCAGCACTACCCCCCGGATCTGCTGTCCTGCACTGTATGGCTGGGACATCAGCCTTTGGTAAGCAGGGCCTGTGTCTAGGCCGGGATGCAGATGTCCATGAGTGGTCACTACACATGGATCGCTGTCCAGTGAGTGACCTGCAGAAGCCCTGCCCGTGTGCCAAGGCATGACAAAGCAGGCAGTGACCCACGCTTCTGTGAGCCACTCTGACCATGGCCTCCTGTTCCTGTCGTTTGGTACAAGTTTACCTGTATCCCCTTAACAAAAAAACAAAAGCACCAAGGTCATCATGGGACAATTTCTTCACAGCAGGAAATACCTATTTGTGCTTCTGGACAGTCTTCCTGCATTTCCAGGACTTCCACGGGCTCCGGAGCAGGAGTTTCTGGGACTTGTAAGAATTCCATCCTCCAAAACTACATTTATGAGAATGAAAATATAAAAGAATACCAGTTAGTTGGCAACAGATGAAGGATCCTGGGATGATGCCGAGTTCTCCTCAGGGTGAAGCAGAGGCTCGCCTCTATCTATTAGGGTGCACAGCCAGGTTTCCTGGTCATCTTGCTAGGATAGCTGTTCCCAGGTGAGGGGAACAGCTTGGTCCATGGTCAGGGACCTTGGTTAGGGAAACTAAAGACAGGGTTCGACCACTGCACACATCTGCTTCCTATGAAAACCACTCGGAGCTTTGCTTGTCCGCTGCCTTCTGCGGAGCTGAAAGGCGGCATGTGGCAGGCAGGATTTCCCCACGGCTCCATGGCTTCACACATCCAGCCATCTGGAATCCGCTCTTCAAACAGCAGGCTCAGGGCATGGGGGTGGTGCCTGGATATGTGTGCACACGTGTGTGTGGGTGTGAGAGTGTGCAGAATCCCTGGGTGTGGTTGGCAGTCGGCTGCCAGCCTCACTGTTCCTAGGTATGCAACTATGGCCGGCAGGTGCTCTCTGCTTTCAGAGAGAAGGCAGGCACAAAGAAAACTCTTGAGAGAGGAGTATGGCAAATATTTGAAGAGACTACAAAAGTAAATACTCTATTGATTGTCTTTCCTGAGGAGGCTCAACACAGAGGAAAGAAAGGAAAGGTAAGGCCCAGCTGGGCTCGGGTGGCATCCCCTGGGCTCCAGTCAGGGCCTCCGGGAGCATTTACTCACTTGGATTCTGTTTCGTGGGGAAGACACTGTTCCTGCCTAGTGTATTTTCTCCAAGAGGCCATCGGACAGGCTGAAAGCCCAGTGTGAAAAAGCTTGGGCAGTGTGTATGTCTTAGCAATCCTAGTACATGGGAACCAGGTGTAAGAGGCCTTGCCTGGGTCAGCCAAGCTGTCAGCTAGTCAGCACCGTTAACAGATCGACTAGCATGGAGTACAGGGGTCCAGCCACTGACAGTGCCACCATTTCTGAAAACACAGGGGCCAAGGCTTATGTGAATCAGGCGTATACTGTGCTAAGCAACACTGCAGGCTCCAGACCACATCATTTCTTTCAGATAAATGGAGGCGTCCGATAGCCTAGACAGTGCATCTTGGGAACTCACTTACCCGAACCACGCCATCTGAGTGGCCAGTGACTATGACGTTCTGGGTGTCCCACTCATTCATCTCTGACACGCAGCAGCACACGATCTGCTGGCTCCTGCCTGTGAAGGTGTTCACGCTCACGATCGGGTTCCCATTGATGCTCCACACGTGGATGTAGGTGCCAGCGCAGGACACGATGTCCCCCTGGGGAGAGAAGAGAACGCTTTATTCTCCTTGCTCTTTGTTATTACATTCCAGTATCATCATCCAACACTTGATTTGATTACCAAAAAAAAACACACATTCTTGAACCAAGCCTTCCTTTAAAGCTTCAAAGCTGAGTGGAAGCTGTGGCCCAGGGAGTTGCAGTAGAGCTCGAGCCAGGGTCACGTGCCCAGTAGGTTGCTGGGCACATTCTGATTCCAAGCACAAGCCCTTGGCAGGGCCTGGTACGGGGATCCTGCACCCTCTGTTCCCGCTGAGCACATCAGCCACTCGCCCTTTTCCTGGCGGGCAGGGATTCACCTCCACTCACTTTTACAAAGTGAGTCTGCCCAGGAGAACCTCGGGGTGAGAGATAACTGTCTCAGACCAGTTAACGGCTTCATGTCTCTTCAACGAACTAAAAGGTGAAATTTTGATAACAACGTATTATCTTCTAATTAAATTGTTCTTCACAAGAAAGGTGGAGGAAGAAGGAAAAAGTAAACCAGTACAAGGATCATTTTTGGGGCAAATTTCCTTCTTTAAGATATAAATATATATTTAAAAGGCAGTGTGACAGATTCAGACAGAGAGGAAAGAGAGGTTGAGATCTTCCCTTTACCGGCTCACTCCCCACATAACCACAAGGCTGGGCCAGGGTGAGGCCAGGAGCAAGGAACTCCATCCTGGTCTCTCCCGGGCATGCAGAAGCCCCAACACTTGGGTCATCCTCTGCTGTTTCCTTAGGTGCATTTGCAGGGATGCCAATCAGAAGCAGAGCATCTGGGACACAAAGTGGCACCAAAGCCGACAAATCCCAAAGATCCCCTAAGTTTATGACTCTTACTTCCATGAGTTCTGAAGATAGAACAGAAAAAAGCTTCTCAAATGCTGCCAGAATTTGGGCTCCACCTGAATGTGGTAGGAATCCAGACTGAGGTATCTACTGTGTGTCTGACCCTATAGTGGACACCTTACCGGACATCCCACGTTAGCCATAGAGCAAGCAGGTGAGGCTGGGCATCAATAGCCTTGCTTTCCAGAGCATGGAAGTGGTGTAGAAAAAGCTTAAGGCATTTGCTATTAGCAGAATCAAGATGGGAATCCACCTCTCTCTAGCTGCAAAGCTTATACACCATACTACGCTTCCTCTCTCAGCGCTGAGATAACCGGAATGTCCCGATGCTGGGTTCCAGCTTAGACAGGACCCAGACACCTTCAGCACAGCCCCAAGACACCTCAGGACCTCCAGGGAGATGCAGGATGCTGTCTAAGGCAGAGTGTGAATCTGTGCCTGAGCAGCACCAATTTCAGAGAGAAGGTAGGAGGGAGGCAGGACTAGACTGGTAAGGGTGATGGGGGCAGGTGCCGCCTGTGCCAAGCTCCTAACACTTCCACTCCAAACCCTGCTCTTCTTCCACTAAATGGCACGAACTCTACCTAAACCTAATCACAAGCAATGCTTTGCAAAGTATCCATGTGTCAGGTTCTTTGCGGTCATGAGCTTCAGCAGCCATTTTAATTGGTAGCCTGAGTCTCTGCCAGAGCCAGGCAGCCTCCAGATTTTGTGCCAGGTGAGACTTTCCCCAATGGCATCAGGGCACCTCTCTCAGTGGGAATGGGAGTACAACCTATGGTGACCAGGACTAAGCTGAAGGAGGGACTCAAGGACAGCTCTGGCTTAAAATGTCAACTGAAGGAAGGAATGCTTACTGTGGCTTGGAGAGACAGCACAAGTGAGTATTTTTTCATGGATTTTTAAGATTTTACAAAAGAATTTTTCTTTTTAAATTAAAGAGCTTCTGCGGGATTTACAACTACTGCAATCCAGTGGGTGTAGCCTGGTCTATGTAAACACAGCACTGTTTCTGGAACACTGAGATTTTCATAAAGCTCTTTGGGTACCACCATGCGCAGCACCGAGCTGAGGTGGTGCTCTGAATACAAGGCACAGAATTCAAGTGACACCCAGAAACAGACTTGACTCCACCCCTGCAGGTGTCCCATTCATTCCCAACTCGGAGCACTCCTGACATTACCAATGATAGACCAAGTGCCACTCCCTGGGAAAGAAATTCTTTGTCCTTTTTTTTTTTAAAGTGACAGAAATATGCTTGACTGAAAGTGTTAACACTCAGTACCTTCTGGTTGGAATTACAGCATTCTCCAACAGGAAGGCTGTCTGCTTGGGTGAAGACACGAATGCCACTCAGTGACATGGCGGGCACTATCGTGTGTCATGAAGGGTGGCCTTGGGGCAGGAGTGTAGGTAAGATGGAAAAAGGAGTTGTAAGGAGGAAGTAAGTGGTAAGGCTGGGGTAAATTTCCGCTCATTTCAAAGGCTGATGTGCATATGGGGACATTATCAACACATACACATATGCGTGTTATCTGCACGTGTCCCTCAGACATGGGGCCTCAATCTCTGGAAACTTGTCCTTAAGCTTCCTGCTTACCAACCCACACCAGCAATGAAACCCACTTCTGTTTACTGCAGGTGGCTTAGGGGGAACTCCTAGAAAATTTTTCTTAGAGCTTTTATTTTCTTTATTTGAAAGGCAGAGTTGACATGCATTCAACGGTAGCTGACTGAAACTGCTGAGGCTGGGTCGTGCTGAGGCCAGAAGCCAGGGACTCCACTGGAGTCTCCCATGTGGGCAGAACCCAAACACCTTAGTCATCTTTGTTGCTTTCTCAGGAATACTAGAAGGGTGCTGAATCAGAAACTGAGTAGCTGGGACTTGAACTGGTGATCTGGCAGGCAGTGGCAGTGGTTTCATCTGCAGTGCCACAATACCAGAGCCACAGGCAAATATTTTATTCTGGAGCATTTTATTTATTAGTTTATAGAATGCTTATGTTTGAGAAGACATAACACTACATTAATTTTTCTTGTTATTTCTTTCACTTTACATAATAAATAACTTTCATATATTTCACTAAAAATTTCAACTAGATTTTACTATTCTTAACAAATCCTAAAATTTCCTTTCACTAACAGAAGCATTTTCTGGAATGTTTACTTTAACCCAATCTCGTTCTCTTTTAAATATGTGGCAGTGAACATACTTTAAGACCAATCTATTCTCTGCATTATAAACTTTAACATCTATTTTTGCCTTTCAAGTGACACATACATCAAGAAAAACAGGACTTCTACAAGATGAGTGCCTATCAACTTAGGAAACCCAGGGTCATTTCGGTCAGAATCGTCTGTTTTTTTCAGCATAAACTTAGTGGTCAACATCCTACTTACTGTCAGTTCATTGATACAAAGAGCAGAAACTGGAGCTCGATGGCCTCGGAGCTGGGTGAGAAACGACAGCTTGTTCAAATCCCAAATGATGCAGGTTCGATCCCGGGACCCACTGACAATGATGTGATACGCTAAGGACGCTGTGGCACAGGTCACAGTATCAGTGTGACCAAGCAGAGCCTACAAGTGGGAACAGAAACAAACAAACAAAATCAGGCAGCTCGCACTGACAAGCTTTTATGAGTGACTCCAGAAGCTAACCGACACACGGAGGAATGCGTAAGCGGGGACTTGAGCAGCCACGGTGGGGCATCTGGGAGGTAGACCCCTGTGGCTGCTGGCCTGGCCCTGCCCACGTGGCAGAGTGGACACTGCAGTTCCCTCTCTGCTTCTCCTGCACTTGAGAAAGACAGAAGGGCAACAAATTAGCTTGCGTTTCTTTAGCCCGTTTCTCTGTGTGTGGGAGGGGAAGTATTGAGCATGGGCCCCTACAACACAAGGCTTCAACTCTGCAACTGTTCTTTTATGTCACACATGCTGGCTTAGTGTATTGTAAGAGATTAGAGTTGGAAGACTTAAAAACAACAATAACAACAACAACAACAACAACAAAACACTAGCTGGGTCTGGCACGGTAGCCTAGCGGCTAAAGTGCTCTTCTTTACCCACCAGGATCCCATATGGGCGCTAGTTCTAATCCCGGGAGCCCTGCTTCCCATCCAGCTTCCTGCTTGTGGCCTGGGAAAGCAGTTGAGGACAGCCCAAGGCCTTGGGACTCTGCACCCGCGTGGGAGAGGAAGAGGCTCCTGGCTTCAGATCAGCGCTGCTCTGGCTGTTGCGCTCACTTGGGGAGTGAATCATTGGATAGAAGATTTTTATCTCTGTCTCTCCTCCTCTCTGACTTTCCAATAAAAATAAATAAATCTTTAAAAATGAAAGTGAAATGCACAAACTGAGAACGAATGGTGGCAGTACATGGTCCCAGTCTGTCAGCAGATAAGTCCGAACGTTTCTGCCTGGGAGGGACATGTTATGACTGTAGTAAGAGCTGGGTTCTTTTTCTGGCACATCAAAAGGAGGAGCCAGGAATAGGGTGATGTGCAAAAGGATTCTAATCAGCATCAGGAGGTCCTGAGATTTACGATGGATGCGCCATAAGCAGGGCAATTCAGCTGCTTACACGATGAGTTGGCTTGAACTCCAGGCCGTACAGACACCCTCACTGTGTTCCTAGCAAACCCCCCAAAGACGTTTTAGAGTGAAAAGTCCATTCGTTTGACATATCAGTTTCAGAGTCTAAATGGAAAATACTTCAGACTGCAGCACAATGCTCCGACAGCCTTGCCTGTTCCTGAGGAGACTTCGTCTCTCTTCAGGACTTGCTGCACGGCCCAGCAACTCCAGGAGTGCTGACCTGAACACTGGCTCCTGGTGTACACATGAGGAAGTCACCACCTCCCGCGCACATGCAGGACCCCGCCTGGTTTAGCTATGGCTTTAAAACAGCCTCGGCATCTGAAAGAACTGAATTTATTAGCTTTGCCACCATGGTGACTTTGGGGCTATGTTTTGACATGTGTGAGTTGTTTTTCAGATATAACATGGAACTAATAACTACTGTGTAATATTGTGAGGATTGGAATTTCTCTTTCTTTAATTTAGAGGCGTTAATTAACTTGACAGGCAAGGGGAGAGACTCCATCTGCTGGCTCCACCCCATGCGCCTGCAGTGGCCAGGGCTGGACAGCTAGAAGCTGGGAGCTGAGGACTCAGCTGGGCTCTGCGCCTGCGTGGCAGCGACTGGGTCATTTCAGTTGCCACTACTGCCTCCCATGGTCCACATTTGCAGGAAGCTGAACTCAGGTACCAAAGCTGGAACACAAATCAAGACACAGGCGTCTCAACCATTACATGAGAACTCTCCCCATAGAGCTTCCTGTTTTTAAAACACCAGAACAGGACCTTGAAAACAGCAGGTAGCTTTAGGTACAATTCCTAAAATAATGTCCAAATTTGTATCACACACAAACCACTTAGATACATGTTCCTTATTTTTAAAACTTTATGGTATATTCTCTTACCAATCAAATATTAAAAGATGGCTTAATTATAACAGAAATCTTACTTAAAAATTTATAACAGAATAGGGTACATAATAGGTGATCACAATTACTTGCTAATTAAATTTCAAAAGTTCTGCTTAATATATTCTCGCTGTTTGGTACATCCTGAGTGGTATGATATTTTAAGAAAGGGAAAATCAGAAACATCAAAGACAGAGAGGTCCAATGGAATGAATGTGGCTCTGAAGGGAAATCAATACAAATGGATAGCAAGTATCATTTGCAAAATCTTGACTTAAATAGAATTTCAGAGAAGCATGTATAATACTTAGATACATTAAAATATTTATTATCTAATGGAATTTCTTTCAAAACAAATTTTTTTAAAGTACCGGTTAAGTTTTTATGAGCAGCAGTGTACAACAATTTTCATTAAATACAAAAATTCTAGCAAAGAAACATTTCTTGGGGGACAGGTGCCTGACATAGTGGTTAAGATGCTGTCTGGATCTGCTACAACCTGTCAGATGCCTGGGTTTGAGCCTCAGCTCCATTTCCAACTCCAGAGTCCTGCTGATGGGCACCCTGGGGCTTAATAAGTGATGATTCAAATACTTAGGTCCTGGACAATAGTGGAGCCCTGCATCGTGTTCCAGAGTCCTTAGTTCATTCTGGTCCTTGCTTTATTCCCTGGCCATTACAGGTACTGGGACTAAATGAATGGATGAAAGATCTCTCTCTTTCTGTCTTTCAAGAGAAAAAAAAAATATTAAAATTCCATGAAAGTGTCAACTTGAAAAAAGAGCATTTCTTGGCTTTGCTCATCATGTTTTGCAATACCTCAGAACTAAGGAAGCTTCATGGTTTCTCTGAGGAGTGGGCGGCTAAGACGCAGTCGCTGTTACCTGCTTGAGTGTGAGGGTCTTGGCCTTTTCTTTGGAGGTGCCCATCTCCCACACGCACACCACGGTGCTTGTGCCGCCCGTGATGACGAGCTTGGGGTTGGGGCAGATCGCACAGAGAATCTGGCCCCATTCAGACAAACACTCATAAACGGTCACCGCCTGCAAGAGAAAAACGGGCATGAGACACACAGGCTGTCAAGTGGCACACCATGGTCAAGGCCAGGGGTGGAGCTGGGAGAAGGGGAAGTGGGCTCACACGGCACCTCGCAGGAAGACACTGGCTCGCCCTGAACTACCTTGCAGCCTCCTAATTACAGCTGCTGCTAAAAAGCTCAATTAAGAAGGGTTTCGGTCCTAACAGGAGTCTCCAGTTTGTCCAGTTTGGGAAAGGGGAGTCCCTGCTCTGTGATGCTATCTACACAAGATGCAGAGGATAACCTGGGAGAAGGAGGTGCTGGCAGACAGCTTAGAACACACCAAGAAAGCCAGAGTGCGGATGTCTAAGGAGGCCACGAGTGAAACAGAACCGGATTATGGTGTGACACCGACAGACTGCATGAATTCCACTCCCACTGAGAGTCGGAAGGCACAGGTCAGACATTGCACACAGACACTGAAAGATCCAGTGCTTCTCCAATGACACCGATGGACACATTTAGTGCTGCTTTTTGTCAGGCTAACAGTTCCTCTGCCTGCTTCCTTAGAGTGCTAATAAGGTTAAGTGGACTGACTTGTGACCACAAAAAGGAGACCACACTGGTTGTCACCTAGGTGCAGCCCCTTGCTGGCTGGCATCTCCTAGAGGAGTTCTGTGAGGGGAAAGTAAACGTCAGGCCTCTATTATATGAATTCTACAACGGGGGTTGTCCTGCAGGAAACACAGTATCTCCACCAGCCCCCTTATTTTAATAGGATGCACGGGAGTTCTTTCTTTTGGGCTTTTGGAGAACAGCTGACAAGCCCTGGGGCAGTGTCCTACACATCACCATTCACAAAGACAATCCAGGCCAAGAGAGAGCAGGATGGAGAGAGGAAGCATGCAACAGTTGCGAACCTTGTCAGACTCGTAGGTCCCCAGTCTGCAGCTGAGGTCTGCGTAGCCCCAGGCGAAGGTTTTGTTCCAGGAAGGTGGGATGAGAACCTTATTTTGCTCTACGGCAAGGATGCCTTTATCTGTGCACACTATTTGCCCCACGGGTTCTTTGAGTTCTACAAGAAATGAATATATTAGCATAGGAAACTGTTTCACAGGCACCAATAATCTAATATATTCATAAAGAGCAAGCATCCTGACTCCTGTGTTCAGACAAAACGATTTTAGAGTTTGGCTTTTGAGTCTCCTGTGAGATCCGCATGGTGGGCTGTTGACCCTGACAGGTGTCCTGCTGGGCTCCCTCCAGCTTTCTCTTTCTGGATGCCTCTAAGGTTTAGTTCCTACCAAGCAGGCCCGACTTCCTGGAGCGTAAGGACTGCACAGAGCAGCCTGGGATCCTCCCCAGAATGTCACAGGGCCGTGGACCGCCTACTCATTGACGTCTGAGCACCTCCTGAGTTTCACCAGCTCCTGGACTTTGAGCAGGAAGGCCACGTTGTTCTCTGAGAAGCACAGCCTCTTTGCTCCACACCAGAACCCGCTGAGCACTCTGCTTCTACAGAGCAGCCACTGGGCAGTGCCTGGAGCTGGCACCGAGCACAGTCTAGACAACGAAGGAAAATGGCATACAATGGGCGCCAGCCAAGTTAATCAGACTTTGATTCTCCAACTCTTAAAATTTTTAAAAAGTGATAATCTAATAGTTTGCAAAAAAGCTGTTTACTCTAAAAGAAATATTCTAAAAATCTTTGAGAGAAAAATTCATGCCATTAAACAAAAGACATCTTTTGTCTGGTAAATTAAAAACACAGTTGTGGACCCAGCGGCATGGCCTAGCAGCCAAAGTCCTTGCCTTGAATGCGCCAGGATCCCATATGGGCGCCGGTTCTAATCCTGGCAGCTCCACTTCCCATTCAGCTCCCTGCTTGTGGCCTGGGAAAGCAGTTGAGAACAGCCCAAAGCTTTGGGACCCTGCACCTGTGTGGGATACCCGGAAGAAGTTCCTGGATCCTGGCTTTGGATCGGCTGTTGTGGTCACATGGGGAGTGATTCATCCCCCTCTCTGTCAGATCTTCCTCTCTGTCTCTCCTCCTCTCTGTATATCTGACTTTCCAAAAAATAAATAAATCTTTAAAAAAAAACAAAACTAAAACAAACAAAAAAACCACAGTTGTGTTGCCACCTGTTATGCTAAGCAGAATGCTTACACATTAAAGAAAAGAAAAAGTGAGATACAATGTTTTACATATAAATTTGAAGTTAGAATAATTTAGGGTTCTGATGATCTTAACTGGAGGGAAAATCCTAATTGGTTCTCTCTGATGCAAAACCCAACAGGCCCCCCCAAAAAGAAAACAAGAAAAATAATCTAAATATTAACAAATCTTTAGTGATTTAATAAAAGCTACACAGCATGTTACATATTCCACCACTGTGGAAAAGCAAATTTAGTATTGCCAGTCTAGGGTAATGAAATATTCCATGAGTTCATGAGTCAATGTTTATTTCCTAAGACTTTACCTTTTACAGGTGTCAGGGAAGGCCTTAGGTTGTCTAGATGATGGAAGAAGATCTTGTCACTTGTAGAGCCGGGTGGGACGGACATCCCTGCATTGTCCCCGTTGAGCCGACTCCTCACTCGCTTGGGTGGATGAGGCTTTTTAAATAACTGGTGAGAAAGGAGATGACATATTTTATAAAGAAAGATAAGCCCTGGTTTATGCTAGACATCATGTTCTGATTTCACAATAATATCAGGCACCATATTATCCTTAGTTCAGATTTTACAGAAGACAGACAGACAACTTGTTTTTCTTTGTTTTTCTTTTTGAGTGACGCTTCAAAGTTGACCAAACAAACTGGAGAAAAATCCAACCGCACAAGATGTCCAGGTGCCTCCAGCGACACAGCTGGACAGTTGGACAGACTCGGCCTCAATGTGGCCTTGTGCTGAGGGACTCAGTAGCATCCTTTGTTCTGCTAATTTGCTGAAAGCATTATTACTTTTTTTCCCCTTTTGAATTGTGATGTAATGGAAAAAGTGAAAATATCTTCAGCATCTTATTGTTTTTATGACTGAAAACAATGGGTAGGATAATATTCTTCAAATATTAACAGCCCTTCCAAACAGGCCTGGTTTCTAATAAAAAAATAATAAATAAATAGCATTTGAGGAAAACACCTGAGCAACCTCAGATGAAATGAGATCACACTTTGTGATTTAGACATTGTGAGTTCCTGGAGGAAAAAACAGAACACCTGCCCTGAGGCAGAGCACCTGCCCTGAGGCAGAACACCTGCCCCGTGGCAGAACACCTGCCCTGTGGACTTGTGCACATGCTAGGCTCCCGACTGGCTAACATTTGATCAAAACTAGAGCTCTGAACACAGGGTCACAGATCAGAGCTCTGCCATCTTCTGCAAATGTAAATAATGACACGAGACTGCAAAGCTGTGAAAAAGTATATACACATTTTAAAACTAGTTTGGGAATGACCAATGACTGGTACTTTTCACAGGGACAGCACAGGTTTATCTAAAAACACATGGATACAGTGGTCACAAAACCTATCTTTACTAGATGGTTCTCTTAGAGAGGTGCTCCTCTACACATGATGGCATGTCCTAGAAATAAACCGGCATTGAACTGTATCTCCCAGACTGCTGGTCACTTAACTCCAAGGTGGCACAGCGACTGTGCCTTGGCATTTTTGTTCAGAATGTTCATTCACAGGCTATGAAACACAGCTTCTGCTCTGAACCCCTCGGCAGAAAGGAAGGTTGAACTAAGACTCCTCACCTGTGAGTGGAGTTGATCAACAAGAGGAAATTCATTTCCTCTCTTGGGGGACCAGGATGAGGGTAGGGTTTTGGGCAGTCCTGGTGTTTACTAAAGCCTTTTCACATGTAAAGACCCACTGTTGTGCCCCGTGTTTCCTTGGGCTCCTCAGAGTTGGTAAACAAACAAAAAAGGCATTTGAGGAGACACACTTGAATCAGCAACAGAAAATGCAGAGTCAGGAGCCAGTGTGGTGGCATAGTGAGTAAAGTCAGGACTGCAACACTGGTATCCCATACTGGTTTCTGTCTCAGCTCCTTGCTAATGGCTTGGGGAAAGTGGCAGAAGGTGGCCCACGTACCTGGGGACTATGCCACCCACGGGGCACTCCTAGATGAGCTCCTGGCTTCATCCTGGCCCAGTGCTGGCCACTGTGGCTATCTGAGGAGTGAACTAGCACATAGAAGATTTCTCTTTCTCTCTCTGTAAAGCAGGTAAGTTCAACTGTTTGTACATTAGGAGTCTCTATTCTCTTTTCCTGGAATGTGCTAGAAGATTTACAGATATTTAAAATATGTCTCTTCCTTTTACATTCCACTTTAAGTTCCCGTTAGATTTTTCTGCCTCAGACATGGTTATATTGATAATTTATAATTACAAATAAATTGTTTTCTATTTATATCTATATAGATGTATACGGTCAGGGTGCAGAGTCAGCAGCCTTCAATGAAAGTGAGTGGTTTGAGCAGGCGGGCAAAGAGCGCCTGTGGTGGCTGTGCAGCAGTTAACGCCTGGGGCATGCTACCCTCCTGCCATGCCAGCGCCTGGGGATTGTCTCCTAACGATGCTTTGTTCATCGTTGCACACGAGCCCAAGCATTTCTGGCAGATGAGTGCTGACAGCCTGAGCTCCTGTACTTTTCCGGATGGCCATGATGATGACAGCACGTGGCCTCACAGCACAGCGCTGAACCACAGCCATGCTGAGAATCTAACTGCAGGCATTATCAGCTGTTCCCTGACACACTACAGCAGCTTCCTAATTGGTCTTCTGCCCTAATTTTATGCTTATATTCTTTGTATAGGCGGTGTGTATGTGATGTGTGTGAGAGATAGGCTGAGACAAAGACAGGCATTGACGTAGGAATGAACTTTAAGAGTTTAACTATGATCGTGCCACTTCCCTGCCTGCAATCAGTAATATCTGTCTCCTGATCTAGGGCAGACGCCACATTTCTGTGCACGCTCTGGCCTGCAAACCCCCTTTCATGGTGTTGTAAACCTACCCTGCTCTAGTCTATGAGAGAGATCTCTCTTTAAACAGCAGAACTCATCTTATCTGGACTGAAAAAGAGGGGAGAAAGCCATGATCCAACAATCTATTGAAGCTAACAGGTGGCATATAATGTTCTTAATCCAGTTAGTCAAAGCACACGTACTACATGATGGTCACCTGCCATTTGGAGAAAAATGGCAGCATTTAAACAAAACTGAGTTCCCCTAATGGAAGAGCAAGGCACCCGCACCTGTTTCGGGATCTGACCAAAGTTATTAATGAACCCGATGGTGGCTGTCTCCTTCAGCGGGTCGTTGATATTATAGATATCCACTTGGCCCTCGTAGAAGAGATGATGGAAGACATTGACGGCTTCTACTGCAGCAGGACCTTGCTGTTTATAGCCAAAGATCAAGTCAATCCACTCGTGGAGGTGGGCACTCACATAGTCACACTCCAAAGCCTGCAAGGCGGGGGAAATAAACCAACAGAAGGCTCAGTACATGTGCACAAAGTAGAAGCAACCTGACTAGCGGTCAACACAAATGCAGAGAAACATCCGTAAGGATGGTGTCAGCTCCTTGCTGTGGCCAACTGACCCCCAAGAGCACCCCATTACCTCGCGGTGCACTCTGATGAATTCTCGCGGATCCCCTTTGGCCCAGGGTGGAAGGATGACATCTCCCAGCTTCGTGCCATTTTGCTTACAGCCTATGCAATTGGATCAATAAAAAACAGTGAAAGAAAGCAGAGAATAACAGTGACAGAAATTGTGAAGTAGATTCATTACTATAACTAGAAAAACAAGGCAATAAGGATGTTTGGCAATAAGGATTCTCATTTAGAAAGGTAACATTTGGGATGAATGTGATGGCATTACAGGGTAAGTGTCCACGGGGGATGCCCACATCCCATGCTGGATACCAGGGATTGAATGCCACCTCCAATTCTGCTTTGGCTTCCCGCTGACTAACCCTGGGAGGCAGCAGATGATGGCTAAAGGGTTGGGTCTTTGCAATGCTGCCCTGTGGGAGGCCCAGCTGGACTGCTGGCTCCAGTGGTTATCCTGACCCAGCCCCAGCTGCTACAGGCATTGGGGGAAAGAATCAAATAACAGAAGACACCTCTCTTTGTCTTTGCCACTGTACCTTCCAAATAAAATAAATGAAGGCACTTAAAAAATGAATTTGATACAATGTAACTTTTTTGTTGTTACTGCATTATTCAACAGAAAAAAGTATTTGGATAGATGATGGCAGGAAAAACAACACAATATTGCAATAAAAAGCATAGAAATAACTTATGTTCTACATGAATGCTTATTTTTAAGGCATAGCCACATCATGCTTCAAATAGTAAGAAAATACTATAAAATCTACCCACAACAAAATGTATCCCATGAAATTGGCAGCTACGAAAACAGTTTGTTTTTCATCTTTAAAAAAAAAACTTTCAACTTACTAAGTTATGTTTTATAGGTGCAAATCAGAGTATCATTGAAAAAAGCGATTCTCTAAACATTACTGTTGACACACTGGCTTAATATCTGAATTCTTCCCAGAACTGTGCAGTTGTTCAAATTTTAGAGCACAAAAGTCAACTCCAAGTGAAAGCCAATAAAAATATTTCCTTTAGAAACAAGTCCTGTCCCGTTATTATATGACAGATCATTTACAAAGTGTGCTTCTCATTGAGAAACACACAAGTCAGTTTACTGCTAGGGGAATGTCTTGATTTGGTTGAAAAATGACTTAAAACAAAAATCAAATTAAAACATTGTTTCCCCTGCACCATCCTCAGCTCGCTTCACATGTGCCTTTCCATCCCCTTGAAATGACCTCTAGGGTGATTTCTGGATGATAAAAAGCAGGAAATTATCACAGGATACTTGGTGTAGAAACTAGTATTTGACATTTTGCTACAATTCCTGAATATTTTGTGCTATAATTGTATTGGTGGCATCTGCAATTTAAAAATACCTAAGAGAGGGCCCAGACTGGTAGCCTAGTGGCTTAAGTTCTCATCTTGCATGTGCCAGGATCCCATATGGGTGCTGGTTCTAATCCCAGCAACCCTGTTTCCCATCTAGCTCTCTGCCTGTGACCTGGGAAAGCAGTCGAGGACGGCCTAGAGCCTTGGGACCCTGCACCCGTGTCATAGGTCTGGAAGGGGCTCTGGGCGCCTGGCTTCAGATTGGTGCAGCTCTGGCCATTGTGGCCACTTGGAGAGTGAATCAATGGAAGATCTTCCTCTATCTCCTTCTCTCTCTATATCTGACTTTGCAATAAAAATAAATAAATCTTAAAAAATTAAAAAAGATAAGAGCACACAGACTTGTCGAGAAGTCTTGGCCTGCCGCTCCTCTCCACGTGCAGTTAAGGCAGAGCCGGAGGAATCGAGGGCACTCGCTATTTTCCACCTGCATGTTCTTCCTTTTATACCATTCCACAGCTTTTCAAATAGTGACTTGGCCTTTGTTCTGCTTTTTTTTTTCTAGCGAAGTGAAGTTTACTAAAGTAAACTATTGAGTGTCATTTACTACATCAAAATGCTGTGCAAAAACATCCTGCCCATCTCATCCCAAGGAATTTTCAGTGCCCAAACAGAAACCTTGCATCACTGAGGCAGTTGCTGCAGATTCCTCTCTCCTGGACCTGGGAACCACTGCCCTGTTCTGGTTATTTCCATGAAGGAAACAAGCATGACATGACTTTCTGTCAATAGACTTCTATCCCTTAGCAGAATGTTTTCAAGGCTCATCCTCATGGAACATTTATCAGTACTCCATATCCCTTTTTATAGCTGAATAGTTCATTACATGTATACAACACCGTTCAACTTTTGATGGACACTGAGGTTGTTTCCACTATTTAGTGACTATGAGGGACACTGCTATGAGTGGGCTTGTATACATATGGGCTCAGCTCGTGCGTACAGCTCCATATGCTTCAGGATAGAGTTGGTGTGCAATATGGGAATTATGTATGTTCAGCTTTCTGAAGAATGCCAAGCTACTGAACCTTTCTACACTGTTACCAGCAATCCAGCAACATAAGAAAGTTCTAACTTTTCTACATCCTTGTTAATTTTCTGTGTCCTGCACCCTCCTGCTACCAGTCATCATTTTGGGTGTGAAATGGCAGCTCTCTGGTTCTGATACTGAACATCGCTGGCCATTGTATAACTTCTTTGGAGAGGTGTCTAAGTCCTTTGCCTACTTCTCTACTGGGTTGCTGATTGATTTGTTGTTGAGTTCCAAGAGCTGAGCTGTTTTTATTCTGTGTGCTACATCCTGAAGATATCATTTGTACTTCTTCCGTTCTGTAAGCTGTTTTCACTTTCCGTACGAGAGCCTTTCTATACAGAGGTTTCGGCTGTGTTGATGTCCCTTTTGCCTTCTGCTGTTGTAGTGTGTGCTTTGGGAAGTTATGTCAAAGGATATACTTCCAAATTCAAAATCACAAAGACTCAGGCTCTACGTTGTTTATGGCCTCATGATTTTTTAAAAAAATGATTTCTAGCCTTTATATGCAAACAGAGCATTTGAAAGCATGTGATTTCAAGGAGGGAAGACAACTGTTGTGGAGAGGAACCTGAGATAGGATGCCTCCTTTAGTCCCTTACTTCAAGAACAGATTGGGTAAGTCTGGAGATGATCATGACTATGAGGTAGTATTTTTGTGCTCTTTCTGCACTTCTCCATATCTGTCTCTTTGAAAGCGGTGACCTTACGGAAGAAGGTAGCACTTGTCATAGTGAAGTAAAAGTGAATATAAGGAAATGCTATTTGTGTCCTCACATCCTACGTGTTTACTTATATCACTTATGAGTCATTTATTTTATTACAGAGAGGTCATAATGGTTTTTTAGGGCTGTTGAGAGAGATGTGTTTATTGTATCTCCCGGTGAATTCTATTTAATAGTGAGGGCTGTTGGTAGACAATCATATAAATAGTATTTTTGAAAAAATTTTAAATAAAAAAACCATGCAAATGTACCGGGTAAGACTATTTCTCTGAACTTTCTACTAATGCAAATTTAGAGGTTTCAGTGCAGGTAACTATTTGTATACTGAACTCTTTTTAAGATAGAGCTGAAATGCAGGCTACTGACAATAATATTCTAAAGCAGAAATTACAGAGAGTAGCTATGCTTCAATAGAAATATTCAAAAGCACAGATCAGCAAATCGTGTTCCAAGAAACTGTAGCCAAAGTCAAATCTACTTCCTCTAACTGCCATAGGATAAAAACACTGCTAGTGAAATTCTTTCCTTTATATAAATATTGATTTAGTTTTATAAAATAGGGCCATAACAGAATGAAAAGAAATGATCTATTTAGTTATCTGAATTTCTAATTTTAAAACATGCTAGCACATATATCGAGAATACCTGGGGCAACTTACAAGATTTTACAAAAAAACCAGCAGTTGGATAAATTGTTCTTGGCTATCAATGTGTCTCAATAGGAATAATTTCCATATAATCTTCACTTCACCTTTGTTTTCATCTGAACAACAAAATTCTGATTAAATGATGCAATCCAGACTCAAAGTTCAAATCAGATCTTTGAGGTGGTTTTTTTTTTTCTTAAATAATGTTTAAATATACAAATATTTCAGAGTAAGTAAAAACAACCCAAACTACAAGTTTTTTGTTGTTAATGGCACTATGGACAATTCCCAGACAAATGATTTATTTCTAGTAATCTTTTCTTGGCTAACATTCCTAAGATACTGTCAGGGTTCTACGTACCCAGATCAAAGTTGTTGGAATTGAACAGGAATTCTGGTAAGTAAAAAAATTCTGGTATAAGTTCTTTGACGTCTGCCATGTTGTGCTTGGATGCAGAATACCAGGCCTCTCGCACGCTGTGAAACATCCGGTCCGCCAGGTCGAAGTGGCCACCCTGTGGGCAGAATGAGAAGGCACCTGCTTATCAGAACACCACTCACAATGCAGAGTTTCTGTCAAGTTCAAGGATTTAAACCCTCAAACATGTTGGGTGACATTTCGATTTCCTGTGTTTCTGTGTTGATAAGTAAACTTCTGGGTAATCACAAAAACAAAATCTAATTCTCTTTGGAATACTCTTTCAAAGGGTGCTCAATATCTTCGTTTTATAATAAAAATGGAATCCAAATATAAAGATCTCAAAAAATCATTTAAAAATATTGGTTTTTAGGAAAAGAGGAATACTATAGTTCTTCCATGGTTTGATGATTCACTCCAAAGAGTATATGCTAATTTAAACCATTTATTGTTGGACACATTCAAGTGTATATACATGTAGGTATATGTTTATCAAATTTACACATTACTGTGATATTCATATTCTTATATCAATGACAGTTAAATGAAAAATTTGGAAAATTTATCAGAAAACTAGACTTATCCAACAAACTTAAAAAAGGAAAGTCATTTCTTGTTTATATAGCTTTAAAGCAAGCTTCCTATGTTACATCATAAGTGAACATGGTACATTCATCATATGATGCTCATGGTGGCAAAACGCCAAAGCCCACCCAACAGCTGCTGAGGCCTATTTGCTTTCTGAGCTCCTTTCAAAGGACTCTCACCATTGCTCATCCCATTCTGGACGCACTGGTCATGCTGGTGTTCTTCCCACCTGAGGCACAGGGCTACCGCAGGTCCTATCACAGCCCCGGACTCCATCACAACACTGTGCAGAGCAGCCCGCCTCTGTGCACTCTCTGACAAGTGCCCTGCTCTCCCTCCCTCACTTCCTGGTCCTCACTTCCTAACTTCCTTTCCTTGATCTATATTTTCCTGATAACTTCCTTCACATTTGAACACACTTCATGATTTACTCATTTATTTACATTTGGCTCACTCCTCCCACTCAAATGTGTTAAGTTCCACAAGGAAAAAGTTTATTCACTGATTTGCTCCCATGGAACAGTGCTTGTCACACAGTAAACATTCAACAAATACCTGATGAACAATTGGATGAAAATGTGTAGAAAAAAAAAATAATGCCTGAGATAGCAAATAAGCTAGACTGTACACTCATTTAAGAACACATTTGTTAAATTCAACCAATTGGGGCTCAATTTCCCATACCTGGGTAGAAAAATGTCTGCTATATACTTACTTGGCAAGGCCCCTGGCATTTGTTTATTCTAAATGAATTTTGCTTTATTCATCAATCTTAGTTCTATGAAATTTCATTTTAATTGTTTAACCACACTGCCATTCGAACACATGGGACTTCTTGTACAGTAAGATAAAGGCATGAAAAGAACAAGCGTCAATCTCAAACACCAAGTAGGCTTGAGTAGAATGGAACTATGTCAGGCTGCAAGTTTTACCTGTAGCCTCAGGAATATCTGGGTGAAAGGCTCCATCCTCACAAGGTATGAGGCCACAATCATTGCGGAGGAGTAGTGGGTCCCGTAGTGGTAGGCCGGAGTTTCTCCTGATTAAGAACATTAAGTGGTGATTGAAAATAAGAAAGGAAAAGTCGAAAAATAAGTCTGGCAATGTTAGCATATGTGAAAACTGACACTACATAGTTGGTGCTGCCATTTGGGGCAGGGCTGCTTCATGACAACGACACTGTCCCTCACCATATCTGAACAAGTATAACACAGTGGCCTTTCCCCAAAGCTGAGCGCTGCTGCCATTTCATGCTTTGAGGCTTATGACCCTAGACAGCTCAGAATACTGACTTACAAGTACTTTTTATTGGGCCCTGGTTCTTCATAACTAAATTATTGTCTATGAATATTATGCAATTTGATGTATTCTTATTATATGTTCTACTTGACAGAGAGAAAGAGAGAGAGAAAAGGAGTGCTAACAGGCTTAGGCATAGGTTGTCATTTTTTCCCCCCCTCTCCTGCATTTTTATTTTGCCTGTTTATAGAAAAAATACAAAACTATTGAATGTAACAAAGCAAGTACATACATTCTATTTATAATGCACAAGGATTCCTAAAAAAGAATCTCAGTAATACTAAAAGAGAGCCAAACCCAAACTGTAATCCCTGGATGAAATCTAATAGAATCAATGACAGGATCAGACTATGCTGATGAGTTTCCATCCTGAAGAGGTATACAGACGGATGCCTGCCAGAACTCTAGAAAGTTACCTAAAGGCACCTTCTAAATATGACCACAGTTGGCATGGAAAACTCGAGTGTTCTTTCTTTTTAATCTCTGTGTCTATGTCACATTTACAGATGAAACCATACACAAGCATCCTGAAGGGTGCTTACAGGATGCCAGGGCACCCGCCAGAGGGTCACTGTGAAACCTTAGTTACACAGTCCAGGGACAGAGAAAAGTGCTTACCGTTAGGATCTTCCCAGTCCTTGTAGCGTTTCTTATACTGGGCTAACCGTTCATCTGTCTGTGCTCCCATTGGCTTAGCCAGGTTTCTAAATGTCTTGGGATTAGTAAGATCCACCTCCTAGAATATCAAGGAAAACCCATTTCCGTGTTACTAGTCATCCTCCTGGCTTATCAGTGTGGACACACTGACCTTGGCAAGCAATGACAGTTCAGAGATAAGCCAGATCTCTACATCGAAGTAGGAGTCCTGGACTGCAGTGCAAGACCACAGACCTGCTGTTGGTCTCTGCTTTACAGACAGACACATGGCAGCTCAGGAAATGCTTTGGGAGGGCACCCAGGTCTGGGTTCACAAATGAGGAGTGGCAAAGTGCTTTCACACCTCGGCAAGGGCACAGCAGGATTCTGAGGACACCAAAACTCCAGTTCACCATTATCATCTTTCACACCTCGGCAAGGGCACAGCAGGATTCTGAGGACACTAAAACTCCAGTCCACCATTATCATCCATTACCATCACCCACACAACCACAGGATCCAATCTGGTTTCAGTGACAGCCCCACCCCTGCTTCCCTCCAACTTCACTTTTGCAGCTTCTTAGAGGTGATCTGCAAGTGATACAAACTAGGGCACTTAGTAATTCACTCACTCCTGGAAGACAACATCAAAACGGATCGAGTGGTTTCCGAGTGAAATAGATTCTACAGACCAGAGATTAGTTTAAAAGCTCATCTGTAGCTGACCTATTTATGTGTTTAAAAGGGATCCATAATTTACTCCCTCAGGGTTTTAAAAGTAGAAATTTGAAATGAGTACAAGGCAGACATTTGATTTGTGCATATTTATGAATCATAAGTTAGTATGCTTGGCTTCTCAAAGTCTAGATGCAAAGCACTTCATATACCATTTTTTAAAATTCAACGAACATGAATGAGCATGGAAAGGACCACTTATTTTAGGGGTTAGAAATAATACAGGGGTATTTGCAAATTTGTGCTCAAGGATCTTATAATCAATTTGGGTCAAACAGAATGACCACAGCTTGCTATCACACACCACCATGACACAGGGTGGGCAGGGCACAGGGAAGCCCTTCGATATGTAGCTACAGGGCAACATCAGAACAGGAAAGAGGGGAGAGAAACAGAAGGCTTCCCACCACAAAGGTGAAGTGAGAATGTCCTGAAGAGCTAAACGGAGTTAGCCTGGTGAATGGATAGGCAATGAAATGGGCATGGAGGGCACTGGGGTGAATCCCAGGCAGGCTGGAATACAAGGAAGAAGTCCCTGAGGCAGGAAAGAAGCAATGGGGTTATTCCAGGCTGGCAGCACTGGGAGTATATGAGGGATCTTTGGGGGCAGTAACTGAATTGAAGAGGTTCCCAAATTGATGATTTTCAATTTCTAAATGGGTTGGTTCAATCAGACTCATGCTTTTTGAGTTGCTCTATTAAGTAGGATAGGGTGAAGGAAGGCAAGACCAGAGGAAGGCAGTGAAAAGAGTTAGGAGGCTGCTGCAGTAGTGGTCCAGTGACAGATATAAAGGGCTGGAAGGAGACACCAACAGTGTTGGAGATAAACAAAAGATGCTGGAAAAACACTTAACATGGGAGGATACATGGACATCCTTGGCCAGTGACCAGAGGAGGGCAAGAGCTGTGCATCATGGTACTATCTCTCACAGCCGATGATGGTTCTGCTATTTGTGTGTCGCATCCCTGAACACACAGACCTCAAAGTGTCCCTCACACCTAGCCTCTGACAGTACAGGTGCTGGTGCCATCCCCGGAGATGGGAGTTATACAATCAAGGAGAGACCCCAAGGCTCAGTAATGGGATTCACGACGATCCTGTAACAGAATATTTAAGAACAGTTTGACACAATTTCCCATCTCCTCAAGAAACTGCATTCTTTGTTGACCTCTGACCTCTCTAAATCTGCCCTTATTTTTTGAATTTCCTTTATTGACTTAAAGGGAAAGTATTCTCAGTCTATGAAACATCACACTTGACTTGCTCTCCTGTTTTTACCTGTGTTACCCATACCCATTAGTGTATGTTAGCTGCACATGAAAAGCCACACGTCCAATGTGCTCGCACACACTCAGCCATGCAGGGTGGATTTCCACAGTCCCTTAGACTAGCATGTTCTGAGGACAGATGATTTATCTTTCTTCCTAATATGTCAATGTTTAAGTCTGTGACCATCCAGGCAGTCCTGGTTCTAGTGGATGAGAAAGTCCCGTGGAGTTCTGAATTTTAAGATTGAGCTGGTTTGTTTATCCAGGAGGAAGGCTCTCTGCTTTGCTTTGCGACTGGGAAGACGGCTACCAGATAGGAGGCAGAGCAAAAGCCATCCTGTGAGTCAAGCCATCTTGTGCCAAGGCTTCTTGGAACAGTAACAAAAACTCAAGAATATGTTGCGCAGGATTCATCTCTCTCTCTTTTTTTTTAAGCGAACAATTCAGACCACACTGACAAGTTCTACATCTACCAATGGATGCAAATTATTTAGCACTGAAGGAAACCGGATAGACATTATGAATTCATTTCCAATAACCAATAAGTGAGTGAATCACCTAGACATTTTTTAAACATATCAAAGAAAACATTTCTTAATCTGTAAAAAATGCCTGTGCCCGCAGGGAGATTAATAAACCACAAAACAAAACAAAAAGATTTCAGCAACTGCAGCATGTTCCAATTGGTTTTGAAAATGCGTTCCACTTGAAGCAATATGATTTGAGATTTACCTCTGAGTCGTAATCCGCAAGGATCCAGGGGAAGACGGGGTACTGCATGAGGTCGTTGTATGACCTGCCGGCCAAGGTGTTCAAGTGCATCAAGTACTGGAAGTTGCTGATTTCGCCTCTCTTGGGAAGGATAATATACATTTTAGAACAATCATTTACTTCTTCTATGCCTACGTGAAAATATTTTTTATGCAAAATGAGGTAGAGGAGGTAGAGTTTATTTTTTAACAGATTTTGAGCAAACACTTTTGTTCCTAAATAGAACATCAAGATCTTGCTTCCTGTCTGGTATATACTCTCTGGATTACGAAAGTGCTTCTAACTTTATGACTTCTACCTCGTAACTATGGAAGCTCCACCGTGTAAAACAGACAGGTTCATTAAGCTTACCTCCCATCTCTGAGTTACAGACTTCTCTCCAACCAAGGTGCTCAGCAACCCAGACCTAAAAACAAGTAACAACATAAATGGCAGCTCTTGTCATCTTACACTCCCGGCAACTACAGAGGTGAAGAGCTTAACTCATTGGTCCAGTAATTTTTCAAATTACAATGAATCTAGTGACAGGTCATAAAATCAGTTAAGGAGGTTTATGATCAGGTATTTTGAAATATGACATGACTGAACTTAAGATCATTATAAGATATCAAAACAATATGTCTTCTTTGAGTTTTATTTTGGTAATTATGACTCTGTATGTCTTGGTATGTAAAATGATACATAATTTTTACTGTGATTCATGGTCAAAAGAGTTGCCAAAATATGTGGGATCATATGATTGAATATTTTGATCTGCATGCAAGCTTGCTGACTCACAAAGCCCACAGTCCTTGTTATTTCCTAAAGGCTCAGAACAATAGGCAGTGTGTTTTGCTAAACAAATTTGGCCTTTTGTCCTCTGAACCCAAAGCAGCTTTAGAGCAATAAAAGTCAAAGTCTCGTGTCATAGTGTCAGGATGCTTTATGCCTCAGAGAGCAAACTATTTCTCTGACCTTGTCCTGCCCCGAGCTAGGCCATAGGAATTAAGATGCTTATTGCCCAAGCTGGATCATAAAAACTAAAGTTAGATGCTAACCTTTCTCCATTTATCTTGGAGCTGGGTGTCAAGTTCTCTGACCTGCCTTGTCTGATATAAAATCCTAAAATCCCCGTTTCAGAAGTGGTCCTGCCACACACCCAGGAGGAAGAAATGCCACACGCAGAGGCCAACAAGAGCCTTGCTGGGTTTCCTCACCAACGCACTGGCATTAGACCATGCTCTTTCAGTTTAGCACATTGCAAAGTTTCAATCATGTTTATACAATGAGGTTTCTACAGAAACCCAAGAGGTCAGGGATCAGGGAACCTCTGGGCAGCTGAACATGCGGAGGCTCACAGGAATAAAGAACTCATCAAGGGCACAGGAGGGTGCCGGTCCCCAACTCCAGGAGACAGAAGCTCCTGCCCTCAGGACCCTTCTAAATCTCACCTTAGAGGATCATTTCTACATGTTGATTGTCATAGTAGTGTCAGTATTTCTTTGAGTTCTGCCAGCCATGCTATCATCTTAATCAAACCTTAATGGGGATCTGTATGAGTGTCAGTCAAGTTCTGGGGGCCTGGCCTTGATTAGTATCTGAAGTGAGGCAGTCATCTCAGCCTGAACACTCAACCTGTGGAATCTGACTGTCTCCAGGTAGTGTGTCAGAATGGAACTGTGGAACTGGAAGAAATCCCCACATCTTTTGGGATGACAAGGGGATCTCTGTAACTGAGACTGTTTTTCCAGAATAGTCTCAGAGAACTGACCTAACCCAACCTTTTATTACCCTAAACCCTTATGTACCTAGAGATCCAAAGACATTTAACTGGAATAAATGAAACACACAATATTATCTATATATTTGTACAAAGTTCAACTTTTACAGGATACACTAAATAACTGAGTGAAAAATATAAATACTTTATGACAAAAGAGATACTGGTCATATTATTCAAAAGTTACAAATTACTTTTTTTGGATAAAAAATAGCCTTTATTATTATAAAATCTTATTTAAGATTTAACCGCTTTTTTTTTTTAACTGCTAATGTGAATAATCAGTTACTGGTCATGGAATTAGGAGGAAAATATTTGATTGTTTATTTTTCCTAAAGGAAATCAACATATTTGTGAACCTTAGGTCACAGACACATCCAGCTCAATAAAAGTGCCTCCACTTCTAGATAAACTCTTTCAACTCTCCAGAGCAATCGTTAGGATCACTCCTAAGTGCTATAAGACAGCAGACAACTGGGAAAGATTCAAGTGAGACATGACACTCTGTTCCTTGCTTCCGTGCTTTTAGGAGTTTTTCAAGAATTGATAACTCAATGTAGAAAGTAGCAAAAACAGTGAAACAGGAAGTAAGGACCATCTCGGCAGGTGAAGGAAGTGGCAGTTTGCTCTGAAGTAGAAAAAAGCTGAATGGGGCCCAGCAGCATGGACTAGCAGCTAATGTCCTCGCCTTGAACGCACTGGGATCCCATATGGGCACCGGTTCTAATCCCAGCAGCTCCACTTCCCATCCAGCTCCCTGCTTGTGACCTGGGAAAGCAGTCCAGGACGGCCCAAACCTTTGGAACCCTGCACCCACATGGGAGACCTGGAAGAGGTTCCTGGTTCCTGGCTCCAGATCGGCATAGCATCGGCCGTTGCGCTCACTTGGGGAGTGAATCACTGGATGGAAGATCTTCCTCTCTGTCTCTCCTCCTCTCTGTATATCTGACTTTGTAATGAAAATAAATAAATATTTTTTAAAAATTTATTTTCAAAGTACAGCATCCTTAGTAGATTTGTAAGACATTTCCTCACACAGTATAATAATTGACTTGTAGGCCAATGACACCCCTTCTCTTCCACCAGATGACAATGGGATGCTGAGTGATTGTAAATGAAACTTCCTGCGAGTAAACGGAGCTGGGTGTGAGGATTCTTAAAATGGTTGTTAGGGACATTTGAAGCTTAAAAGCAGCTGTCAAAAGCACAAAGAAATCACTAACAGCCTTACATTATAAAATAGAAGTTTAGATATGAAAATCAAGAAACAAAACTAGAAGGAAAACTGGGTAATTTGCAACAATTATGACAAGCAATAATCTTCATTTCAGAAAGATTCTGTACAAATTGATTTTAACAATTAAAGGGGAAGTGGGTAAAGAATAGAGATAGTTTACAAATAATGGCTTAAAATGGCTAACATATCAGCAGTAAAAGGTATGCATTTAAAAATTAAGCGTTCATAAAAGAAATACAATTTTAAAAATTTATATATAAAACTAAAAATTATCTACTGAAACAAACAAACCAACCAATAATAGTAGCATATTGTAGTCCTTCCATTTGTGGCTCTCTACATTTCACGGCTGTCAAGTTGGTTTTATATACTAAGAGCCTTAAAACTCATACCATTTATTCATGAAAGGGACTCTACCCTAAGAAAATAAGGAGGATTTCATTTCTTCTATTATGGTAAGAAAACCTGGCAAAGATAAAATATTTGAAATTAAGATAATGAATGTTTATACATACAATGACTAGGTAAGTTATGACTTTGAGAAACTTTTAAATAACGGGGGAATATTTAAATATAATACTGGAAGAAGAATAGAAATTTACGGTTGGAGTATAAACAATCATAAACATAGCAATATCCTTGCATTTAAAAGGCTAGAACTTTCTTCTTGTTTTTAGTATTTATCATTTTTTTCTATAACCACTATAGGAAAAATGCTCATTACAGATATTAAATAACACTCTCCAGACATGATACAACCTAATTTAGTATTGAGCTGTAATTCCAGGAGACACAACACCTACCCTTGCTCCACACTTGTGTTTGGTCGTTGTCCAGACACAGACTCGGAACTATCTGTTAGCGATGGCACTACAGCCAAAAACCTGGAAAATCGAAAAATGGCATAAATGAAGTCTCAGATGGATTTCCATGGAAACTAAAGATAGAATGATGCATGCGGCCCTCAGCTGGGGTGACTATTCTCGCATCCCAGAAATGGCAGACCCAGGGAGCGTACAACCATGAGAACACATTCAGCTTTGAAGGAGAGTGACATGATGACTTCCAAAGCCAAAGAGAAAGGGGTATCATAAGAGCTGATCTTTCGGACTTTCATCTTCACAATATTAGAAAGCCTTGCCATGCCAAGCCCCAGGAATTGAGTCCACTTAACGAAGACCTGAAATGTGATTCATCGGCCAACTGTTCATGTGACAGCAAGTAATAGGGACAGTCCAACACATGATGGACCAAGGACCTACATGATGAGCCATGTAACATACAACCTTCACGAAGCATCATCTTACAGGGTTTCTTCAGAGTTGCTTATAATGTTAATGAAGTCTTTTAAAGACTTTCAAAAATTTACATTAGAGTAAAGGCGAAACTTGTCCACTTTACTCAGAAGTCCTTCCCTTATATGAAGGCAGTTTGGATTAATCAACACCCAAAAGCCCATTGTGTGAAGAACCATTCTGCTCTCTTGGGTACATTACTGGATTGCAATGATAAGCAAAGGTGCGTGGTGTCAGTTACCCCTTATGTAGGTGGTGTGAAATACAAGACTTTCCAAAATGGAGGGGCCGCACGACCCATTCACATTTTACAGACCATTAAAATGCCTCTTCCTGTTCTGATCAGTTTGAAACAGCCTTAAGATTCACATATCCAGCAGAAGTATCTTCAAGTACCTTGGATATGTGCTGTTTTCCTTTTAGAAAGTAAATTTCAGGAGTTGGTACTGTAGTGTATCAGGTAAAACCACTGCCTGTTGCCATTCCATATGCTCACCCATGTGGGAGACCCGCAAGAAGCTCTTAGCTCCTGACTTTGAACTGTTCCAGAGTCTGCCTCTTTAGCCATTTGGGGAGTGAACCAACAGGCAGACAATCTCTCTCTCTCTCTCTCTCTGTGAATTCTGCCCTTCAAATAAACAAAACTTTTTAAAAAGTAAATTTCACATACAGTTTGCCAAAGCTAAAACATGCCTTCATTAGATAAACTGCTTTTATTTGGCTTTGCTCCTTCTTTGAGAATGAAGGTCCTCGACCCTCCTTCTGCCACTGCGGAGGACTCTCCTGTGAACCTCCAAGGGACTCAGGACCCGCATTCAGCAGCAAGGACTGCAACTGCCTTCACTGTGGCCAACAGGAAACAAGATTACTTTTACATTTGAGGCACTATTTTTTAAGAGAGCTTCTTCTTGTTTTGTATTTAGACATAAGACTTTGTGATGCCACTTTTTGGGGGACCCTGCCACCTGCAGCTCTTCTGGGAGGTCCTAATTCCCCTAAAGCCCTGTCCCAGAGCTCAGGAAAGCATCAACCGATTATCTCTGTGTAAGATATCAGAAAGAAAAACTATTTCACAACAGGAATGTCTCGTTTTGGAATCTATGTAGAAGAATCACATTTCAAGAGTTTGGCACAAGATGAAACAAATATTTTCTTTAAAGATATTGACCCACTGGGGCCCGGCAGCATGGACTAGTGGCTAATGTCCTCATCTTGAACGCCCCAGAATCCCATATGGGCGCTGGTTCTAATCCCGGCAGCTCCACTTCCCATCCAGCTCCCTGCTTGTGACCTGGGAAAGCAGTCCAGGACAGTCCAGTGGTTTGGGACACTGCACCCACATGGGAGACCTGGAAAGAAGTTCCTGGCTCCTGGCTTTGGATCAGCACAGCACCGGCCGTTGCGCTCACTTGGGGAGTGAATCATTGGATGGAAGATCTTCCTCTCTGTCTCTCCTCCTCTCCGTATATCTGACTTTATAACAAAAATAAATAAATCTTAAAAAAATGGAAGATATTGACCCACTGAGCTACATTCTAGATTAAAAAAAAAAAAAAACCAGTTAAACAGGTCATTGCTTCCCTCCCATCTTTTCCCAGGACAGTAGGAACGGTGTTAGAAATAAACAAGACCTTTGATAGACTTTGTTTCTAATTCCTTTCTGAAAAGCAAGCAGGTAATTCCGTCCGTCTCCGGAGAAAACTTCCACAGCAATAGGCTAAGATGAGAAGAGAACAAAAACAAACCACAAACATGGGTCAGATATGGAGTAACTTTTCTATTCTGGATTTCTACATCAAAGAAGGTACATTTCTTGACTTGAGCACACTTTGGGGTCGGGAACACAGCGCACACGAAGCGATACCAGGAACAGATCCTTCTCCTTTGGCTATTCAGCGAATCTTTACTGACAGAATAATGGCAAAAGGAAAGTAATTACAAAATCGGACTTTTTTCCCCTGGAATTAGAGTACGGGAGTAGTTTTTTTTTTAATCACAAAAAGCAAAAATGTTGAGTTGGATACCTACAGAGAACAATGGATAAAAAGAACCCTGCCCAAATTTTAAGTTGTGTCTAAAAGTCTAATGAATTAGGCATCCATGTGACCTGAATTTATCTAAACAATGATGTGAATTGTATTTGTGTGGAGGGTTTTCATGAAACACCAGTTAAAAACTAATACACCTTCCAAATACAAACATTTTCTACTGCTGAGTCAACTCACCTGCAGGAGGTACCTCCTTTTATGCACTTCCTTAATGTCCTCATAAGCAAAGATGCTGCAGGTTCTCTTGAGCTGACTAGGGCCTTGCCTGGCTCCTCTCGGGATGATGGGCTCATGCATGCTGGAGGCAGCCAAGACGAAGGGGCGATGGACAAAAAATACAATCAGGAGATAAACGCGCTGCTCAACAAGGGGTGGGATATTTTCAATACATTAACAGAATTTTCAAGCTCAAAAAATATGCATAAAAGAACAAATTTGCAGCTTGGCCAAAAAGGAATCATCTTTGGCGAATAAAAAGGAAATAAAAACAATCCCTTCATTGCTGTCAGAACTAAGTTACATATCGGACACAGCCAATCCGGTGCTTAAACCTAAGTATTTTTGGAGCTCAAGGAAATACTTTATTTTAAAAGAAGAAGAAAAAAGGGAAAAGTTGAATACACTTGGTTTATCTTCACAGCAATAGTCACAAAATATAACTGGAAGGGTCCATAAAAGTCATAACAGCTGTGACTGTTGTTAGAAGAAATATTGAAGCATCTCCCAGGAAATGAACTGCAGATCACTTTTGCATTTAACAGGCAGGGGTTGGCATTCCAAATGTTAAAAGGGTTGATTTCCCAAGATTTGAGCTTGGCACCTTCCTCACAGCTTGTTCATTTTCATAGTTTTCCATGACTCACTACCATCTCCCTTACAGGGGTAGCAGAAGGAAAGGAAGATGCAAGCTCAGCTAGCCCCAACATGGGCTTCGGTCATCCAAGGGCACGTGGAGACTGTCCTCTGAAGGCCACTGTGCATCATGGAGCAACCTTCATTTACTGCATAATTGTGCATACACTAATACTTTTTAAAGAGAATAATTTACACATCCATATTCAATTCATAAATATATAATAGAGTAATAGGGTGCATGATGCTATTAATGTGTGGGCATAAATGCTGCTTAGTTTTCATTTTCCTAAACAAGGCCTTCATTACCTTGAAATAATTGAATGCTATTATCCTTGTGAAAGTGGAATAATGGACACAAAAACTGAGAAACAGTATAAACTATTAACAAAATTTCTGGATTTAAAAAAAATACGCAAATATATTTTATTGTGTTGTACAGCAAGCTATCCTTTGTATCTCCGTATTCATGTACTTACTTTGGAGGTAAGGTTTCAATGTCTCTTATCTCCCTCGTTGCTGTCATGGTAAAGCCATCAATGACATAAAAGTGCTCCTTTCCGAAAAGCAGTAACCCCTCGCTGGTATCCAGGCCCTGAACTCGAGCACAGCGGTACATGTGTTGGATCTATAGGAAAAAACATAAATAGTTATTATCAGGGCATGTTAAAAGCACTCAGATAATTGCTATCTTTTTGACAAACTGTGTTTGGCAACCCACGAATGTAGCAAGCTAAACAGGAGTCAAGCGTGGCATGAATCAGGACAGTCCAAGGTCTGAGTGGCGGCTGAGGTTAACCATCATGCATCTACCCACCCCCGCCATGCTCTCCACCTCGCCTGGTCCTCGGGTACACTTCCTCAGTACCAGACCATGTGTGCTGCAAGTGTGGCAGCTTAGACAAGCTTCCTTCTCCATGGGAGGGGACAGACACCGACGCCCTGGCAGGAGAGCAAACTGAGGCACACGTGCAGAGATGACAGTCGCGTCGTGTCCCACAGGGGAGAGTTGATCTCGGTGCGCAGTTTTCTGTCACTTAACCGTAAGCACAACAGCCAAATTTCTTAATTTCTCTGAGCCCCTGTGCACCCATGTGTAAGTTTCACATACACAGCACCGGCTTGTTGTAAGAGAGGCAGTGTGCACCCCAACGTTAGGAATTGCTGGTCGTCTTGTGTTTCGCGCAGTTTGCAGTCAGTCCTCGCCTCTCCAGCCCGGGAGCTGGGAGAGCAGCACTGCCTCTCCTCCCCGCCTGTACCCTGCTTCCCTGGCAGAGTACTGTGCCACTGTAGAAAGCAACGCTTGGCAGCACTCATGTTTTCCTCATAGGAGCAAAGGTTGCCAAAATCTCTCAATGTAAGTATTGTTTTCTTCTCAAAGTGCTGTACCCAATTCTCATTCACAATACTTCCTTGCTTAAATTCAATTCAACATGAGTCAAGGGGGAAAAAAAAATCAGCCAGAAAATCAAAGTTAAACAAATGTCAAACGAATGTCGGCCTAAACGCACTTCCTACGCTATCCAAGCTTAAAGCAGTTTCAGCAAAAACTGTAATCGGGAGACTAAAAGTTCGAAAGATGAACAGAAAACAGAAAGGTAGCGGCTAGAGAGGTTGAGCAGAGGGCAGGGAGTGGAAGCTGCTGAACAAAGCCTAAGAAGTCTTATTTACATTGCAGGGAAAAGTGTTAGTGCCCTGTTGCCTCCCAGGGGACCAACGTTACAGACTTAAAGTTCTTATTATACACACATCAATTGTGACATGTGCAGCACAATAATTGGTGAGGTGCTGCATATGTTAATTAGCTTAACTGAACCTTTCTGTAACGTTCATAGATCAAAATATGACATTGGGAAACATGGATAAACATATTTCTCTTTAAAATTAAGTAAAAATTCAAAACTGAAAAAAGTTTAAAAAAATGAAAGCAATTATAATATACTTTCTGAAATATCAAAATGTCAGTTTTCATTTCTATATATGCAATTACTTGAATAACAGACTACTACAGGAAAAAATTTAAATGTACTTTTTAAATAGCTCTTGAAGTGTAACAAAGAGAATACTTTATAGGTACACGGTTTGCTGAATCACAAATGCTGAAAACATAGCTGAGCAGCACCTAGACCCACAGATGGAATTTCCCCAGGCTCTGTGGCCTCCCGAGGCCTCCTTTCCTCTCTCTCTTTCTGTGTGTGTCTCATTTTGTCACATTCCACCTTTTGAATAATGACTCTTAGAAACAAATGGTTAATAGACAAATGTTAATAGATGAACAGTGGAAACTGCATCCAATGACAGCATCCCGGGGCCGGGCTGAGGGGGAGCCCTCGGCAGGTAGTTCTTTCTAGACGACAGGTTCTAACGGTTCAGTTGGGCCAGCCTCTCAGCTGCTGGGCTTCCCAGCTGAACCTTCCTCCTCATGGGTTCTGCTTCCCACCTGGCTTGTGCCACGCTCATCAGCTGGTCCACAGTGGGGCCGCCTGCTCGTGGAATGCGAGCTGAACCGAACCTCCTTCCTTCTTGAGTAGCTTACCTTAGGTATTCATTGTAACAATGACAAGTTGATGAATATAATTTAAAAAAAATACTCTGTATACATGCAGTTCCTTTCCTCTCTTTCCTTTTCCTCCTGTCTTCCCTGCTCTTCCCTTCTTTAATTACCCAATCTTTTCATTCAAAGGTAAACTTTATCGGATATCTGTGATGTTTGTCCAACTGTGTAAAGTAATGAGACAGGAACACAGAATGGGGCCGGCTCACAGCATTGAGGGGAAGAGACACGCACAGGGACAGTTATGAGACCCTTGTAGAGATTCACACACGTGAGAAACCACAGGAGCACAGGGAAGGATATCCAAAAGTGAAGTGGAAAGACGGCAGGAAAGCTTGCAGACAAAGCTCAAGCGGGGATGACTGGGACCGAGGGTATGCCAGTGGAGGAGACGGGCGTGTTCTGGTAGACAATGTCGGGAGTCAAGCACGGAGCAAGAACATGGGAGAAGAGACATGATGGCGTGTTAACTCAGGTTTCAAAACAGTTAGCAAGCTGAGCCTGGTAGGAGGCAGGAGAGAGAGAACCAGGAAAGCAGTGCAGTCTGTAACTGGAGCACAGGGGTTGGGCGCAAGGCTGGGGGACAGGCACGCACTGACGGAGGCTGCTTGCGGGCGGACGCAGAATCACAGGGGAATAGAACACGCCAGCCAGCCGCGTGAGTGCACCACACGGCTTGGACAGAATCCGAGCAGTGCTTCTCTCTAATGATTATAATTATAATAATAATAGCAGAGGAAAATGATGAATTAGGTAAAGACGCAATTATTAACACTGTATCTGATTAAACTTTTAAAAAAATTATTGATTTTTATTGGAAAGGTAGATCTATAGAGAGGAGGAGAGACACAAAGGAAGATCTTCCATTCGCTGGTCCACTTCCAACGTGGCTGCAATAGCTGGAGCTGAGCCAATCCGAAACCAGGAGACAAGAGCCTCCTCTGGGTCTCCCACATGAGTGCAGGGTCCCAAGCCCTGGGCTGTCCTCCACCACCCTCCCAGGCCATGAGCAGGGAGCTGGATGGGAAGCAGAGCAGCCAGCACATGAAGCGGTGCCCACACAGGATCATGACGCATGCAAGCAAAGGACTTCAGCCACTAAGCAACCGTGCTGGGCCCACATCTGATGAAACTTTATACTGCTTAATTAGGAAACATTCGAACCTGTGAAAAGCGAGCACTAAATCCAGCTGGTAGCTTGGTACTGTATTTCATTAGAGGCTAAAATATTTGCCTCCTAGACTCTTCTCTTTTAACATGCCACCTAAATGCTATCTTCGCTTCGGAGACGCACGGTACCTTTTCGCCTTCCTCCAGCAGGCGCAGTAAGGTGGCGTTGTCTGTCTTCTCCTCCTCTTCGATGGCGCTGGCCTCGGCAATCTGGTCCTGGAGCTGCTCCTGGTTCTCCTCGTCTCCTCCATCAGGGGCGGATCGGGAACGCTTCAGAGGAGGCTTAACCAGACCTAGGGCATAACAGCCAAGACGGTCACTGTGTAGTTCTTACGGGAGCAATCCAGACCCCACAAAACTCTGTCTCCAGTGTTGAGAGAACTCTGGGAGGTAGAGAGGGGCGGCAAAATGCCAGTAGCTGGCAGCACAGCTGGGTGTGGAAAGAGTTTGTGTTATGCTGGAAAATGATGGGCTGCTGATGGGCCTCTACTTCCTCATCTCCAAGACTGGGATCAGAGCACTGCCTTAGAGCACCGCCTTAGGGCACCGCCTTAGAGCACCGCCTTAGGGCACCGCCTTAGAGCACCGCCTTAGAGCACTGCCTAGGTAATTCAGGTAAAGCAGCTGGCATCACACTTCACACCTAGCAAACTCTTGGCAAGTGACAGATGATGAGAAGGAGCCTAGCCCAGTTAGCAGTGAGAAGGGTCTCTGAAGGAGACACCATGGATAAATGACCAGTCACTGTCACAAACACACCAAGTTATCAACATATGAGACCCCGCCTCATCGGAAGGCTCATGAAAACAATTTCAGGCCTCATTTCACAAGTGGTGATATGGCTTTTCATGCATGAATGAACTTAGTCAACACATCAGGTCAGGAAGAACAGGAGAGATGAAGGAGACATGTCACAGCTTGCATTCTGATAATGCAGGAAAATTAAAATCAGCTGATGACAGTAAACAGCAGAGCTCCAACGTTGGGAAGCCCTTAAACTATATTCTAGATCACAGATTTCATGAAGTTAATCTCCCCTTAGCTGTAGGAAGGAGAGTAATGTTATTCTTCTGCTAACAGTTGCTCGACATGTTTGGCAAGGTCTAGGTTGGCCTGTGCCTTCTTCCCTGACCGCTCGGTACTGGCAGTTCCGCTTGTCTTCGTAAGAACCTCACTGCTGTGTGTGGCAGTATGACGTGTCATCAGGAGAAATCAAATCCCCCTGGGAACAGCTTACAGCTGGTTTTGATGAGTCAAACCTCTGTCTAGCATGACAACTGGCCTATCATGACACTTCAACAGTGATTGTGGTTCTAGTTCAGTGTAAGTGCTGCCAAAGCAAGCACATGTGGCTTCAGTTCAGAGACGAGAGAGCTCAGGCATGAGAAGCTAGGTGTCAACGACCCAAAGAAATAACCAAATTCTGTGGATTACACTTCGTCTGCTGTCCAGTCACTGCGGCGTTGAGGCCAACGGAACAACTTGACTGGTGCAATGTCAACAAAATGAGGAGGTTTCAACTCCTGCTCAACTAGTAAAATTTTCAGGGATTTTAGGAAAAGATTACTTATTAAACTTTTAGTAATTTATAGTCATTAGAAAAGAGAACAAGTAAATCAAATCACAATTATGGATGGTGTGTTTATTTGATATGGTCACAATTAGTGTTCTAAATAGTGAGTGGTGAAGGCTTCCACTTAGTAATTTAAAAATCTTTCTAAATTTGCTTTTAATTAGACAAGTAATTTATCCTTTAGGGCTTTATTTTTAGAAGATACAAAGCTCTCTAAATTTGTGGTAAATTATAGGCTTAGAGAAGTTAACACAACAGATTGAAGAAGTTAAAACAGTTCCTTCCTCCCTGTTGCCAGACTCCTCTTTTCGTGCTAGGCATGGCCCCAAACCTACATGGCCAGAAGAAATAACCTCTGCCTCCGAGAAGGCCTTATGAAGGACGGAGAGCAGCACAGCAGCACACAGTCTCCGATGCTCAGATGTGTACTGGGCTTCCGAGACAGCTCCTTCAACACAAGGTAGGATGGACGCAGGGCAGGGTCTGTAGTGCATGCACGAAGGGGGCGGAGACCACTCCAGGCTGAGGACACATCTGTATACAAGTGTAGCATCCAAAGGCCCATGGCCATTTTAGTCAACTGTATTATCTTCTATGCTCCTAGACTGGGGATTCCTCCTACTGTACAGGAGAGAAAGACCATCATTTCGTACTATTGGCTGGTATGCAGTGACACATTTAATAGTTCCTGTAATTTCGTAAATACTTATTTAGTTATTAGGACTTTAACTTAAAATATCTGGTTCCTAAGGGCATTCTGCCACATAATTGAAAACAAACAAACAAACAAACATTGTGCCAAGGGGGTACAAGGAATTCCTCTGCAGTGAGTGAAGAAGACCTAATCGCTTTGGTCCCGATATGGAAATCAATCCGTAGGAAGCGTGGGGTGGAAACGCTGTTAAGGCTGGCCCGACTGCTTCTGCCTGCCAGTGTTGTCACTGACATCAGCGAGGCAGGCTCACCCTTGACTTTGGCGATGGTGTCCTCGCCATGCTCCGGCTCCTGCTGAGCGGCCTCCCCTTCGGAAGTCTCTACCATGGTGTCCTGGACGATGGCCGCATTGCCCGACGCCAGCCGCATGTAGTATTCCTTACTGTCGTAGCTGACTGCCCTTCTGTACCGAGCAGGCTTCTAAGAGGTAACGGAAGAGATGACTCAGAAATAGATCTTCAAGAACGGAGACATCAGCCTCAAGCAACAGATAGGGTTAAGATCTTTTCGTGTGACTTTTTTCTTTTTTTAGAGGCTTTTACTAGACTGGAAGTACACATGGTAAATCCAGAGACTTTTGGGTTAGATTTCTCAATTTTGCAATTCCATGGACTTTTAAAGGATGTATATAAGAACATATTTAGCTGTTTTGTTCTTCCCCCAAATAGACAATCTCTAATTAAACAATGCTTCTGTGTTAGCACTGCATTTCATGTGCCAGAAACTCCTTTATCAGGTTGGCACATTACAGAGAATGCCCACGACTGAGAGCACTGGTACAGGCTGCTGTCTGGACTATGAAACGCTTGCAATTTTGCTTTCACTTCAGGTAAAGGAAGTAAAACAGGCCCCCAAGGCTTTTTTCACTCGGTTGGAAAAATCACTAGGAGCATTTATTTCAGATTCTAGCAGGTGGAGACTATTCCCATAGTCCTGGCTTTCAGCACAACTCCAGAATGGACCAAATCCTTTTCCCCACCAGATGGCGCTCTCGGGTTGGCCTGCCCCCTTACAAGCTAGTAGCTCCAGTCTACTCAAACATCTTCATTGTTCCTGGCGTAAAATATAATCCATAAATGAACACAATGAAAACAGAAACAACATGTATAAGTCTGTCTTGAAGAAGAAATTATCTAGAAACAAATTTTTAATGTTTTGATATATAATACAAGAGTATTTTCATAATGATTGTCAATCTAAAAGCAGATTCTCCAATTGACATAAAATTTTCTTCTTAAAATTGTAGACGATGAGGCATTAAGGTCTAAAACACCCTACAAAATTTAAAGCCAGAGGAAAAAGGTCCACAGGTATGTAGGTTCTACAGATCAGGATGGGACCCAGACTTCTGTGGAATTTAAAAAATGATGCAATTTGCAACCAGTTCTTAAAATCTCTCCTCCTAAATTATTATTTTATTCCTCCTTTCCTGGAATGAGAGAGATTCTACTGCCTGCTTCCTCTCCAGACTCAAGCAGTTAGTATGTATCAGCTAGGACAATGCCCACTTCAAGCAGACTTATTCTGCTTCCACAAGGGATTTCCAACTGAAGCAGAAAACAGCGTCTATGTGGGTGGACCATGGAGACTGAAACATGGAAACAATTTTCAGTTTTAAAGAATGGCTCTAATTAAAGTCTTATCCCCTTTAGTGCAGAGCCAGGGACTAAGGGGCAACCGTGAATGAATGCAGACATGACGTGTAGCAAATGAATATGGAAAAAAATCTCACATGACAGCAAAGCATTAAAATGCTATAAGCTAATATTACAACTACAAAAGGCTCAACTGGATGGGCAAACTAGTAAGAATACTGTGATGCCTTAATAAAAATTGTGTAACAATCTTCTGTAGGAGAGATGATAATCTCCAATTCAAACTCGCTAGCACTTGAAAACATGTAAGCAGCTCGTGATGGCCAAGACAACGTGTTAACACAGGCGACAGGGCCAACTACTCGGTTACGGAGAATTTTTCCCTAAATATTTTGAGGTGTATTTCTGGGTTCTGAGGAGCTTCATTTTGGCAGGGTTAATTTACAATCTTTCTGGAAAATGAAAATGATGATACGTTTTTTTTTTTATGTTTACCCAGATCAACTAAAATTGTGTTTCAACAAGATTATTATATACTGAATTTTTGTTTGATTGAAGTAATACTTTTATAAGAGGATAGGCTTATGTTCTCAAAATATTTAGGAGCATTAAAGAGAGTAACTTAAAAACAAAAAAATCCAAGTAGAAGATGCTAGCCTGCCTATGGGGAACATGCTTCCCACCGGGTGAGCTGACGTGTGCAGCCATCCGCAGCTCGCGAGGGAGAGCGCTGAGTGCAGTGTGTTAGTGAGCGGCGCACAGAGCAGCCCTGGGAAGGGCTTATCAGAACCGACTGCCGGCAGCACCTCGCGACAGGAAGAACCCATTGTCCAACGGAGGAACTTACCGAGCGAGCAAACGGAAAGCCGACATTGTAAGTTAGTCTAGTCTACCATGCACCAAAAAAGACCCAGAAAAAGACCAAACAAAAATAACAAAAAAACTGCAAGTACTTTGCATTCTTTTGTGGTCATTTGTGTGGTTTACCTTTTGAGGAATGATATCATCGGGTGGCTCAGGCTGTTTACTTGGAATCTCATACTGAAAACAGGGTATTAAGTACAGAGACATCAGAAAACAAAAAACAAAAAACATAACGAGGAACACAAAAATAAAACTGAGGACGGCATGAAATACGGAGGATGCAATTACGCCAAGCAAATGTATGATAACAGAACACCTTACACCTAGTTTTTCACAATGATCAAATATGGTTTTACGTAAAACGTAAGGGACACCAAAAGTCTCCAGTCTGCAGAACAGGACACACTCTTGCAAAAATCACAGTTAAAACTTGAGCACACGCTGCCCTTGCTGGGGAGGATCTACAGGCTCTCTGTGAACTCAGACGGAAACCTGGGCGGCGGAACCTCTGCTGGCTAGCAGCACCCACCTTCCTTTCCTGGCTCCTTCCCCAACATCTGCCTTGCAGGAACAACTTGGTGGTTTAACCTTTCACCTTTCCACAGAAATCACACTTCTTTCTTAGGGGAAAGGCGTCTTCCCATAACAACCCGGAGACCTTCTTTCTGAACTCGCATGCGAGAAAGGCTGAACACACGGAGCACCCATCAGCCCCAATCAGGTGGTTTTCTGGAAAGCTTTTACAAGGACCCCGCAGCTGCCTGGTCAACAAGGAGGCCCTCCCCGCGGCACTGGAGCACACGGCAGGTGACGTCAGCACGCAGGCACTAGACAATAAACAACGCAGCCAAGAACCACTGCTGCTCATGGCTAGTATCTGAAGATGACTTTCGTATCTTTCTCTCCTTAACACATGAGCAGACCAAACTTTTTCACAAATGTCTGCTTCCTTAGGCGGGCACACATTCAAAGGTTTAACATGTTGTTACCGAATCTTTCTTTAGAAAGATTCCAATCTTGTTTCTCAAACTATCTGGGATGCTGGGCCGGGGTTTTGTGATCCCCTAGTGGCTAAAGTCCTCGCCTTGCGTGCTCCGGGATCCCAACGGTTCTAACCCCCCAGCAGCTCCGCTTCCCATCCAGCTCCCTGCTTGTGGCCTGGGAAAGCAGTTCAGGACAGGCCAAAGGCTTGGGACCCTGCACCTGCATGAGAGACCAAGAAGAGGCTCCTGGCTTCAGATTGGCTCAGCTCTGGCCGTCGTGGCTGCTTGGGGAGTGAGTCAATGGGCAGAATATCTTCCTCTCTGTCTCTCCTCCACTCTGTATAGCTGAGTTTCCAATAAAAATAGATCTTAAAAAAAAAAAAACAAGAGATCAAGAAAAAAATTACTTAATGGTACATTTAAAGTCTGTATTTTGCAATGTATGTAACATATATCTCAATAACAACTATAAAGAAATACTGAACTATACTCCATGACATGCGCAAGTGTTTAGCAAAGACAGCACTGATCTGAAATTCACACTGCAGCTCCTGCGCTGGACCGCTACATACACCAGCGTGCAAAAACAGAATGACGACTATTTCCGTCCGGCTTTGATATTCACCATAGCCTATTTGTACATCCGCAGACTGTGGGGAGAACCCATCGTTACACTCTTCAGTTTTTCCTACAACAACACATGGCACATTCCTGCCCTAACAGGCATTTCCTAATTCAACTATGGATTAATTAAGGATCCTATTTTACTAAAATGCCCAGAATTGAACAGCAATATGCCAATGATTTCAGAATTGCATGATTCCCTTTCCTTTTAACAGGTAGCCCTAAATTATTATTACAATTATGCATATACAGAAATTGAAGTTTCTCAAAGAAGTTCTAGAAAATAATTTTAAAGTTCTTTCACTTTAATTTTTTTAAATGCTGGCAATACAGTTTCACAAATAAGTTGCTTAGTTTGAGCCTTGTGATTTTATGTTGTATAAAAACACATGTGGAGACAGTGGCGACAGATTCACTGAGAAAAGGAACCTTGAAGTGAGCCAGTTAGCCTCTGTCCCCGAACAGCCCCAAATTAAAAGATGCAAGGCAAGCTTTTATCTTGATGAGATTTTGCAGAATCTAGCAACATTTTTGAGATCCTCATTCTGTACAAATAGGGAACTACACAATTTAAATCTACTGTAGATTGAAGTGGGATTTTTTAAATGACAAATATGAGATCTTAATTTTTCTTCACTAAGATTCATAGAGTTGCTTAAGAACAACCAAATTTTATGTTTTCATCATTGCCTACGACCTACAAATCAATGCTGGAGAAGTGTAATACAGACCACGCACAAGGTCTCGGACAAGCAACCCCGCAATCTTGTTTCTCAAACTATCTGGGACTACTGAGTCTGCTGTGCCAGGATTTTGTGATCCCCAGAAAATCATCAGGAGTCTGAAGTCAATGCCAACGCATGAAGGTGTTTTATTGAAAACTAACCTAGGCTCCCAGCCCAGCAGGACGGGGGAGCAGCAGCCGCTGCCAAGGTGGCTGAAACAGGAAAAGCTGCAGCTGAAGGGGCAGTAGAGGGTCCAAAATGGGAGAGACTCACTGGGGTTCAAGAGCCCAGGGTTCTTACACACGTCAGGCCAATTCCACACAATTACACAGTCATGACTGGTCAGTTTAACTGTTAACTTTCAAAAAGAGCAAGTTGGCAGGCTTCTATCGGTGTGTCTGAAGCAAGCAACTTTCAAAAAGTTCAACCCATTGCTATAGGGCAGTGGGTCTTATCTAACACTAGGGACCTGCTCCCTGAGGAGTAAGCTCTGCCTACATGACCTGCCGGGTGCCCTGCCAGGTGTCCTGCCAGGTGCCCTGCCGGGTGTCCTGCCGGGTGCCCTGCCGGGTGTCCTGCTGGGTGCCCTGCCAGGTGTCCTGCCGGGTGTCCTGCCGTGTGTCATGTAGACTGTCAGGCCTGGAGTTCACACAGCCCCCAGCTAAGTAAGTAAGGCAGAAATCACAAAAGCAGAAAACACCTAGACTCTTCAAGCTCTGCTCAGATCTTTACTCTACCACTTAGTGGCTGTAATCTAGAGGGGTTCCTTAACTTCTCAGGGTTTTAGTTCCTTATCTTAAATTTGAAGCAATAGTAATAACTATGCTTCAGTTACAACTGCCTGAAAACCGGTCTGTGGAGTTCAGCTCCCTGCACCCTGTAACTACAGTCACAGGTGGCTTAACAAGATGCCTTCAGGCCATCTTGTCACTGGGTAGATATCACAGAGGGTACCTAAGAGGCTGACACCGCTGCAGCGTTACTATGTGACATGCTGAACTGCACAGCTGTCCCTGTGGCCTGTGATTGACACAAATGTCACCATGTGGCGCCTAAGTGTACCAGCGCCTCTTTTCCCCTTTTAGGGGAGCAGTCAAGGGGATAACAGATGCTTCTCATTTTTGAAATTTTCAGTTTTCAACACTTTCAGATGGCACATGCCATAAGGTAAAAGTCGCTATTTGAAGGTGTTTCAAATTTACAGAAGATTATGAGCTAGGAGAACCAAAGTAAGAACCATCCACTTGGAAGGTTCATCATAGCGGAGTCACCTTGATGTGTGTGTGAAAGGGTGCAGCATGCATTCCATGCTCACCGTCGTTCCCCTTCAGGTCAGCTCACCTGCAGCATTTCTCAAAGGCCTGTGCCTTCCAGGATGTGACCCACATGTGAGAGATGGGCTCCACATGCACAGCCTTCTTCGTGACAGGGCTTAGGTTTCCCAGGCTGGTGAACCGTGGCTTAGGGAAAAGCTGCCAACACTGGGATTGGTGGGTGTGAGCCCCGAAGAGCTGATCTGGTTTACATCTCACACCAAAGCTTAGACATAATTTCATCAACCAATGCCATTTGTTACCCATAAAAGTACTGATAAGACAGTGATTGGGAAAATCAAAACGTATGCCTAAGCTAAGTGATAAGGGTTAATTGGTCACAGGTATAAAAGAATGTATATGTATTATATTATGATACTCCTGAATGGTTTTAATGTATATAAATGTTGCTTCAATAAGAAATATTCTATCAAATTGCTATGGGCTTAAATTATTTGCTAGAAAGGGTCACGGCATACCGGGTTCTCCTCAAACACTTGTGCTGACTTGGAGGTCTGGGCCAAGGCCAAAGCTGGGAGTCAACAAGACCCTGATCCTTCAACGGGCAGCAGACAGCCACCTCACTGCCCCATCAAGGCAGCTTTGCAGGGTTTGCATTGGCAGGAAAGCACTGCAGTGTGGATCCAGGACATAAACTCAAGGACTCTAACACGTGATGCAGGCTGAACATCTACCCCGGATCTGTCTGGAGGGGAATTCACAGCAAGAGGCTATACTGCTGCTTTGGCTTTGTAAAAGCAGGTACTCGGAAAAGGCTGCAAATTCACAAAAAGTTTTGAACTACTATGGTGCTTCAGTTATAGTGCTGTTGACACAACTCAGCATTAAGAAAAGAAGACGTTCAGGAACTATCTTCAAAAACTTTAAATCTCTGCAGGGTCGAGACCTGTAATCGTTAGAGGTTGCTTCAACCTGAAAAATTACAATTACATGTATCTCTGAGGTCCAATGTGATGTTGTGATTTACACACAGTATGCGATTTGAAGTGATTAAGTGAATGTGGCCAGCACCTCAAACACTTCTTTTTCTGTGCTGACATTAGTAATGTTCTCCCTCAGCAATTCTAAAATATATGCTACTAACAGCTGCTATGCTGTACAACACATGTAAAAAAAAAAAAAACCCTCTTACTCTCATGTTTAAGTGAAACTGCACTTTGATCGACACCTCCCTATTCGGTCCACACTGGCCGCTGGTAAGCAGCGTCCTGTTCTATGCTTCTGTGTCCGTTCATTCCAATTCCACACTAAGCAAAGCCATGTGGTGATTGTTTCTCCACCTGACTTATCGCACCTAACATTATGTCTTCCTGTTCACTGTTGGCAAACGACAGGACCTCCTGCTTCATTCAGGCTGAGTAGCATTCCACTGTGTTATTATGGACGTCTCATTTTCATGATTCTTTACCCACTGATGGACATTTGGATGGATTCTGAGCCCTGTCTTCTAGCACCAGGACAGAGGATGAACCAACTGCAGTAAGTGAGGGAAGTCAGAATATTTGGAGAGGAAACAAGTAAAAAAGTATTCTAACCATCTGAACTGCTTCATAATCCAAACTGCTCAGTGCTTATTCTCTGCTAGTTACTGGTGCAAACCCCACATTGTTTTAAACTCACATAAGGCTTCTAAGAGCCCTATGAGGTGGAAATCTCTTAACCACAATAGACAACAGGGAGTGGAGAGTTGAAGCAGCTCAACAACCTGTAATTATCTAGGAAAGTGGCAGAGCCAGGCTTCAACCCCAGACAGGCAGGCAGGCAGGCAGGCCGCAGAACTGCGACCTAAGCCACGCCCGGGATGCCCGCTGGTTACACTGCTCGTCCTACCACCCACCACCACCCAGGCATTATCAACACAACATGGCTTGTTGAATTTGACCTAATAAGGAAGAATGCTTACCAAGAAGTTAAACAAAAAAAGGCTCACAGAGTTGAAACAAATATTTAGTTTTGCATACTCACCGCCACATTTGTTTCTTGTTCTGTTTCTGGCACGTAAGGGTAGTGGTTATAAAACATATCATTTCGCACCATCTTTTTCCTCATTCTACAGGGCCCTTCTGTCATCTCCAGCATCCATTTGTCCAGATGGGAACCGATCGGAGGACCCCACAGCCCTCGCTCCCGCAGCAGCTCACACTCCATCTGGCACCACTCTTCCGTCACATACTTCAGGGCATTCTGCTGGCGCTGGGCGGGGGAAAGGCCCAAGATGGTTTCCAAGCAAAAGCAAGAGAAACAAAGAGATGCCTAACAATAACTTCAAAACCAGATCATTATTTGGAGACAAACACAGAATGTCATTTAATATTATGAAAGTAAGGTTGTGTTTATATAAGGTTAAAATAAACTAATGATTTTGTGAGAAAGTGGCGCTTTGTGTGGTGACTTATAAAAATGATTATTCTAGCATCCAGAGAGAATACAGAATATCAAGGAACAGATAATAGGAGGAATTTTGTTTCCCTGGCAAAGGAAAAATATAAGCATTTAATATTTATTAAAATGTATTGAAATGGTTAGCCTTGTGAGGGTTAACAAATGCACATGGCATTTTGAGGCTTTACCCCCAAGCCACTGAAATCGGCACAGAAAGAAATCTGACCAACAAACCGTGTCAACAAGCCAGGTTTCTGGTCAACTTCCTAAACAATTTCAAAGATTCCTTGGTGAAGAATATAAACATACAGCCATGAAAGTCAACATTCATATTAAAAAGAAAAAAAGGAAAAAAAGAAAACTCATCTTGTGCTAACAACTAAAACAGAGTCAAAGCATTTGCTTGAATGGAATTTGTGATCTGATAAAACTTCTTGTTGTGTCTAAGAAAAAGACTGTAATGCTTTTCTATTTCATGATCATGACTAGCTTACCTGATGATATCTGGAATGTAAGTATATGATTTAAGCTATAGGAAAAATAAAGATCTTTAAAAATTATCAACAGGAAAGGTTACTAAGTGAATAATCAGGGAACTCTGTACCACAGTGGTATGCATGCGCGCTTACAACCCTGGATATCTAAGAAGCTAGTGCATGTCTAGGACACAGCAGGAGCAGGCTGTCCGCAAAACATCAGTAGAAAGCCATTCAGAAACTCACCACTTGGAATTTATTTTTCACTGACATTACCGAGCATGCATGGTATAAAAAAAATCTCATCCTGTACATTTTTAACAATTTTAAAAAGCATTCTTAGAAACTTTGATATTGATTTTCAGCTCCTTGGTTTAAAGTATGACAGAGAAGGATCATTCTTACATTTTTATCAGGAACAAGGGTATGTTATATTTAAGTAGTGAATGCCACTTAGGCTCATTTCCAAATACTATTGCTTTCGAAAATGCAGCCTGTTTACAAGGAATACAAATTTTTGGTTGTAACCTCCATGGCTAAAATTGATGCTCAGGACAATTAAAATCACCATTGTGTGATGAACGTATTTCTGCAGTGTGCCCTTAAAATTTATAAGAAGGTAACAGCAGGGACAGTCTTTCCTCCTGAAGGAATGCAGAACAAATCTTTATTATGATTATGACTTCTTACCTCCTGATACTCCTTATATTGAGTGTCTACCAAGTCACGAACAACAGCAATGTGTGTGAACATCCACTGAGAAATCTCCTAACAATGAATGGAAAAAGAGTCTTTAATATACAATGGATTTCCTGAGTTATTCAGTGATGAAATGAATGCTGAACAATTTGTTAAGAAAATCCTAAGCACTGACTGTCAAAGTCATTCCAAAAGAAAAAAAAAGAAAAGAAAAGAAAAAAAATGATAAAAGGCCGCTGAGAGATGACACAATGAGTCTGAGTATAAGAGGGGTCGTGTGATGGATACGGACCACAGTAACCCAGCCCACAAGCCCTTTCAGAGAAAGCCCTGCAGCCCCAGCTGCTGAGGGCCATCTGCCCCTTCGGGGATCAGGAACAATTCTGCTGAAAATTAGGAAACTGGAAAAAAAGTATGCATGGTCTGTTGATATGTCAATCTCTGAAACTCATGTCTGGTTATGACATGGATATAAACACTGAGCGCTTGCAAGGCAATTGCATCTGAGCAAAACGGGAGATCACGTCATAACCCAGTTGCTGCTCCCTTCTAAAGTGAAAACACAAAAATGGCACACTTTGAATCCTCTGTTCGTACACATGAAGTGTATTCTACGAGAAAAATCCTACAGCTAGACCTTGAAATACAAATTCCTGTGACTGGGACCAGAGAAAGTAAGCCATGTACCTGGGTGGAGAGGCTGTGCTTGTTCAGACCACTCTCCTTTCGGTTCCTTCTTGACCCCGTCAGCTTGGAGAGGCCGAAGCCGCTGCTGACACGGGACAGCTTGGACTGCGTGCTGGGCACCAGGGCCTCTCCTCGACTGATGCATTTCTTTTCGTGAGCTAGGACATTAAAATCAGAATATTTCACATATTTTTTCATGAACTCTTTAATATATTTGTACTATTGACTGCCAAGCTACAATCTTGAACAGTAGTTCCCTTTAATTTGTGGTACTACTTTTTGTGGTTACCTGTGGTTGACCAAGGTCCAAAAATGTTACTATACTGTGATGAGAAATTAAGAGATATCTTGAGGACAGGGGAGGAGAGAGAAAAGTAATTATATTCACAAAGCTTTTATTATTGTATATGGCTACAACTGTCATATTTTATGTTAGCTAGTTTTGTAAAAAAAAAATTTACTTGGGACTGGCACAGTAGGCTAGCTTCAAAAATCCTTGCCTTGAACATGCTGGGATCCCATATGGGCTCCAGTTCCAGCCCTGGTGGCCCTGCTTCCCATCCAGCTCCCTGCCTGTGGCTTGGGAGGGCAGTTGAGGATGGCCCAAAGCCTTGGGTCCCTGCACCAGTGTGGGAGACCTAGAAGAAGCTCTAGTCTCCTAGCTTCGGATCGGCTCAGCTCCAGCCTTAATGACTGCTTGGGGAATGAATCAACGGATGAAGATCTTCCTCTCTGTGTATCTGACTTTGCAATAAAAATAATAGAATACATCTTAAAAAATATACTTATTTATTTTTTAACTTGAGATTCAGTTTAGGAGAGAGAAAGAGCAAGAGCGGAGAGAGGTTCACCCCCAAGATGGTTGCAACAGCTGGAATTGCCCTAGGCCTGATCCAGGAATCTCATCCATGTCTTTCATGATAATGGCATGGGGGCCAAGCATTGGACCATCTTGCACTGCTTTCCCAGGAGCATTAGCAAGGAAAGGATTGACAAATGGAGCAGCCAGGACTCAAACTGGCACCCATATTGGATGCCAGCCTTGTAGGCAGTAGCATAACTCTCCGTGTCATCACCTTGCTATTAATATCTTACTCGGCTTAATTTGCAAATTAAACTTTATCATAGGTTTTTTTATATAAGGAAAAATATAGTATATGTAGGGTTGGAGGCTGTCCATGATTTTAAGCATTCCCTATACATAGTGTGGACTACGGTAGGTATGAAAAACAACACTGGGTTAGACTTCGTTCAAATACAACAGATTTGCTTCCTATCGATCTTGTTAAAAGATGACTGCTTAATTATGATTATAATAGTTGACACTTCACATCTCTGAAATGATATGCAAATTTATTAACTGTAGTAAGTTCCTGCCATCTCCTATCTAAAATTTTTGATACTGGGTATACTTCAGAATTCAGAAAGTTTTTAATTTTGAAAAAGGTTTTTGTTGTTGTTGTTAGGTGTTCTCTATATAATATAACATGAACAGAGGGTTTAGGGTCATAAGTGACAATTTAATACATGAGTATTACCACCATGAAACATGTATGAATATTCACATTAAGGAGGATCAGGCAAAAGATTAGTTAGCTTTTGCAAACAAAATGATTTTGGGCACCCAACCCTATTAACAAAAATCTCACAGGTTTTCAGGGATTTTTGACCTTGAGTACAAAGAGTGACCAATCTCAATCTGTGAGCAATGTATTATTTTCTAAACTTAGATGCCTGATTTATCTCAGAGGTTAAAAAATAATCTACGAAAAGCCAAAATTTCATATAACCATTCCAGAATCTTCTGTCACACAGGTTTGTTTTCCTGCTGCCATCACGGGAGTCCTCTGGGAATGTTGCTATGATCCTGCAGCGTGCACATCAAAGACAGGCACCTGTGAGTTTCTAAGTCACATGATCCCTGCTGGTCATCTCACCCAAATGATTCTGCCAGCACTTCAAACCAGCTTCTTCAATGAGCGGCCGTGCGATGGCTATGTCCACGTGGCCTCTCTCATTCACGGGCAGAGTGACTTTGAAAAGCTCCTCTAAGACCTGCTTCTTACTGTGTATCAGTTCCGTCCAAACTCTGTTTACAGCTTTTATCAGAAGTTGACGGCCTAGTAAATAAAAAAGAGTGAGCAGGTAATCAACAAAATGCCAAGTCAGTTTATTTCTTTTCCTCCACGCTTTCCTCCTGGGAATTTCAAGCTACAGTACCTAATTACAAGTAAAAAAAAAAAAAAAAAAAAAAGGGCGGGGGGTTGGTTTATAACAAATCCAGCCTAGTCCAAAGGATTATCTGATACTGAAGCTTCTTGGAAAATATTTTAGAAATCTTTACATTCATGCAAGAAGATCACAATTTCACCCATAAAGTTAGACATTAGGAGTAGATGTGTGACTATGGGATTGGGATTTTTACAACCCAGAATGGAGCGCGCCTGGGTTTCAATTCTGGCTCCACTCTCAATCCAGCTGCCTGCTAATGCACACCCGGATGCACCATGTGATGGCTGAAGCAGTGGCGTCGGCCCCCATGTAGCCCTGGATTGAGGTCCTAACTTCTGACTGCGGCCTGGCTCCTTCTGACCTGTTGTGCGCCACAGAGCAGTGAATCAACGTATGTGAGCTCTCTCTGCCATTCAAACACAAACACAGCTAGAAATTTTACATACATGTAACTAATTGTCAGGTTTCTAGGAAAGCATTGTTTTAAATTTTAAAATATCTTAAGAATAATTTTTAGGTTTGAACACTGACAGTGTGCTGAAAACAAAGTTATTTTCTGAAAAGGACAGACATAATAAGCATCTTGATGATATTTTTACTATTGGAGTCCCTAATGCTCTGAACTCCTTGCTAATGTATCTGCCTTGTCCACTACAATCAGTCTCTAACAAGCATAACAATCACCCAGAGGGCTTGCCCCTGAGAACCCTGTCCCTGCAGCTTCTGCTTCAGTGGGCCCGAGACAGGCCAGAGAAACCACTTTGCTAACAAGTTCCCATGTGCTGCTAACACTGCCATTCTGAGGACACTGCTTTGAGAATCAGCAATCTGGATTGTCAGAGCCTCAGAGGGTAAAAACAAACTGTGTCTGCAGTGCCTGGGACTCGAGAAATTTTCATAAATAGAGAGCAAATTAATGCTGAAATAATTGAACAAAGAGCGAGTGTTTAGATTTCCAACGACAAAACCACAGGCAAAACTAACATATATCATATTACAGGGGAGACAAACCCTCACATATCATTGTCATTACCGAGTACCTGGAAATCAGAAGCCATTACAGGATAAGATTTCAATACACAACAATCTTTTGTAACATCAGTCCGGAGACCATGTTTCAAAAAAGAATAAAAATGGTACTATTGACACTCTGATTGAAGGAACATCTATGATGTGCTAAGCATCACAGCACCTGCCATGGTTTGGATGTAGTCTGAGTGTGTCCCCTGAGGGTTCATGTGTTGGAAGCTTGCCCTTTAGTGTGCCAGTGTTAGAAGGTGGTGAAACCTTCAAGGTGTGGGCTGAAGGAAAGGAACTCTCACTGAGGTTACTGCCCTTGACGGTAACTGATGCAGTCAGTTTACTGGTTAACTCTCACGAGAGGGCTGTCAGAAAAGAGCATGTTGAACCCCTGAATGGCTCTCCACTTTCCTCTCTGCCCTCCCCTGCACGCTCCACCATGAGATGATATAGCACCGGAGCCGCTTCCGAAACTAGTACCGCATTGTGTAGATTTTCAGTCTCCACAGCTGTAAGTCAAATAAATCCCTGTTCTTTGTAAGTTACTTAGCCGCAGGTGTTTTGCTGCTAACAACTGAAAATGGACCATTATGATTAGGTAGTTGTAAACTCCAGGCTAGCACTTGTGCAAATGTCAACACCATCAGGGCTCCCAGCCTCGCCAGGACACACAGAGTGAGCACAATCCGTGGCTAGTGCTTCGTCCGCTGCAGTTCCAGACAATCTGACACACAGCGCTGGGGCTGTACAGAAAGTGGCTGCCAATGTTGGCTGGTTTGGAAGTCCACTTGTGGTTATATTTTAAGAATTAGAAACGAAGTAGCAACAACTAAAGGCCATCAATTCAGATAATTACCTTCACTAACATCTTGGGTGTAGCCACCATCTGGTTCAATGTCAGAGGGGATCATTATATGCCAGGTAGTCATACGAGCTTCTGCTTCTAGTCCAAATCCATCCACGTTGCTGAAAAATTCCAGTTCACACAATATGTAGCTTAGAACTGTAATGAGTCATTCTTCAAACACAAGCAAATGGTGGCTCCATCAGAGTGCTACTACAGGCAGACAAATACCCGCACATACAAAGCAGGGTTTCTGGTCTACCATGAAGGTGCCTTTACAAGGGGTCATCTTACAATCCCACTTACATGTATTTAATCTATAACATCAAAACGATGGTTTAAGATGATACTGTTAATTTTTTTAAACACAAAATCTCAAGAAAGTTCATTTGATGAGGAACATTGGCCTTTCTCTAGTCCCACTTCTCACCCCTCTACTCTAGGAGTATGTACTTGCAGTTTCCCTGATTGTTACACTTCTCTGGCCGAGCAGTCGGGGCATCTGCTACACGCTCCTAAAGCACCTTGCTGCTCCTGAGGAGCACATAGTGCCAGTTCTCCTTTCCACAGGGCCGTCCCGCAGCCAGCCTTACCCAACCACCTCTTCACCCAGCTCCTAATTCAGTGCCTAGTACACTGAAGAAACATCCACCAAACCGATTTACACAAAAATATTTTTACTCATTTAATACACAACAGTGTGAATTTTTCTTTTTTATTTTTAAACTCCCCAAATGTGTATTTTATTCCCTTATAAGCTAACTTCCCTTTTTCAAATTATGTAATGACATATGGTGATTTTAGAAAAATTTAAAAATGCAAGAAGTAAAGGTGGGGGAGGGAACCCAACTAATTTACTGGAAAAGTGCAACAAAAAATTCCTTCCCTTTTGCATAAAGTTTTAAGGCAAACAGACTAAAGGAATAAAAAAAGTTACTGTCAAAAAAGTAAGACAAAAAATTCTAATACAATAATAACAAAGATCAATTCAACAAGACACATTGAACCGGAAGAGGCTTACCTGCCAGCATGCAGATTGACCAGGCAGTGAGCCAAACAGCTAATGAATTCTTGGTCATGGTTCCCAGGTCCCAGGATCAAGTTCCTGTTTACAGTAAGGACCCTGAGAGAATCAAGCAGAGCTACTTGCTGAGGAACGGTTTTGTGTGCCCGTGAGAACTGGTACAGGATGGTTCTGTTGAGGCAGTGGTAGACTGAATCCAGTGACAGCCCCTGTGATCTTCTCTTTGACTAAAGATATGAAAGATACGGTTTTAGTATAATGGGCAAAAATAAAAAGATTATCATTCATACACAAATGTCTATTCTATTAATGTACCAGACACCATGCTAAGAACCCGGGGTACTCAAGTAAGAAGTCCAAAGTTCTTGCTGTCGTGGAGTTTAACACCCACAGGATGCATAAACACAAGGTAGGGGATGAGATGAGTGCCACATCAAAGTCCAAGAAGGAAGGCCACCAGCACTCCCAGAACAAAGCATCCTCCAGGAGAACGCTCTTGGCATCTCCTACCAAACACACGTGATGCTGGTAAACGACCTCCACTCAAAATAGCTAAGATGTTAGTAAAAATAACTTAAAAAAATTGTTTTTATCCCTTTACTTGAGAATTGTTCTCTTGATCTTAAATACAAGCTATCTTAAAGAAAAAACATAGGTGGTATCACCTAATTTATGCACCTGCAGAAGATGCTAATCAACAAGAAAACAGTGCATGCTGAATTGGAGTAAGCACCTGTGCCAAACCAGGTCACTATTCCGTAGACAGGGATGCCACGGTACACATGAAAAATGGTGTCCTGTCATGGACTTTGTAAGATTCAACTGCAAGGATTTTACTTTTGTGCCAATGTTTCGTGTTCTGCAAGCCTTTACAGACTGATGGACTATAGTGTAAAAACCTATCCCATTGTATGGGACAGCAAAAACAGTATCAGAAGGGAGGTCAGAGAGTGTGCCACCAAGTAGGCAACTGTAAAAGAGATATACCAGCACTGCACTATTGGTAAGCAGGGAGAAGTTAAAGGCTTTTTTTCTTTTATTCACTTCCAACAGGTCCAGCTCTACAGATGTTAACACTTATTTTCTTATTATAGTTATACTTATGTCCAACAATTCTGACACCATAGGCAAAATTTTTTAAATAGGAAAACATGTACTCTACAACTAAAAGTGACAATGGATTACCTGTGCGATTAGTTGAATTATAAAATCTATAAGAAGTTTAGATTCTTTGTTGAACATGCCTTGCCAAAGCTTGTCCACCACACGTTGTGTGAAATAAAACACATTATTCACCAATACCTGGTAGCTTCCTCCACTGGTAATGGGCAGAGATGCATCTTCCCCTAAATTCCAGTAGGAAAAAAAGGTCTAAGAAAATTGGTATCTCCTAGTACAAGACCATAACCTCAAGGAAATGAGGCCAGGGAAAAATGAGTATATCTATTATAACATTCAGATATATGACTACTAGCCCTTAGTTACTACTGTAAGAAAATGATGCTATGGAAAGAAATCAGGAAAAATATGGGAAGAAATAATTTCAGCAAGGTAAAGTGACATGGATTGAAGCTATGGAGTTAAGTCTCTTACTACCTGAAGTTGGACTGTGACAAACAGATCTCTAACTGGAAATTGCCAAAGACAGGTGATCATCATCAGAGTGAAAAATGAAGTTCATTTACTAACTCTAAATTGATCCTGCGGAGGTGATAATGGCTAACAAAGCTCTCTCCTTTAACAGCAATGATGGGCAGAAGAGAGCCTCAGAAAAATTGTGGAAAATAAAATGCAATCAGTGGTGTCTCGCTTCCTTGCTAAAGCTTGCTACTGGCACTGTATTCTCATTATAGCTTATACATGTGTTCAGACATCCACATGGCTTCAGGGCTAATCCTCCTGACCTTTCCTCTGAAAGGCTGTATTGAATGTGATTGTTATTCACACCTAATTCTAAATTGCCGTATTAAGCAAAACTCTTCATTCTGCATCATTATATAGGAAGATTTCAACAGATAAATATAAAAGTGTGATTTGCCATCCAGCTTTGAGGGTACAGAAATGTAAGGGCTAGGTTTCCTAATCCACAAAGCATCGCTGGCAAATTTACTTTGAGAAAAAATGTCAGTTTAATGACACAGAAGTTCTATGATTATATTATCTTTATTAACACCAAGAACTCAAAGCAGTATATATCTTTTGCTCAGCTACACATTTTTTTAAACTCTTTTCCGATATAAATGTTGATTCCACAGGAAATATACCATGCTTTATGTTTTTATTGTGATTAGATAGAGACACATAAAAACATTTCAATGAGTTTTTACCTTCTTGGTAGATATATTAAAGAATAATGTAAGCACGTACTGCAACAACCTCACAACTCCTCTGTAGGTACACTCAACAGAAATGCACAAATATTACACACATATGTGCTCTTCTAAGTCAGATGGAAGGTTTGTTTTTAATTTTCTCATATTGGAAACATTCACATTTAACAATAGTTAAAATGTAAATTTATATATCCATATGATAAAATATTACATAGTAATAAAAACAAATGGCTCCTACTACACACAAACATGTGGAAACTATCTCAAGTTGTGATGTTGACTAAAAGAAATCTGACTAGAAAAGGAGGAGGAAAGAGACGAAGCTAAAAGGAGATATATTGGGTGTTTAGACAGAGAAGCGGAATGATGTCATAAAACACAGAATTTACCCAACAGTACGTCAGCGGCAAGCAAATGGTCCATCACGCTATCCAAAATATAGGTCTGAAATTCCTTCTGCTGAGTTCTTGTAGATCTTTCAGGGGAAGCCTGATAAACAAAACAGAATTAGAAACCACACCAAACAAACAAACAGGGGCCCACAGCTCCAGTCACATTTCTAAATGTATCAGCTTATAAAAAAGTAACTTTGTGAATTAAAAAAAATACTGAGATGATACATATGCTACTATTGTCTCTTATTCTTCTGACAGAACTTAAAAAATAAGGCAAAGGCATAATATCATCTTATGAATCCACACCTTCAAAAATACTATTCTAAAAATTAAAAGTACTTAATATGCTACAATATACTATTATACCTCACTTTCAAAAACACATCTGGTGTTTAACCAGGAAACAGATAAAATAAATCTACAGTCATTACAGCAGACACAAAAGATCAAGAATCTAGTCATCAAGAGGGCTCATGCCTATGAGGAGCCAAAACATGGCTTATCAGGCTTTTCACTATCTCTAAAAGAAAGCACACTGCATTGTCTCTCTCTGTCTCTTTCTTTCTGTGTGATGAGTCTCTTAAACAAGGAATTATAAAGTTTAGAAAAGTACTTGGTCAGATAATGGTATTTATTTTCTTTAAAATATATTGCTTCTCATTACAGAAGGATTTAAGTCTGGCTCAACCATCAATAAGCAATTACTTAGTCCTCTAACGCTTGCGGATAGTGTTACAGGAGTGATCGTGGCTCAGAATTTACACTTGTTATTGATCCTAGTTAAGTGGGTGATTGCTGCTGAATGTAAAGTATACTGATTTTAAGATGATCTGAGAGGCAGGTGTCTGGCCCAGCAGTTAATGTGCTACTTGGCACGTCAGTACCCTGCATTGGAGTCTGGCATCGAGTCCTGGGTTCCTACCAATGTAGACCCTAGGGGCAGCAGGTAACGGAAGACCTGTGTTGAGAGCTTGGTTCTTGGTTTCTGCCTGTCCCAGACCTAGCTGTTGCAGGAATCCAGGCAATGAATTAACAGATGGGCATCAGCCTCCCTTCCCTACCTCTCTTTCAAATAACATTAATAAACAAAAAGAACATGAATATATATAGCCTTGTCTCTTTGAGGTACTCTTTGTTTTTAAACAGTTCAAGGATGACTTCTTCATGCATCATTGCATGTTTTATCTCATTGATGTAAAATGCTCTCCAGAGGTGAGGCTTAGAGAGGTTGGGTTCCTCAGTCAAGACCCAACTATGATTCAAATCTTGCTTCTTTGAGGCCGGAGTCGTGGCTTCTGGAGCTCCTTCACGCGGTCCCTACTCTGTTAAAAGTCTCCGTGTTGAATTGCTGAAGGAGTCACCACTGGAAGAGCTCTACATGGCTGAGGCTACAATATTTCCATCACTGCTTTAGGGAAAACCTCAGCGCAGTGCAAACGGAGCCAGGGTGAGAGCTGTGTCTGCTTTGGCTGTCTTCCTCCACACTACCAGTCTTCAAAGCTTCAGGGTGATTTTCAGGGCGGAATCATCACGTCCCCCCACAGGCCAGGCTGTGTGGATTTGCAGCTTTGTGGTTTCTCTGACTGCAAGCTTCCTCTTGACTGGTCTTGACTCCTCTGGGAGTCACCTTAGAGTGTTCTCTTTCTTTAACTTCTCATGCCACCGTTGGCTACTTGTTTGCTGCTCTGGTGTCACACAGGGTGGGCTTCACTCTGATGGATGGATGATACTGGGGATGTTTTATAGAGGATGGTTGGGAACACTGAGCAGTGAACTCTCCAGACTTCAGAAAGCAGCAAATGGGATCAGAGCCGCTCTTGTGGCCTTCCTTCCTGCTGCCACAGTGGTACTCATCTGAAGCAGATCTGCTTGGCTCTCCAGAAGGCCGGGGGCGACCACAGCAGACATTGAAGAATGCCAGCAGGAGGAGTCATGAGTCTCCTCGCAGGCCCTTTAACCCAGCTCTGGAGGATGCTGCAAGCACCAGGTGTTGTGTCTTGACTACTGAATGTGTTCTCTTAATCCTCACACTAGTTCTCAGAGGTGGAATCCCTTTTTACATAATTTCACAAACGGGCTGACTGATGGCAACGTATGAACATAACTGAACTTGGCCATTCTCATGCAGCTCACCAGCACACATTAAATCCCTTTAAATGTTTTTGCTAGATAATGTTCAAATATTTAACCCTCACAGCAATCATGCAGGGATGACAGTAACTAGTATGATTCTCCAGAAATCAGTTCAGAGAAGCAAACATTCTTAAACAGTAAACAGTGGCGGGTAGATTCAAAGCCGGACATTTCTTGCTCTAAAAGCCATGTTCTTTTCCTTGCCCTACGTCAAACGTCTTCATATTTGGGCTAGGAAACCACAAGTGGAGCTCGGAATTCAATAAGCATGCTAATTCTTGAGATGATAATTTTGTACGGCCTGTGAATGATGTTATAAACATTCAAATGACCCTTGACAGAAAGAAGAGGTTTCTAATTGCTTGTGGTGAAGCTCTACTCATAAGACTGAAGATGGCCTTGCTCATGTTAAATGAAGTTGAAAAATCTGCTCAAGGCCCTTTCTTCACAGGGGTAAATGGTAAACACAGAATTCTTCTCTTGAATCTCTTCAGGGATAAAGACTTCACACTAGTGAAATCATGCAATCACGGAGGCTGGGCCAAAACTAGGACCCCAGTATTCTATTTAGGTCTCCGATACAGTTTGCAGGAACTCGAGCACGCAGGTCATCATTTGCTGCCTCTTAGGGACATGAGCAAGAAGCTGGAGCAGAGGGCGGGCTGAAATTGGTTAGGGTTAAAGGAGTCAAGGTTTCAGTGACAACTGTGAGAGGTTTGTGGTCTGAGGGCTTCAATCCTGACAAGTCCTGCTTCTTGCTCAGCAGCCCCCAGGTAGGCCCTCCTGTAATTAGGCATGATTCCACAGTCGGGCTAATCAGTGTCGACAACAAGGAAAGCCTTATCTCCAGGTTAATACAAGTTATAGAAAACTCTTCCTATTAAAAAAGTACAGAAAACAAAAATGCAAGGCAATTTTGTGACTTCTTCATGGCTAGTCCATTAGTTAGGATTTCTGAAATCTTGGAAATGGTATAACTGAAGGGATTCCTATATTCCTTATCTTTCACACATGTGTACTCCATTTTTGATGCAGTTACATTTTCTAGCACACAGCTGTACTGAATTTTATCATTTTTTTCTATTAGCATTTGATTTTTTATCGAATGCTTCCAACTTTTACCCTGTATGTCAAGATATCCTGGTTAAAACCCTTAACATAACAGCTATCTAAATTACATCAGTGATTTCTTTTTCATTGCCCAAGTTCAGATTTTTTTTTTAACAAAGATAAGATGAATATCTTACGTGATCTTAAGGCTGCAATTAAAAAGTGAACTATACCAGTCACTAGTGGGAGCAGAGAGCACTCGGGCTCAGATGTCACCCTGTTGAGAGGCTGCAGCAAGCAGTGGTCCTACAGACTGAATCTTGCCCAGGAGCTATTATCCTCAGAACCCGTAGCATGCACTGCTTAGCCCTACTTCTTCAAGCAAATATAGATGTACAGCTAGGAAATGATACGGAAAATTCCTTTTCTGTGATCTTTCATTGTCTCGAGATTTTTCTAGGTGAACATTTTCTAGGATGTTTTCAGGAATAGCTAATTTCTACTGTCCTCATGGAGAAGCTAATATGTACACTGTCTCCTATCAGGAGAATGGACATGGAACCTACAAGTTGGCTGCATGAGGGAAATTCAGCAAGTACCTATTCAGCATACAGATGTGCATCAAACTGTACCATGAGCTGCAAAGTATATTAACAGCAACAATACCTAGTGCTGATGAGTGGCAGGGATGGTAGGAGGGAGTTATGAGAGAGCCAATGTCTAGTCAATGTCTAGAGAAAGGTTAAGATACCACAGCCTGTGACTACAATTAACTTATGCCTTTTGCAGCGATGTTCTATTCCTTGTTCCTTCATGTATTGTCTATAGTTCATCCCTGGCTATAACGGTAAAGCACAGTTTTGACATTGACTGGGTGGCTCATAAAGGGAAAAGTTATTTACTATCTGGCACTCAACAGAAAAAGTATGCCAGATTCCAAAGAAAGGGTAATATAAGATTCAATTGGGGACATATGGGAAATGAAAAGAAGAGCAACCAAAACTGATAGGGTTTAAAGTGGGGGCTGGGACACTGCATCCAGTAACTGCTTGTGATGCTGGCATTCTATATGGGCCCTGGTGTGAGACCTGGTTGCTCTATTTCTGATCCAGCTCCCTGATAATGCACTTTGGAAAGCAGTGGAATACCTCTCAGGTGCCTGGGCCCCTACATCCATGTGGGAGACCTGCAAGAAGCTCCAGGCTCCTGCCTGCAGCCTGGCCCATTCCAAGTGTGGCTATTTGATGAGTAAACAAGTAGATGGAAGATCCCTTTCTCATTCTTTCTCTGTTGTAACTCCGCCTTTCAGATAAATAAAAAAAATAAAGCTTTAATGGACAAATGATAGGGTCTAAAACATACATAGGATTAAGTGATTTTCATGGCTCATGTTATGCACAACTATACATAACCCGGAACTACAAATACAGAAATATGAAAGGAATGCAGCATAGAACTTTCTTGGGTAATATGCAAATTACAAAAGCTCTGCAACAGAAGCGGGAATGTATTTCTTCATCTTTACCTCTAATAAAAGGTCAATTAGTGGAGTTTGTTTGCTGGCAGGTGTAAGACAAAGGTTGTCTATTATTAAGACTCGCATAAAGTCAAAAACAAACTTCTTAGCTGGGTGATTGGTCAGATACGTTTTGGTGCCCACATTGCAGTACTCTGATTGGCTCCTGTTCATCCCTGTGTCTGCTGCAAAAGCTTTGAACTCTTCTGCTGGAGACCCGACCTCATCATCCAGATCAGTCACCTGGTAAAATCAAATGGGAAGATATGATAACCACATTGGACTTCAAGTGATAATTTCACGCTTCCTAAAATCAAAATTGCAGCAGGAGCAGCGTTCTCCTTTGCATTTCCCTCCTACTATCCTATTCAGCACATTCTATCACACTTCTCCTTGATGCGTCACGGCTGAGCAACATACGGTCTTTCAGACTGATCACCAACAATAAAGCTGCTTTATGTTAAATTGTATGTCTACTGTGAGTAACGGTACTTTCAATCAGAAGGTAAGAATGAGCATATCTGTATATTTGAAATCCACTTATGAAAAGTCAAATATCACAAATTTTCAGATAAAAATAGGGCAAAAAGATAACACCCCATAGGCAACACATTTTCTGTGCATTAATGAAACCTCAAATAAATGAACAATAAAGCCAGTGCCAATTTTGAGTCAAGCAAAAGGGAAAGAAAGAGTGGTTGATTACAGATGCTGACAAGGAAAAGACAATGAGTGAGACATTATTAAAGGGCAGTTTTTTAAAATCAATTATTTAATTTAATTTAATTTTTAAACAGAAATGAGGATTCTAAAATTATAAGCAAGTTAGGTGTTAAGATTATATGATTCATTTTTGCCTTTTTCCTAAAAATACCCAGAATTTTTTGATAAGTATATCTCCTTTAAATGTGGGAAAAAATAGCTTCAAGGAGACAGTTTATTGCAGGCCATGGAGTATATGTATAAATGAAGAGCAAACTTCACAGAATTCTGAAGTACCATGAAGTGCTTTTGCACTTGTATTACTGGACAAAAGAAATCCCTACACTACACATGATTATAGTCTAATGATTTTCTATTACATTTATACAAAAGAAAAATAAAACTGTGTAAAACTTTAAAAGCTGAGCAGAACAAAGGACCAACATCTATTTTAGCTCTGAATAAAAACTACCAACCCTATAATTCACTTGTGAAGATTAAAACCAGCAAATGCGTGGTTCCTGAAATTAGATAATTTTGCATGACTAAGGTTCTATTACTGAAGAGAATATTTTACAACTTTATAGCTACTACTACATAAAATAAGAAATGGACCGGCAATTATTGAGAGAAGGAAAGTACTGCTAAGGGAAAAAGGATAAGGTGAATGAAAAAAAAAAAGTAGAGTTCACTTATTTTAGGGGAAAACAGCTGGAAAGTATGGGGAGCTAGAGACATAAGACAACGAAGACACTGTGACTTGGTCAGAAGCTTAAAAGATCAACAAGAAAAGTGTCTGCTAACCATCGGAACAGACCAATTCCAGTTTTGCCATTTTCCTCCCCATTCCCTACCATCTCTGAGTAAGGGCGAATATTGAAGGGGAAGACCGTGGCTGCTAATGCACACAGGAAATCGGGGCTCATCCACATGGAGGCGAGGTCTGGAACGTTGTGGTACAAGTATCTGAAGAACTGCATCAGAGTCACGGGATATTCTCGGAGCCAAGAGCCCTCTTCTTCTGACTGCCAGGGCTGTCGGAGAGGTAAGAGCAGATGTCAGGGAAACCAACACGGTGAACAACCACTTAAAGGATCCAGCACGCCTAAGATAGACACACCGATGGGCCGTTTATCAGCACACGTATGCCAACAGATTGAGAGGGCAGCGGAAACCAAAGCAATCCTCTCCGAAGCTATTCCTGCATTTCATGGAGGGCTCAAAACTCAGCTAACTGCAGGGGCTGGTTTTGACTCTTCACCTATACTACCATGAGTACAGCTGGTAATAGCAGTGGCTCCAGGACTATTTATGCTGCCCTATTGTGCAGCACACGGAGAGCAGGAGCAAGACACAAGACGGGGATGTCAGTTCCCCTTTGTGAGCATCCAACTGTCATATCTCCAACAAGAATTATGTAATACAACAACAAGGGTGATAAACACAACCAAAAGTCATATTTGAATGCTGCGTATCTTCTCAAATCTGCCCAAAGAATAGCCTTATTTTTGACTTAGAATTTTACATGTAAGAATAGGCATTAAAATAAGAATCCAAAATTATTCGAAATTAATACATTTAACGATAATGCTCCATATTTAGAGGGTATAACAGTTTTGAATAAAGTTGTATTTGTCAGGTGCATATAATTCAAAGATTCAAAGTTATTATTTTCCCTAAAAATGCAATCCTTTGAAAAATTCCATCATTATCCATGTAAGATACAAATACATTTCATAGTTTTATTTTCAAGATTTATTTATTTTTATTACAAAGACAGATATTAAGTAGAGGAGGAGAGACAGAGAGGAAGATCTTCCCTCCACTGATTCACTCCCGAAGCGGCCGCAATGGCAGGAGCTTTTCTAATAATTTTCTAATCATTCATCTCTCACTCAGAAATAATTAGAATAGAAACAATCTTTGCTTGGATCAACTTTCTAACCTATAAATGACAGTTATTTTAAAAGGTCAAATAAATGGAAATCAGTCTGGAGAACACTCAAACAACTCAAAATCTGCATACCATATGACCCAGCAATAGCACTCCTAGGAATATATCCAAAACACCTGTTTTACGACAAACCAACATGCATCCCTATGTTCATTGCAGCACAATCAGTAATTGCAAAAACATGGAAGCAACCGAAATGCCCATCAGCAGAAGATTGGATAAGAAAGCTTTGGTTCATCTACTCCATGGAATACTACTCAGCTATTAAAAAAAACAAAATGCAGTTCTTTGTGGCTAAATGGGCACAACTGGAAACTATAATGCTAAGGGAAATGAGCGAATCCCAAAAGATTAGATACCACATGTTTGCCTTGATTTAACCTGTAATTTTTGTATGGTTGTTTGTTATTTTTTGAACCTGTCATTGATACTGTCTCAACCCAGAGGTTTCGAAGAATGGAACTTGCATTATTTTTAACATATTGTTTACCCAATACTATGTCAATTAATTCCATAATGTTGTATATTGATATTGAGGCCTTGTTGGGGCTTTTAACTGACCAGATCTTTACTCTGTTAGACCTATCTTCAGACCATAGAAGGTCTCCCCAAGAGGCCACTGAACTTATCTGGACAATAAGACGCTGAACTTCATGCTAGGCATGTGTTTGCAAGCAATGAATCTCAACTGAACTTGAACTATGGTTATGCAACAAGGTGGAGGAATCCACCATGGGGGGAGGGGTATGGGTGGGGTGGGGGGAATCCCCAGTGCCTATAAAACTGTACTACATAATACAATGTAAGCAACAATAAAAAAAAAAAAAAAGGTCAAATAACACATTATTGAAGTAGCATACAGTTTATACTATTATATTTACCATATATTAATATGTGATAAATTATAATAATTATTATAGCATTATATTTATTTATTTATTAGTATTTCATTAATCATTGTAATGCATTTTATATATATTCATGAAGCCTGCAGAATGCCTGGGCATTCTTGAAAGTGCTCTATGTGTGTGCTAAACATGTAAATCGTTACAAATACCACAGGGGATCAATTTTATCATCAACAGTAGCTCACGCGTAAAGAAACCTACAGCTTAGCACGTCTGTAACACCAGAGGTGAGATCTGAACTCAGGAAGTATCCAGAGTATTTACTCCACCCTGAGCTGAAGAGGTGACAAAACACAGAGACTGAGGTTTCAGAGATCGTGTGGCAAACAGACAGGCTCCCAAAGCATTTCTATTTCAGAAGACATAACACGGACAAAGTGGCCTTCCCAGAGAACTTACAGAGTTGAGCATGCTGCGCAGCATTCCCAGCAACAAAAAGGCTGCTTCTGTACACACGTTATGGATGGAAGAGATCACGGTCCCACTGGAGGCAGGCACTCCGAAGATGAATGTCCAAATAGAGTCCAGATCAAACTGCAGAGGAAGACTAAAGATGAGCCCTGAGGAAGTCCTAGCTTTCTACAACGTCTTTGAAATTAGTTTTTACTTTAACGGTCTTGATAACCTTATACTTGACACTGTAAAACTTATGTTTAAAGCTATAAAGAAAAACTGAATAATAAGTACCACCCTGTTATCTACTAAATTCAGTGCCTTCTACTTTGCTAAAGAAAATAAAGAATGAAATACTTGTTAAACAGACAAGAGGTGACCCAGAACTGATGATTTTTCTTTCGTCTGATTTTTGTTTAGTTTTTAAAGTTTTACCTCCCACTTATCAGGGACAATGTGCAGTATCTGTTTTATGTTACTCAATATGATTACCTCCAGTTGAGTCCATTTTGCTATAAATGGTAGAATTTCTCTCTTTTTAAAGAGCTGAATAATATTGCATATCATACCACATTTTTTTATCAATTCATCTGATAATGGACACCTTAGTGGATTTCATATTTTGGCACACAGTGTGGCTGGATACCTGTTTGATCCACTGTGTTCTAGGCTTCTGGGTATACCAGCAGCCGGTTGTTGGATCATACAGTAAATCCCTTTCTGGTTTTGTTTTTCACAATGCCTGTATGCCCCTTTCTCTACGTCCTTGCCCTCTGCCATGCTCTGTTTGGCGTTTCATCATTTTGACAGTGGTGAGGTGATACCTCACTGTTGATTTGACAAGCATATTCAGAAGCACATGGAACTCCTTTCTTTACCATTCTTAGAGATTTTCTAAATCAATTTTAGATTACTTACAAATAAGATCTGACAAAATAAAAACTGAATGAAGGGGATTTATTCATGCAAGCTTTATATAATATGAGCATGGCATCATGCATTTTTTGAAAAGCTGCATAACCAACCCAACTCTGCTAAGCATGAATTTATATCTTGATTTAATGTAAGGGTACAGATTCAGTGTTTACACTTGAAAGGATTTGTTAATTCCAACAGTTGATTCAAATAGCATTTGGCATTAGGGTGGAAGCACAGTGGATTTAATAGCCAAATTTCTATGTCTGTAGTGTGATAAACATACATAATATATAGACATCCATAACGGTCCTTTGTTAGAAATCAAATGAAGCCTTATGGTTTTCTTAAGATGGATGTCATTTAACTTTATGAATTTATTAATAATTTTAATTAGTTAATGCTAATTAATACCATATGGAATCTTCCATGTCTGCTCGATTAATTTGTGGCTTACTGCCACTCTTACCATTTTTAACTCTACGGAAACTAAATAACCCTTTTAGATAAAATCCCATCACTGACAAAAATCACTTTAGTTCATTCTTAAAATGTTATCCAGAGTCCTTACACACGTTTAAAGTAATTATATTAGAAAACACAGGTCAAAGGGGGACATAGGACTTCTCTTGGGGGAAACACTTTGAGCATTTATTCCTTCAGTTTATTCTATTGCAAACCAAACCCTCAAGTGAGAAAAGTGATGGAATCAATTGCTGTTTTGTTCTGTTATTCGTGACTGACCCATCACCCTGGGGTGATTTTGATACAAACAAACACACTTACGTCTTACTAGATAATTCCTACCTGGCCACCCTGCTTACATCGGCTGCTGGTGACAGGCACACTGACCTGCAGGTTCTCAGGCAGCTCGCTCACTGGCTGCTGCAGAAACAAGGCCATGAGGAGAAAATAGAGGGCGGGGACATTAGTGTGTTTTGGAAGGAACGACTGCAGAACTGGGAAACCAGGGAAATGACAGGCATCCCGGTTAATCTCCCTTACTGTGGATCTCCCACCAGCACTCCTGCCCACATTGAATCCTAGAAGAGAAGGGAAACAAGAATCACAAGGCTGATTACAGAGAACAATGCTGCGTTAGCAAAGAAGGGAGTAATTCAGTGTGTGTGATACTGCTATCTGGACCGTTCAGATCCAATTGTTAGAACTCATGCATTCAGTCATAATGTTTTACTTGACCATTTGTCTGGCTTCAGTAATCCTGTCTGTACAGACACAGGTTTTGAAACACAGCTGAGACAAATATAACAGATGCTAGAAAAGATGTTTCTTAAGATGATACAAGTTCTATTCGATAATAATAATAATAACCCCAGAAGAGTTCTTTATTTCCTTAAGCAGAAAATGAAATTCAAAACACAATCAAAATATAGATGCTACAAAAATAAAACTATGACACAGTAGGTAAAGTCACCACCTGCAGTGCTGGCATAAGGCTGCTGTTTTTCTGATTCAACTCCCTAGTAGTGCGCTGGATAAAGCAGACAGCCCAAGTGGTTGGCACCACTGCCCACTCCTGGCATCGGCGTAGCCCAGCCCTGGCTGCTGCGGCCATCTGGGGAGTCAGCTAGCAGAGATGGAAGATCTTCCTCTATAAATCTCAAAGTACAGAAAAAAATCTTCACATATCTCTGTATCCACAACTGCATTTTTTTTTTTACAGTTTGGTTAATATATTTCATTTGTCCAGAAAAATTGCATCAGCTAGTTGGCCTTGAATTATCTGTGAGTTTACAGACAGGACCAGATCAAAAAGCAAAACAACACTTTTGAGGACATTGTCTGTGGTCTGCTGGAGGCCTGGGAAGGCCCTGCCCACTGCTGCCTGCAGGCAGAGCTGACCATCCCCAGTTGCCGCCCCCCTTTACCCAGGGCATGCCAATGCTTGCTGATGTGACTTCTAGAGAATCAGTGTTCCCATCAGCCCAGTCTCCTCTGTTAGATAACTCATTTGAAGATGCAACCCAAAGATAATGTGGTTTTTGTTTTTTTAACCACCTCAAATCTAGGATAATGCTTAGCACCGAGTGAATGTTGACCACATTTTTTTTAACACTCTTGTCCCTAGCAACCAACAGATGAAGGATTGGTTTTTACTCTGAAGCAATTTTTATTTCAAAGGGATATTTACATTTTTAAAACTTAGTTTTGTAGAATGAAGTAAGAACATATTTGCAACTATTATTTAACACATTTTGCTGTGTCTTACAGCTAAGCTGCTTTAAAACATATTGTCTTAACGAATTCTAGGGGAAATGTGAATTAATCTTCTGAAGTATGTTGCAGAGCAGTTTTCCATGTTCTTTCAGATCTCATATCTAAATCAAAATGAACATGTAAATTAAAACTTCTAGTATCATCTTTATAGCATAAAAACATACTATTTGTTTAAAGTCATGGCAGTAGAGAATGATGATACCATGCTTTGTAGCCTGATGTCTCCAGAGCCTGCAGGATCACGTCCTGCTGAAAGGCACTGCCATGCTTCTGACAGATTGGCTAGAATCAAGTATTAAATTGGTTTTGGCTTCCAGTACATTCTAAATGACATTATCAGAATAAAAAAGTCTCTTCCTTGCATAAAATGGTTTTTAACATATTATTAGGAAAATAAAGTTTGGCTAAACTGCAGCCTACAACAAAACTGGTAACAACATTTTCACTCTCTTTTATACTTTATTTCCCAAAGAGCATGTAATGTACTACTTGCAATTAAGCATTCATTTACATCTAAGCTACAGCTATACAGGAGTTACTTTTAGGAAGAAAAGTTTAATAAAATCAGTATATTAAAGTCAAAACATCAGGTTGTTTATAAACTCCAGAAAACAGAAACAGAGGAGATGAGAGCTCTATAAACATCAATTATATGCATAGACCAGATAGATTGAGAATAGTAAACTAAATGGAATTAAATCTAAATTGAGATAGAATATTTACATTTCTTCTCTGGGATTAGTTCCCACACATGCAGCGTATAAGCCGGTACCACTGGAGGACCAACAGATTCTAAGGCAACAAGTTAGGTGGGGTAGGTAGAGTAAAAGCGCCTCTTACAGAACAGGAAAAGCACAGCACTTACAATTCACACACACTTACTCCCTGACCCAGAAAGCTTACACAGTTAGTGGTTTTAATCTTCTAGTTTGAGAAATTAATCCTTCATTTCCATGTATACTTATTTATTTATTTCCTATAACTTATATACTATAAAACTGTACCTGGCACCAGCACCATGAAGACCAAATAAGATGAGAAATGCTAAAAAAAAAAAGTTTGCAAACCACAATGTAGAATATAAATCATAGTTCTACATTGCTTAGTTATTACTATTGCTGCTCTGGGTCTTTGTAAACTACACTGTCAATTAGCACTTAAAATTCGCATGCACAAAGAACTCACTTGGTGCATTTCGCTGTTTATTCTCTAGTGGCTATTAGTAAGGCCAATAAGCTAAATCTCCTGCTATTAACCTGCTCATAACAATCACATTGCAAGGTTATATTCTTCCCCAGAGTCCATGCAAACCAGTGATCCATTATTCAGAGCACAAAAGAACCTACAATGACTATCTAAAATGTGTATTTTAAAGTAGATCATTTTCTTCAGTCATTTCATAGTGAGCTGCAAGCAACATCACTTCCTTGAAAGCACACACAAAATTTCTACAGACTGTATTGAAACCTCTGTCTTCCTACAATTGCTTTGGTATTTGACGTCTTGCAAGCAGCACCAAGACATTGAAACTTTAACAGATTTTGATAAATAGCTTACATATTAAATTCTGGTTCCCTTTCTCATTTGATAAGGGTAAACAGATATTTTTGTTAAAAGTTCTTGAAAATCAGACATACAACATTATTATGATTTTAAAATGTAATGTTACAGTGATAAATGTATTTCTGAAGCAGATTAAAATCTGAATGATTTAATCTTCATGTATATATATATATATATCTGCCATGGCAAAATTATTAATATGAACAGGAGTATATCAGCTCAAATAAGTCCAATATCTAGGATTACATAAATGCTGGACAGTACGTTAAAAACAGCTCTAAATGACTGGCTGAGGCGCTGATCAAGCTTAAGTACTTAAGTAGTGATATAATAAGACTGCTACAAGCACAGGCTCGGATTTGAGTGACCAGGATTCAAATTTTGCTATTTCATTCCATGCCTTGGCATTCTAATCTATAAAATGGGCATAACTCTATGCCTCAGAAGCGTGTTAAATTTCTTTCTCTGACTTCAATGTAATTTTCTTTTGTGGACAGTCAGATTTACACAGAAGGAGAGATAGAGAAAGATCTTCCATTTGTTGATTTACTCCCAAAGTGGCCACAACTGTCGGAACTGAGTCCATCCAAAACCAGGAGTTAGGAGCCTCCTCTGGGTCTTCCACACGGCTATAGGGTCCCAAGGATTTGGGTCAGCCTCCACTATTTTCCCAGGCAACAAGCAGTGAGCTGGATGGGAAGTGGAGCAGTTGGGATATGAACCAGCGCCCATATGGGAACCTGGTGCATGCAAGCCATTAGCCTATTGCACCAGGGTCCTCATTTGCATTTTTAAACCTCGAACTAAACACCTTGTAGCCTTTTCATTCAATCATTCATTAAAATTCATAACTCTTAGTGGCTATCAGATAAACTAGAGAATATAAACAAAGTCTGAAAGGAAATATTGCACAATAGTTTAATTTTGAAATAGCTAGAGAACAAAATGATCCATACCTAATACTGTCCCAATTTTATTAGTTAGTACAGAATCTGTCTGTTCCAGCCATCCTCCTCCACTGAGTCCTTCTTTAAACTTAATGAGAATGGACTGGTTACTCAGCAGGACAACAAGAATCCTCATGGCAGCAGTAACGGTGGTTGAATGCAGGTGTTCTTCCATAAACATCATGATCCAATCAAAACCCAGCGTTTTGACCAGCTCTTCACATGCTCTATTCCAAAAGAGATCAAAAATAATTAATGTCAAGGAATAAATGAATAATGAATGAATGGCAAATTAATAGAGATAAGATGGGTTCATTCTTGAGATACTACACATTTCACAGCTTTATTTAACAAACAAAAAACAACCAAAAAGCTCTATTGAAAGCCAGTAGCAATTTCCTTCTTTCCCCTGATATGAATTAACTAGTAACAGCAATTATGTATCAATTCTAAAAAGGTTTTACTTACTGCAAATTGATGCTTGTCTTCTCCTTGGATGTATAAACTAATTTAAGCAAGATGTCTAGAAGTCTGTTCCTCAAAAGTATAAGATTAGCAGACACAAGACCTCCAAACTCCTCTTCAGTTCCTAACATGAACATAAACACATAAGTAAGCGAGGATAGAGTATCCAACATGTGGATCTTTGAGATCTCATTGAAAAACCTATCTTTTAGAAAACTTTCTAATTCTTTCCATTAAAGTAGAAAACAAAAAGGATCGGTTATATCATTTGATTAGGAATCCTGAAAATTATTCATTTCTGGTTGGTATTTTCAACCAGTATAAGAGAGGCTATGGCTCCTTTTTTTTCCCCCCACATGAATACTTCCCGTCTTTTCTCAACAGAGAAAGCCATCAAATGAAGACCATATGAACAAAAATGGTCACACCACTCCAACCCCACACCCTCCGACAATCCTGAACTTGTGGCTTCTTTTTAAAAGAATAGGATACACTTTCCAGGCTTAAAAATTGAGGATACATAGCATAAAATTATTCAAATACTTAGCACATAGTGGTAAGTTAGAATTAGAAAGTATAGACGAGAGGCAAATAAATGAGACACAGTGGAAACGAAAGGGAGAAAGATGGAGAGTGGAGTGCCCCCCAAGGCACAAGGCATCTGGTGTCCCACGATGGCCTTGAGGTTTCTGCGATGTTAGGGAGCAGCTGTTGGCTGATGAATCCCAATCTGCCTACTTTCCTCAAGAACCAAGATCCTAAACTTTCTATGATTACATACCTCTGTTTGTTTGGGCAAGGGACAATTATTACCTTTTGCCTTTTAAAATGCAAATTTAGCACTTTATTCATTATGGATGTCTCAAGGTTAGTAAGTAGACCTCAAGATCTCATCCTCTTTTAAGGGGCATAGACTGGCAAGTTGTCTTATCAATATATATCATAAAATCTGAATTATCACAGTAGCTACTTTTTAAAACAAATATTTTGGATAAAGTGAAAACCTATGCAAACATTAAACATTCTTTGTACTTCATTACATTTAGTTTCTCACTCTCATTTACGCATCCAATAATTTTCAAACACATTTAAAAAAAATGAATTCTAGAAGAAATTTCCAAGTTAACTTTCATTCAAACTATTGCTTTTTTCCTCACGGCATCCCTCTTTGATGACATTCATATGATTCTGTGTTGATGTGTGCATCACTGTGCAACATAAGCCGTTTGTTATCAGCAGGTGTGTAGTACATTGTATTTGTAGTACATCATATTACAGCTAACCCAGGCTTTGTCTGTTGGAAATAAATAATAATAAATGTTGTACACCAAGGGCAGACATTTGAACTAGTGGTCAAGACACCGAATGCAGAAGTGGTCATTGTGGTGAAGTAGGTCAAACTACCATTGATACTTCTTTTTGTCTTTTTAAAAAGATTTATTTATTTTAGTAGAAAGGCAGATCAGATCTATGCAGAGACAGAGAGAGGTGTTTCTTTCATTGGTTTACTCCTCCAATGTCCAAAATGGCCAGAGCAGAGGCAATCCAAAGCTAGGAGCCAGGAGCTTCCTCTGGGTCTCCTACAGAGTGTGGGGTCCCAAGGCTTAGGGCCATCCTCTATTGCTTTCTTAGGCCATACTCAGGAAACTGGGTGGAAATGGAGCAACTGAGACAGGAACTAGCATCCCTATGGGATCTTGGCACTTGCAAGGTGACGGTTTAGCTATGGAACTATCACGCCAGGCTCCACTGGGACTTTTGTATACCACATCAAAGTGCTGGTATGAGTCTTGGTTCCTACACTCTTATCCTGGTAATGTGTCCTGGGAGATAGCTGATGTTGTTCTAACTCCAAGGATCTCTGGCACCCATGAAGGAGATCTGGAGCAATTCTGTGCTCCTGGTTTTGACTTGGCTCAACCATGAAAGTTGTAGGCATTTGAGGAATGAGTCAACACATGAAAAAAATCTCTCTTTCTCTCTCTACTGCTCTGCCTATATAATAAATGAGTAAATCTTATTAAAAAAAACCCACTGCAGTTGATATGCCCACATTCCATATCAGACTGTGCGGGTTCTAGTCCCGGCTGGGCTCACAATTCCAGCTGTCTACTAATGAGCCCCCTAGGAGACAGTGCGTAATGGCTCATGTTGTTGGGTTTTCGCTACCTATATGGGAAAGCTGGACTCCCAGCTTCCGCTTGATCCAGCTGCAGGCGCTGTGAGCATCTGTGGAGTGAACTAATGGACAGAAGCTCTTTCTGAAAATATTTAAGGTCACTAAGAGTGGCACTGTCCTTCAACTTTATTATTTCAAATTGCAATACAGTGATCAGAATACCGGTCTAATCAACTTAAACAATTTATACATTCTTACCACAGTACTCTACAGCAAAGAAAATTTTATCGAAGTATTGCGGTTACTGAATAGCAAGGAAACAAGGAAACAGAAAATTAATTTCTCTACAACGTTCTCATACTTGAAATAAATGTGTTATATATTTCCAAAAATTCTTATTGTTTTCCAAATTAAATTTGTTTGGATTATTTTTAACCACAACTTAGAAATAACGTTTTCATACACTAGGATAACATATCAGTTAAAAGTTCAGACTGTTGGCTTGACTCTACCAGACTGAAATGTGGTCAGTGTTTTAATCTTGGCTTAGACTCTCCTACGAAATGCAGTAAGATCACACAGCACTTCAAACTTAGCACTTAAACTTTCACTGATTCCCACTGATTTGCCGCCCTCTTTTTTTCTTCATCCACTGCTAATTTATTTCACCAAACAAACACCAATGTTGTTCCAAACAAATTGGAAGTAACTTGATTGCTCACAGGGCTGTGTCCTGTTCTGAATCAATCACTGACATGCTCTGTGACCTGCAGCAAGTCCCCGAGTCTCTGATATCCCTCATCTCTGCTTTGAAAATCATGATGATGATGCCAGTTGATCTTCCTGAAGAGGCCCAGCAGAGGACCCTAAGCACTGGATACCCAACAAGTGGAGAATCCCACTAGGCACAGGCACTACAGAGACCGTTATCTCTTCTTCACCCACCAGCTGGGCAGGGGTGTAAAGGGTTAAAGGAATCACGTACCCATGCATGTGACACTACTCTGGAATAATGTAACAGACAGGAATGCAAGGAATGCTGAAGAAACGTACTAATCTGTGGTTCTAATCATAGAAGTCAATGTAATAGATCCTTTCAAACCTTTCCAAGTAACTCTCCTTGGAATGCCTAACAGGAAAACTACATGGGAACACTGGAAAAAAGATGCACCAAAAAGAAAGTGGAAACAAAAATGAAAGCCTACTTGACATGAGCTCAAGAACTCCCAGTGTTTTAATACCATACAAAATGATTCTAGTAAAACATTATTTCGCCAAGTGACTACTAAATATATACCTGGGATATGAAATAATCATAATATGGATGCAATTTGGTTTGGAAGATATAATTTTACAAATCAGATAATGATCAAATTATATTATGAGAGCTTACTATGTAAAGGAACATTGCCATGAATAGCATACAAATATAGAAGGTTTTATTTTTTCAAGCGCATTTCATATCCTATTACATTTTCTAGGCAACCTCTATTTCTATATGCCATTTCAGTTTGACATAAGACAAAAACGTCTGGCAAAATCCAAAAGCAAGTAATGAGAAAAGTTAGGTATGGTTGTTACGTGTCATTCAGAAGAAGAAAGGGTGCAGTAATTGTTAACCACTAGGTTCACAAAGTTCTAGAGTTAACTCACCAGTATCGGGCTTCTCTTCATTCTTTATTTCCATAACTACAAATTTCTCACAAACAGCAAAAGTAGGCAAAGTGGAAGAAATAAATTGTCCAAACCTTTAAGTAAAGGGAAAAAAGGTCAAGGAATTTATTTTTCCTTTCCCCAAACCAACCAACCAACCAACCAACCAAAAATAAGATACAATGAAATGAATAAAATCTGCACTGCCTTAATCTTTTTAAGACTCTTTGGGTAGTTGTATTTAGTTTGATTCCTTTCAGACTATCCAAAGCAATACATAATAATGTTTTCAAATACAGGGAAGGGGCCAGGCATGGTAACCTAGTATCTAAAGTCCTTACTTTGCATGCGCTAGGATCCATTATGGGCGCCATTCTAATCTCAGCTATCATACTTCCTATCCAGCTCCCTGTTTGTGGCCTGGGAAAGCAGTCGAGGACGGCCCAAGCCCTGGGAACCCTGCACCCACGTGGGAAATCCAGAAGAGGTTTAGGGGTCCTGGCTTTGGATTGGCACAGTTATGGTTATTGTCGCCGCTTGGGGACTGAATCAATAGATGGAAGATATTCTTCTCTTTCTCTCCTCTTCTACATATATCTGAATTTCCAATAAAAAATAATAATTCTTTAAAAAATACAGGGAAGGTGTATGCGTCTAGAAATTTGAATTATTTCGTAAGAAAATTTATGTGAAAGTCATACAGTCAGAGACAGATAAGCAGAGATACAAAGCAAAAGAGAGGGAGAGAGAGAGACACAGAGAGAGACAGAGAGAGAGAGAAACTTCTATCTGCTAATTTACTCCTGAAACCAACAGTTGAGGCTGAAGCCAGGAGCCAAGAACTCTATCCTGGTCACCCACATGAGTGACAAGGGTAAGTAAAAGCACTTTAGCCATTTTCTGCTGGCTTCCCGGGCACAGCAGCAGGAAGCGTGATTACAAGAACCATCTGGGATTCAAACCTACACTCAGATATAGATACAGTGTCACCAGGGGCACTTTACCCCACTGTGCTACAATACAATACTCGCCTGCAGAAATAAAAATTCTGTAATGCAAGAATCCAAGTAGTTTCAAAAACAAATAGAATGATCCAAATTGAAATGTTCTAATAGGCAGTAGGGAACTGGTAGAGTGGGCAAGTCGCTGCCGAAGATGCCTGCGTCACATGATGGTGAGCCTAGATTCCAGTTCCAGCTCTGTTTCCAATTCCAGCCGATTCTAATGCACACCCCAGTGGGCAACAGACAGTGGCTCCCTACCAACCACACAGGAGAGAGTGTCTAATGCTTCAGCCCTCAGCCTGATGTGGCTGGGCATGATGCTAGCATTTGGAGAGTGAACCAACAGATGGAAGATTTGGATTGATCTCTGGTTTTCTGTCTTTCAAATACAATAAAAATAAACAGTGTTTATGAAATGTTCTAATATTTATACATATGGATCCATTATGGTTTAAGTGTTTAAGGTCTTATGCTTTAGAAATAAGCTTTTTTTTTACTATGTGACTTGCGACAAGTAGTTTAACTTTTTTTGGCTTCTTTCCTTCTATTATGAAGATAAAACAAGCAAACAAACATACTTTGGATTTAAGGAAAACAATCATTACAATGCCAGGATGAATTCCAAGTAAATATCAACGGTAACGGTAACTCTGTAAAATAATTCGTAACCTTCACTTTGGAATTGCACCACAAAGTAAACATGTATTATAGAGGTGGGGGAAATACAAGCTACACAGATTAGAAATGTGTTCACTAAGAATAACATAATGAATTAAAGTGATTTCACCTGAGAGCCCCATGAACTTATAAGAATAGTGGAGATCAAATATAATTTAAGCCATTTCCAACATGGCAAATACTTTGATTAGGTAGTTTGTCTACCATTTTCAGTGAGATAGGGATTATCATGTAAAGGTGTGAATAGTTCTGCTAACACTCCATAAATATGACTTAAATTCTATTTTACACTGGCAGCAAAAATTATATATTTTAAAAAGACTGAAAATGAAACAATAAAATATAAATATCTGTTGAAGGACTCCACTCAGAAAAGAAGTTAGGCCCACTGAGTGCGTGTAACAGTACTTGTGCACACTTACTTGAGAGTTAGCACAGCTCAGGGTGTAGCCTTTTGTGATGCTAGCATTCCATCTGGGTGCCATTTTGATTCCCAGCTGCTCTACTTTTGATCCAGCTCCATTCTAGCTGGGAAGCAGAAGAAGATGGCCCACGTGTTTGGGTCCCTGCACCCATGTGGGAGACCTAGATGAAGCTGTTGGCTCCTGACTTCAGTCTGACCCATTCCTGGCTGCATGGAAAATCTCTAACTCCCTCTCTTTGTAACTCTGCTGTTAAAATAAATATAATGCAGCTCAATTTTTTTAAAAAAGAAAAAGAATTAGCAGGGATTAAGGAAGAGTTCTGAACTAAAATTTCCTATACTGACTTTTCGGTAAAAGCCAATCAGCCCTACGGTAAAGGACAAAAAGCCTTACTGGGCTAATTCTCACATTTCGTCCTTATTATTCTGCTACTTTCCACTGACAGCAATTGGCTATGCCTAGTAAGTGGCAGGATTGCATGGCATTGCATGCTTTCCACACCTTACAAATGCCACTACCATGACAGGTGTGGTACCAGCCTAGGAACCAATGTCACTCATTTGAACCCCACTGAGACACCTGGCCCGCAAGAGGACGCACGGCATGTGCACTACCTGAGGAGATCGTTGCTATTCGGAAAGCCTTGCAGCAGGAAGCTCAGCACGTTACTAATAGCGGCAATGGTGGGCTGTGACAAGGACATATCCCGAAGAGTCAGGAGTAGCTTTGGGATTAACTGGAATTCTCTCATTAGCTTGGCATTCTTTGAAGCTTCACTGTAAGAGAAAGCAAATTTCATGCACTGTCCTCTCCATAACTGAATGATGACTAACTATACGGATATCAGCTCATACCTGGACTCTGTGAGTAGTTCAATAAAGTGTTCAAATAAGGAAAGATGCAGCTCATACGGAGCGTGGAGCCAGACCTGCAACACAGAACAGAGGCAAATGCAAGGTTAAAAACTATCCCAATTCCAATCTGGAAAGCTCAGCACAGCACAGCACAGCATAGCACAGCACGGCTACACTACTCCATTTTATGAAATTTATTAAACAGAACTGTTTTATTACCTCATTAATTTTTATTTTGTGAAGCCTGATATGTAGGACAAAAATCAGTCACTCTACATAAGTCCAAAATAACAGGGATAACGAAAATATCATGCTTCTAAAAAGCCATTTTTTAATGTTTTACATGTTAAAGAATGTAATAAAAAATGAGTACAATGAGAAGAGATGCTGGCAATAACCAAACCCCAAAAGCCACAAAACATACATCTACATATGAAGGTATCTAAAGTGGAAAATATCAGCAGATGACACTAAACAAACAAACAAAACAAACCCAATTCATTGTAGTTGCAGACTTAACCACTGAAACAATTTTAAATGAAGCGTAAGTAAATCACTAAGAAGAAACGACCGGAGTACTTGATTCGTGAGAAAGTACCAAGTAATGTAAGAGCTATGAAATTGTTGCCCAGAGAAAAAAAACAGTAGAAGACATATCAGTTGAAGAAATAATGGCTCAAAAATTTCAATTTCATCAAGTGATAAAGTCACAGATCAACAAACCTCAAGGAAAAGAAATGTGGAGGAAATTCAGTGAGTAACATATTTGAAGGATGAAAAGAATGCAGTTTCCTAGGATTTTATTCCATGTAGACATATTCTCCAAAATCAGAAAAAAAGACTTTCAGATGGGAGAACTCATTACTAGACAGACAGAACAAAAAAAAGCCAAACAATTCTTCTCCAAGTCAAAGAACTGTATCTCAGGGAAATCTGATTCTGTACAAGGTAACAAAATGCCATATGGACCGGCAGAGTGGCATAACAGCCTAACCTTCTGACTGCTGGCACCGGCATCCCATATGGGTGCTGGTGTGTGTCCTGGTTACTCTACATCTCGATCCATCTCCCTGTCTACGGTTTGGGAAAGCAGCGGAGGTTGGCCCAATGTGAGATTCTGCATGATGCCATAAAGTGAACAAGATGTTATAAAAGAAGGAAAATTTGTTAGGTGATTTCTTTCATTTGGACATTATGTTCTCAAAAAATAAATGCAACACATGACTTAAATGTCAGCTACTGGATGCAAACAAGCCTGGCCTCCTAAGCATTCCGCGAATCCTCTGTGCCTGCCTTTGTGTCTGTGCTTTCAGACATTCCTATTTCTTTGTCTTTCTTGTCTAATCTGCTAAGTTTTGGGGGCATGGACTCTCACTTGTATCTTTGTTTCTTGGCTACCAGTACACTGTTTAGGGCAAAGATACTCAATAAATGCCCCTGGAAGAATGAGAAGTAGGTATTAGAGCTCTGAATATCAGACTCAGTGTGCAGGAAAAGAAAATCACCGAGCCTGTGACGTGATTACGGCAGGGAAAGGCTGAGGTCACAAAGCATTTACCACAGCCTGAGAAGCGGGAAAGAAGTGAGAGTTATCCAAGCAGGAAAGCGAGAAACGACTAGGGTGTGGACGTAAATGCAGCAGTAGAAAGTGCAGACTTCATGAAATGTGCAAGTTGAATCCACATGACACTATGAACCGCTTACACACAGGGAGGAACAGGGAAGCCGACTTCGATCTGCTGCTTCAGTGACTAGAACGGCGGTGTTATTAATAGAAAGGGTGAAGTCGGAAGAAAGAGCTAATGTGGGCAGAGAGGTTCAGTTAGCATAGAGCTGGGACCAAAATAACCAAATAAATAAAAAAAAGAGGGTGGCAGGGAAATGTTGAGTAAGAAGTTGGAAATGAATTTAGGATTTAGAAGATTTAGATTTGAAATTTAACTCCATTGACATGACACTGCGGGACTGTGTCAGAATCTAAAGAACAAAAACAAAACACAAAGGAAAAGAGTGTAATTGGACATTTTTACATAAGAGAATGAAAACTTCAAAGCCAGAAATTAATAGAAAAAATAAGTAATGAGAAAAGAAGACACTATATATCATGACAGTGATGTTCAAAAGGCAGCAAAGGAAGTAGGAGTTGGAATAACAGGAAAGAGCAGCAACACCAAAGGCAGAGAAGAGCTATGGATACCAAGAACTAAATATCAGTCGCATTTTAACTTAGGAGGAGACAGCCAATAAGCTTTGAACACACAGTTTTGAGGAAGCGATCAGCCTTGTTCATCAGGGATTCAACAGTAGACAAAGCAGAGCTCACAGTGCTGATGAGGAAGAAGAGTGAAAAGTGCAGACAAGGTCATTAGCAAAGCAGTAACAGCAAGGCTCCACTCTGGGCTATAGGGATAGAAGGATGAAAAGGCAGACCTGCTCTCTGCACCTAATGCCAATACAATCTGCAGTTCCACAGGCACATACTATGCTTAGTAACTAACAGGCAAAAGCTGTGAATAAGAAGTTAAATGGAGCAAGGGTAGTGGTGATTAAGGTCCTTTTAAGGTTTGTTGGAGAACAGCAGAAAGGGGAATACTGTTTAGTTTGGCCTTGTGGTACGGAGGGTTAAGTCATCTCCTGTGACCTGGTCATCCCGTACGGGTGTCAGTTTGAGTCCTGGCTGTTTCAATTCCAATCTGGCTCCCTGCTAGTGTGTCTGGGAAAGCAGCGGGAGGATGGTCCAAGCGCTTGAGTCCCGATGCTCACGTAGCAGACATGGACCAAGCTCCTGGCTCCTGTCTTTGGATTGCATCAGCCCCAGCTGTTGTGAACAGTGGAAAAGTGAATCAATGGACAGAAGATCTTTGAGTAACTGTCTTTCAAATAAACTTAAAAACCTTAAAAAAAAAAGAAAAATGGAAATTTTCTTATTTTGGCAAAATGAGTGACAATTTATTATGCAGTTGCTTTATCTAAAATCCGAGGTCTAGATTCCCTTCTTTTTAAGGAAACATTTCCAGCATGATTGATGAGCAGAGGGTTGCCTCTTACAATGTGCCTGGTAAAACTAGCCATTCAGCTAGTTAAGTCAACGCATTTCACCTTTTCACTCTGGCAGTATTTATAAAAGGAGTATTCTTGAAGAGGAAAAACCTCACTATTACTATACTTTTCACATACATCTTACTAAATGATATTACATGAGCTTCATAAAATCATATAAGTTTAAATACATCTTACAGATAAGAAAATTATGATCCTACAGGATAAGAAGAGGATTCATGGTTACCGGTAAATGTTCGTATACATACTTCAAAGTCACACAGAAGGTCCTGGAAAGCAGTTGAATTTGGAATAATGGAGGTCTCATGCCCACTGTCAACAGTTCCCACTAGGGAAAATGTCAGATGGAGGATGTGGCTGTTCAGAAGGGAACGTTTCTTCTTAAGCAGCATGGCCAGCAACTAGAATAAAGTGATAATAAACAGCTGTTGATAAATCACCACCTGTATGTCTCACATGCATATCATGTAGGGGCCTGGTGTGATGGCTCGGTGGCTAAATCCTCGCCTTCCGCGTGGCAGGATCCCATGTTCATGTCCCACCTGCTCCACTGCCTGTGGCCTGGGAAAGCAGTGGAGGATAGTCCAAAGCCCTGGGACCCCGCACCTGCATGGGAGACCCAGAAGCTCTTGGCTCCTGGCTTCTGATTGCCTCAGCTCTGGCCATTGTGGCCACTCGAGGAATGAAACAGTGGATGAAAGTTCTGTTTCTCCTTTTCTCTGCAAATCTGTCTTTCCAATGAAAACTAGCAAATGCTTTAAAATAAAAAGAATGCCATGTGTTCTAATCTTGAGGCTCTTACACTAATTTCTAATTTTTTTTTTACCTGGTAACATACTACTAGAAAATAATCAGAAAAACAAACTTCCACTCTAAACATCGATACTGTTTTGATATTGACATCTTGATTCACATATTAATGTATAAACTCTACACAAATGAATGATTTCAATTTTAAAAGGTTGAATGATATCCTATGCAACAATTACAGAAAAATAGATTGTCCTGATACTGTTGGTGCCTTTAGATTCCTCCTATTTTGGTGGTAAACAATGGTGCAGCAATCTTTTTGATTGTAATATCTCAAGTTCTGTGACTAACTTTAGACAACACAATTTAGTAAATAATGCATTTATTATAAAAAAGCTAATGGCTAAAGTTCTAGGAGGTATTTGAACTGAATCTAAGATAGAAGCATTTGATCTTGCTCCAAGAGCTTGTTCATACAATTAGATTTCTGACTGAATTTCCCAATTGTGGACACTTGAACTCTGCCCTTTTCTAATTCCACATGAGTTTTTAGGAGTAGTGATGACACACTTCTTTGATAACAGCTTCACATGTCCTAAGTTCAGGAGGTAGGAAATCAAAGGCTGCTGAGTGGAGGGAAAAATAAAAAAGAGAATTGGGAAAGCCAAGATCTACCTCAGATCTAGAAAACTCTTGAGCAGAAAATGTGACCCTGTTTCATTTCATTTCATTTTCATTGCTCAAATGATCTGAATGCAGGTGCCCTCCATCTCCAGGAGATCCACACCTACTGTGGATCAAACCTACTGTGGATTCAACCAACTGTGGATCAAAAACGCCAAAGGGAAACCGGTGTCTGCACTGACGGATTTAGCTTTTGTATTCTCATTAGTCTTTTAACAATAAAACGATGATCTGTACAACATATACATTGTGGTAGGTATTGTAAATATTCTATAGATGACTTAAGGAATAAATAGGGAGGATATAGGCCTGTTACTTACAAATACTATGCTTTTTCATATAAAAGACTGGAACATCTGAGGATTTCAGTATCATAGTGGGGTCCTGGAATCAATCCCTCATGGATACAAAGGATGACTATATTCAAAAGTCACAAAGATATAGAGGAAACTAACTTAGGGGGTTAGTAAATAAGATGGGATGAGATGGGGAAAAACAATTCAATATAATGAAAACAACTCACATTGTCTTATGATTTATGTTACTTCAGATAAAACCTACATTATTAAGTTGACTTGGACACAGTGTAACTCCTCCAGGGAATGAAACATAGGAGTAATAATCAAAATTAGAACATTCTTTGGTACAACGAACAGGGAAGGCATAGCTTTACAATTACAAACCTGGTAGCCTTTGATCCTTTCCATCTCCTTGCTGGCTAGTGGGTTACTCTTGACCACACAAACCAGGGCCTTGACTGCTGCATACAACCCTTCCACATCGGAGGCCATGGCCACTAAGCCCAGGATGGCTGCAGCTCCTCCAATGTACTGCAAAGTAGTGGCAACAGGCTTAGGGACAAATGTTCTTACTCCTGATTGAAAGACAGTAAAAAATAATTACAACAAATTCCCCATGTGGGCTAAAACTGAATATCATCATTAATTTTTTTTCCCTTAAAGACAACAACAAAAAACAAAAACTCTTCTATCCAAAAATAAAAATACGACAACAACAACTAAAATGCTGAAGGCAGGTACTGGGAGAATACGTACTCTCAGAGAAGAACCAAGAATAAAGGGAAGGAAAGATAGGACCCGGGTTTTAGAGCAAGCACACATGCTGCTACTGTGTAGCTCAGGCCCAACACAAAGCCTGCGAAGCACAGAAGCTGGCCTATCTGAGGTCCCTGAGAGTGCCTTTCTTTGTTGTGTTGGGAAGTAAACTTGTAGAGAGCAAAACCACTTCCCTGTGAACTGAGGAAGAAGCAGGAGCAACCAACTTGCTAATCAACTACGAGCTCACCTTCACCTATAGCTTCTCCTAGAGAAGGAATCTGAGCAGCAGTCTATCTCTGACTCCAGAAACCTCTCGTATCTAACTGCCTGGTTCAAGTCCCAGGTGCTCCTTCCTGATCCTGCTCCCTGCTAAAGCACATCTTATGAGACCACAGGTAATGTCAAGTCCTTGAATCCATGCTATACATGTGGAAGCCCCAGAAGGAGGTCGGGGCTCCTGGCTTTGGATGCGCACAGTCCCAGTCGCTGCAGATATTGGGGAAGTAAACCAATGCATGGAGGATCTCTTTCGATCTGTCTCTTCACCTTTCCAATAAAAGGATAATGAATAAATTTTTCTTTTTACAAATATGTCTTTTGGATTGAGTAAATGAATGTGTTTTGGCATAAAGAAACTTCTACCAATGCAATTATAAAACAGGAAAAATTAAAGGTCAGAGATGAGCACGTGGTGAGGACAATAACAACTGCCAAGGACTGATAAAGATGTAGAGCATAGAGCATTCCAGCCAGAAGAGTACACTTTGTTGTTATTTTTAAAAGGTAGTAACATTAATACTGATTTGCACATTAAGCGGCAAAATGACTGACTCGGATTTGGCCGGTTTGATTGGATTAGGCCTTGAATTCTTATCTAGTAAACAAACAAAAAAATAAACAAACAAAAACATCAACTGTTCTCAAGCAAATATTATATATGTGGCTCTAGGGAATGCCCCCCAGCACACTTGCATCACAGTCAGCTGTTGTGTTTAGACTCAGAAAGCCAATCTTATTTTTAAATTAACAGAAGCATTCATGAGGCAAATCTGCTGCATGTACCAAACTGCAAACAGTTCTGAACTTCTTTAACAGCTGTTTCTAATGTTGTAGGAAACACACCTGAGGATTGCACAGAAGTGTGTATGTAGTTCATGTTGAAGAGGAAAAAGTTCATGAGATTTTTTAAAAAAGATTATGATTTCTGGAGTTGATGGCAACTAGATGATGTTATATTAATGTCTAAACACTATAAAAACTAGCACAGCTCAGTGTCATAAAATATAAACCTAAATGCTATCCCTCAAATGAGGAAGTGGATGCAAATTGGAAGGCAAATAAAAAAGTGTGAAACAACAAATTTAACTGACCCAAATATCCAATCAGAGCAGCCCCAACAGTCCGTGCAGGTCCATTAAGGTGTCCCGCTGAATTGTGTACCAGCTTCACTGGCGTGGCATTCTCATGGGAGGAAATGCCTAACTGAAAAAGAGGAAAGGAAAACACTGTAATTGGAGAGAAAAAGTCTGGAAGTTTGACTACAAAAGAGGAAATGCCTGGTTGGTGACACAGCTTCTCTCCACCCTTATTAGAATATACTAAAAAGTAGCATTCATCTTTTACATGTAGAAGCATTTTTATCTCCTTACATTAAAGAAGCAACATCCTTACCTATTTAAACATCATGGTCTATGCTGAAACTAGTGCATCCATTTCTAAAAAAAAAAAAAATTCAAAACATCCATGTTCCCCACAGTGGTGATCCCTTCACCTTCATCACTTTGGATTCCTTGGTATCTTATTAATATTCTCCATCACCTGTCTGAATAACCAAGTTCAGGTTCTAATAGGTCACCCTGTGGTGGGCCTCGGGGCACTGTGGCACTAATTCATAGTGATGGAGTAGATTCATCGGCTGATTAACTAACACTCTTCTTCAAGCGGTCAACAGGCACAAGAACCCCCCCCTGAGGGCGCTCAGCCCATGTGGGCTGAGGTTGATTTCAGGACCACACAGGGTTACACCATGGGAGCGCCTAAGTCAGTTCAGGCTCACAAGCCTCAAGATTTTCAAAAGTGATTCTTACCAACCAGTATATCAAGCATCTTGGATCTCTTGCATGTAGATTAAGTGAACAATTCCTGTCCTATCATTTCAGCACAGAAAACATTTACTTTCATCTACCCTGGCCACTCCCTGGGTGTAAAACAGCATTTAAAAAAAATGTGCAAATATGTCCAAAGCGTGGAATCACATAGAAAGCAAGTCAAACAACAACATGGTATTGTGTTTTTTTTGTCTGGGGGTAGCTATCAGAGGGAGGCCAGATGGGTACAAGCATGTACATCAGGAGCTATGGACAAAGCAGCGGTGAAGTTGATGCAGTTTCCCCTGAAGGCCCACAGCTGGCATTACAGTCAGCAGTCTACATGCCACAGGTACCCCACAATATCTGGTGCAACACGAAGTTCATGATCTGGGAAACAGGGCCAAGCCAGGTTCTGTTCTATATAGGATTTGTGTACACTGTCATGGCTGGATCCCAAGTAAGCAACCCACAGCAAGCCTGCCCATCATGGTGCTAACCAGTTAAAGCTTGAAGGAAACTCCCAGTTTCTTGCTAAGGAATGTGCTTTGCAGAACCATGGGGGTCTGAGAGTCCTAAAGTTTTACTGGGTTGGTGTACATTCTATGGATAAATTCCAAGAAGTTATCGTGATGACTTCAGTCCATAAAGCTTTCAGAAGAAATTCTGATACCCAACAGATACCCACACTAATCCTCAAGCACAGGGAAAGGTTTGGGCTGACATCTGCAGGCTACCAGAGCTGCAGCCCTGGAAAGAGTGACACCTGTATCGCAGTGTATCCGCGGTTTTCGTTATGCAGTCTGTAAGGAGGTGAGATGCCCTCCAACTAAACCATTACCACCTATACAAGCCAAGTTTGTAAAACTCCCGCCTAATCAATGATTCAATCCAGTGAAAAAAAATTACTCTGAATAAAAGAAATGTTATATTTTATAGAAATACACAAACATACACATAAGGATGAGTTTTCAAAGCAAATACAATCCTAGGTTCTTCTCTTGTTTAGTGTAGAATCCAATTTATGCATGGTTCATGTTCCGTTCAAGCACAATATACATGTGGCCAGACACCGCATAACAGTCGTCCAGTCGTCAACTTTTGCTGATCCCAGTGCCTCTGGGCCCAGCCGTTGGTAATCAGCCCACATGGTTGTTAGGCTCACTGAGGTTGACTCAATAAACCCCAAGGCCAGGTGCCACTCGTGACTGCTTAACAACTTTCCCCAGTGAATCACTGATTTCTGTAAAATGGCACCTTCCTTACTTTATTGCTTTCCTGCTGAATGCTACTTCTTAATGATATCTGTAGGTTCTTCTCCATCTCCCCACCTCCAGAATATGAAAATGTTCCTGGTTTTCCTTAATCTGTATCTATGCTTGGGTGAATACAGAGTGACTCATGGCTTTTAACATCACTTGTACACATCCACGACACTCAACCCTCTCTCCTGAGCTCCACATTCTTTTTTTCGAATGGTCCCGATACCTCTACAAAGATGTCTAGTACATTTTTCAAATATTCCAAGCAGAATTCCCAGTCTCCTCTTTTTGTATAGCTTTCTCCAAATCAGAAAAGGTGATTCTGTTTTCCTGGTTAGTCAAGAGAAAAGCTTTGAGGGTACTTCTGTCTTATTTATTTCGTGTGCTATATCCATTCCACATTCTAGTGTCTAAAACTCTTAGGTTTTCAACATATATCTTGAATCTAATGATTATTTTTTCACTGTTACTGCTCTCACCCTGGATAAAACTCCAATAATCTTTTGTAGAAATTCTTTGTTGTGGGGCTGGCAATGTGGCATAGCAAGTAAAGCTATTGCCTACGGTAAGATATCCTATTGTCCATAGGATACTGTTTGAGTCCCAGCTGCTCTATTTCTGATCCAGTTCCACGACAATGTGCCTGAGAAAGTAGTCGCAAATGGCATAAATGCTTGGGTCCCTGTATCTACGTGGGAGACCTGGAAGAAGCTCCTGACTCCTGGCTTTATCCTGGCATAGGTCCAACCATTGTGGTCATTCAGGGAGAGAACCAGTGACAAAGTCTCTTTCTCTTTTCTTCTTCAAGTAAATAAATCTTAAAAAAAAAAAAAGGAAAAGAAAAGAAAATTTCTGTTGAACTGGCTTCATTCCATTTTGCTTCAGACTATTCTCAACAGACATCACAGTGATCTTGGCTGAAATGTAATCTGGGACCCTATGATGCTTCTCATCTCATTTAGTAAGAGCCAAGGTCTTCATAATCACCTTAGATCCTCAACAATCTGGTCTCCATAACCTTTCTGGGCTCCTGTCTTCTGTCCAAGCCTTATCTTACCTCTCAGAGGAAGGTATTTAGCTTAACAATGAAGATACTTTCTCAGAGAGCCACTGAGTTGGGTGCCCAGTTGTGACTCCAGTTTCCTGCCAGTGCAGATCCTGGGAAGCAGTATAGTAGTTCAGATCATTCCATCACTCCTGTGGGAGATCTGGATTGAATCTGTAGCTCCTGACTCCAGCTCCAAGCCTGCTTTGGCGACTGCAGACAGTTAGGAGAGTAAACCACCAGGAGGGACAGCCCTCCTTCTCTCTCACCTCTCAGTAAGGCCTCCTTTGAGCACCATATTTAAAACTCAATGACTTCTTTGTTTTCCCTTCCTTCTTTAAGTTTTTTACATTACCTTCTAACACACTCTAGAATTTTTTCAGTTATTTCTTTAGTTTTTGTTTTCTGGTTCTTCCATTAAAATGTAAGAAACAAAAAATTCTCAAAATTTCTTCTTATTCATTACCAAGTTCTGGTGGCTGACACATAGATAGGTGATATATAAAAACGAAATCGCTGAGTGATAGTTTTAAAAACAGCAATTACTTCTTGAAGTTCAACTCCTTAATAGCCAATAAATATAACAATTACTCATAACAGAATGGACTCCTCATTTTACTGACTAAAGCTAAACATTTAAAGGTGTTCAGGTTAAAATGAAGAAACATGAATCAAATGTAAAACATGTACGGAATACACTATTTTTAAAGATCACTTATCATTGGGTGGTATCCACAATGAGGCTCTGAAACATCTTCGCAGGGAAAGTGGGCCAATGAGCTACAGAAAAATCATTCTGCTTACCTGCTTAGCAATGGCTTTGCTGTCCAACTTGTTATACACTTTCCGGAGTCTTGCCACTGTTAGGGAGGACACAGAAAGTGCATAGAGGCCAAAAGACACCTTCTCCTCCGGGACTAACGATATGGGAGATGGGATTACACCTTCAGATTTCACATCTTTACCTTCAAAAGAAGGAGAGCTCTTGTTCAAAATGATCTGTTATCCTCCATACCCTACACCAGCTTTTCTTATTTTTTTTTTTAATTCTTACTGTCATTCTTAAGTGGGCAAGTCTGAAAACTTTGAAAATCTGAATGAAGAATCAAAGACTTTTCATTTTCAACCGTTCATTTCACAAAAAACAAAGAAAAAAAACTGTTGAATCATAGAATTCTACATTCCATTCCATGCTTTACGTATAGCCTAATTTAGAAAACGAGAAAGTGGTGTTAATTGTTTGCTAACAAATTGCTAAGTCCTTCTCCTATATTCAAAGAACAAAGGAGTAAAAACGAGTAGAATTTCTGTAGCACTACAGAAATAGGCATCTCCCAGGCCTTTATACCTATCCCTCCACATCTCCCAGACAACAGGCACATGCCTGTTGAATGAATCAGAAAACCTGAGTGTGAGTATTACTTGAACACTTAAAAGATGTATGCCCCATACATTTGTGACTCAGTTTTCTAATCTGTGAAATGAGGGTGAAAAGGACAGCTCATAACCCAAAGTATTTGCAGAGATGAATGAATACATGTCACAGGTTTGGGACAGCAAGGTGCTTCATGCAGATCACCTTGCCTGGTGCTCCATCTGTGTTCCCTCTTAGTAGATACCATCCCTAGGGGCTTGACTGTTCACAATAGATTTGTCCTAACAAAATAGCGGGATGGTAATGTCAGTTCATTTTACTTTAGGTTTTCCCAGAGAGAAAGCAGATTAAAAAAAAATGGACTGGGAAAGTAATGAAGAAAAAATTTGTTAACTGTTCTGGTCTGTAGAACATACATGTGTATTTCCTGGACTCTTTATGCTTCTTTTAACAAGAGTACCTACACTTTCAACCGTTTCAGGTCATAGCAGAAATTTCAGAACAACAACAGGTTTGAGGCGACTCCTACAGGATACTAACATACATCTTAGAGCCAATGAGAGAAAGTGGAGCGTGTTCAGGCATAAAGACAAACAATCAAAATAATAGAGTATGATAAATAGAAAACATTTTAAGTATGAATTGGCAAGGGTACCATGGTGTAGACAATCAGAGTACAAGGCCCTTGTCCCAGGTAAACACATGTATAATCTTACACACAGACAAATGCATCTCTACTGCAGGAGTTAAGACTCAAACAATTTGAAGAAGTTGCTTACATGGCATACATACAGCCTGGAAGCTTCCAACATAATTTGGTCCAAGTTCATAAATGGTAGTAACATTTGAAGGCGGCAAAACTTCTTCTAGAAAATGTGTGGGTCCCAGGCGCCAAACTAATGATGCAATCTGGCGTTGGGCAGGTGGAGTACCAATGTATGCATAGACTGTGCTCACCACCGGGGGATTTGTAGAGCCTGAGCCCCCAGGAGTACTGTGAACATAATGAAGCTACAAAGAGGAAAAAAGCAAAAATGTAAGACATGAAAGAATACCTTAGTGTATATATTTTCATTTTCCAAAGGTTTGCAAAATTTATAAAAGTTCAAAAACAGATGGGCTTGAGAAATCTAAGGACAGGGAAAGATTCTTGGATCTTAAATTATATATCATATAGGGTGGTGGAAAATTTGCTATCTGATTTGACTAAAGCAAACTATCCCAATGCTAAAAACAGGAAGAATAAAACAATGGATACTATCATTACTTGGTAGGTTTGTGTACCAAATTAATGATGCTTCTTTAAAATTTCTGGATTGAAAGAAATCAGAGAGCTCTTCACCATGGGATTAAAGTAGTCCAGAAATCGACTATGGTAACTTAAATGTGAATCAGTTAACTAAAATTATTAGTGAAAAATGTTTTTCAATAGAGAAAAAGTGAAGACAGAAAAGTGAACAGTCTGGATACAATTTATATGCACACATATTAATTTTAATGCAAAATACTAAGCACTGTTGCATGACATTTTCTGATTTCAAATTACTGCTAATTAACAATTACTACTTAATTACTTTGTAACAGGTACAGGATGAGATAGGAGAATTAAATAGCTGCTTGTTGTAAAGGCATCTTTCATTGCATTATGGAATGAGGGACATTCCCTGTGACCACTTTGTCACAACATCGTCTCGGCTTCAGACCACATCTTCATGGTATATATTATATGGTAGTTTTGGTGATGTTAACAGTATAATTGTGAGTAACAGTATGTGAACTGAATTTGATTTTATGAGAATGCAATTACTCCAGGAGACAGCGATCATGACAGTGTAAACATATCAATAATGAATCTACTCCACCTAAACTCTGGAATCTGAAGACATTTTTATTTTCAATGACACTAATGAATACTGAAGGAGCAATCACCTGGGGAATCTACCAACACATTTCAAATGTTATCTCATATACAAAAATACCAATGTCCTTACCAGGGGATTCATTATGTTGAAACATAATTTCACAATAAAGCATCATTGTCTTTAACGAGGAAATGCATTCAAAGAAGTTGCAGGTTTGAGTGCTTTTTAAACTTAATTCACCAAACAGGACAACAAAACTTTACCTCTATTATTTGCAATAACAGCATTGTAAAATGGATATTTATTTTTTTAAGAATTTAAGGAATTTTAAGTTTGCTGGTGAGTTCAATAGAAAATAATTACCAGCATTCACCCTGATTCAGAAAACAGAATTGTGCCTACTTCTTTATGCATTACTTGATGTGTTTTCTGAATCCTATGGTATGATTAATAGATTAATGTTTACATATTCATGCATTCAACATTCAATACATGGAACACTTAGCACCATCATCAAGGACTAAATTGATTGTTAAGAAAATGAGGAAAAAAGTGAATTTTACCCTTAAAGGTATGGAGTCCTCTGGACTAAAGTGCGATAATTAACTAAGAGATGACAATATAGTGTAATCACAGTTTATGTAGGCATCTTTCAACTCACTTCTCTATTTGAAAAAGTATTTAACAATCTACTTAAGACCTAAAAACTTCAGTAATTTTTTGGTACACTGCAACTTCCCAATTTTTCTCTAATCAAGTTACATGAATTAATCAATCAAGTTATCAAGTTACCCTAATGTATTGTTCAAATGAGAAGTGAAGATCAGCTTAAAATTAAGATAGAAATCTCAATAACACTCCAGCAAATACATACACACAGATCCCACACACACACGCGTCCTAACCCATCTTGAAAAGCAAGAGGGCTCCCAGGCATGCTCATGGCGTACCTTCACGGTGCTAACGAGCTGTCCATCAATATACAGGGCAGCAGTGCTGTTTTTCAGCATGCCTTTGCTCATCACCAAAACGAGATGATGCCACTGGCCTTCAACGATGAGCTCTCCACATCGGAAGCGAGCACAGCACGGCAGAATCTCGTAGAAAGACGACTCTTCACTAAAATCATCAACTGAAATAAAGGGGGAAAACGCAAGAAACCTTTGCCAGTGTTACGTCTATTCTGGCTGACAGTAATTTGCATGTAGATTTTTATGTTTGACTACATGTTAAAATGTAAAAAATGAAAAAAATTAAGATAATTCATATTAACCTAATAACCTGATATGAGGTAAGAAGTAAAATGTAGGACTTTTTTTTCTTTCTCCTTAAGATACATGAACTTATAATGAAATAAATCTATAATATGGAGTTATGTAAAAATAAATTAGATAACAAAGTTTTAGTAAATAATTAAAAGAGATGAATGGACACTAGAGTCAAAAATAAAAACAAGTGGAACTACAGGAAACAGAAAAGCTTGTGCAAGGCAAAGGAAACAATCAATAGACAACCTATGAGTTCTGAGAAAATATTAGCACATTTGACAAGAGGTTAATCTCTAAAATATGTAAGGAATTCAAACAACTCAATATTAAAGGAAATGATAAATTTAACTGAAAAATATGTTAAGTGACCAGTCTGCTACACCAGCCAGTGAATGAGAGAGCCAAAGTGGAGAAGTAGCAGGTAGACAAGGAAGGCTCAAGGAGCCAGCACCATGGGTCTCCTCAGATGAGGTCACTGTAGCAGCTGGCATGCATGAGAGCCAAGGCTGGGGCTTAGGGCAGGGGGAGCTGGCAAGGGGAGAACCAAAGAACTGGTGCCACAGGCCTCCCCAGGCCAGGTTGATGCACCCACCAGTATGCGTGAGAGCCAGGCCTGGGAGTGGACCAGGCTGGGGGCCTAAAGGTCTGGCACACCAGTACTCCTGGCCAGGCCACAGACTTGCTGTTTGTAGGGGTTTGAATACTAATGGCTTTTGGTATTGGCAACCAGGTGGTGCTTTCATGTCCTACTGCCCTTATGAATGTCAGGATGTCCCATCCCAATGACTTAGGTGTATGGTCTGGTCTCAGTGCACACATTCTATGACTGGGTCACATGTATTGCTGACCCCTGTGCAAAGTAGCCAACAGCTTATCAGAGCAATGATGACAATGTTGGGGACACTCCTTGGCACTGGTTGGAAATTCTCCAGCTCATGAAAGGCATCCATTGGAGGAGTTAGAGATTTCAAAACATAGGATCAGCAAACCCTATGCCCTGGTCAGTAGAAAGTAATTACATAAGGTAATGACTCTGCGCTCTTCAGCAACCCTTAAGATTGAGGGTTGGGAATGTCTAGGCAAGAGTGCAATGAGATAGAGATGCTTAGGGTTACAAGTTGAACACCATAACTTTTGTGCTCTATGGACATTTCTTTCTCTCCCATCTCTTCCCTCCCAGCCCACTCCAGCCTTGAACATGGCCCACCTGTGTCTGCGATCTCTTCACCTTTTAAACAAACTTTATTTAAAACAATTCACTAAGTACTTTTAATGTACTTAAGTACTTAGTACATTTCTCTAAATAAAACACAATTATCAAACGCTGAGACATCTATGAAAAGATGGTTAATGTTAACAAGGAAATGCAAACCAAAACCAAATTTGACAAGTCACCTCATACCTATCAGGATAACTATTACCAAGAAAAAAAAAGTGGAGAACTTAGAACCTTCATGCATGGGTGGTGATAATGATAAATGGCAATACATGGAAAATAGAACCACTGTATGAGCCAGAAACACCATTTTTGGGTATTGCACCCAAAGCAATGGAAATCAGGATCTTGAAAATGTATTTATCCTACTGTCTGCAGGGGATTGATAAAGAAAATGTAGCTTACACATACAACAGAACACTATTCAGTCTTAAAAAATAAAGAAATTGTAACAAACTGAATCAACCTAGAAAGCATAATGCTAAGTGAAAGAAGTCAGACATAAAAAAACACGTACTGCATGATTTCACTTAAATGAGGTATCCCAAAATAGGCAAATTCTTAGAAACAAAGAATAGAGTGATGGATGCCTAGGGCATGGAGGAATGTGGGATAGGGGGCGGATTAATCAATCACCATAACGTTTCAGCCAAGGAAGATGAATAAGCTCTACCGTTCTGTTATCTGACAATGTACCTTAAAGGGAACACAAATGTATTTGAACTTTTAACATGTACTTGATAATAGCATCAGTTAGGAAAAAAAAAAAACAAACTTTATTTCTGCTATGTGGTAGAAGCAGAAATTATCTATTGGTAGTTTGTGATTATATTGCCCAGATGACAACAGCTGGTAGTTAGAATCAATTAATGGTGTTAAAAAGAAATTTGTTGACCTAAGTTCATGGTTCACAAACGACTGTGCACATGTGCATGAATACATAATCTGAATTGTTAACATTCCATCATCATTTCCTGACTCCATTTCATCTACTACTTGGTACTATTAGGCAAACTAAGCTAAGAAACAACGGGCTCATCTTAATTTCATTTCAGTGTTATACTAATTAAGATAATTTATCTTTTCCAAGTATTCAAAAGGGGGCAGGACAACAGTGGACTACCAGATGTTAAAATTGCATTTAAGGGGTTAGCACACTAAGCTATGCTAAGTAAAGCATTCCATATGGACCTCAGTTCATGCCCTAGCTGCTACACATCCAATCTAGCTCCTGTTGTTAGCCTGGAAAAAGCAGCAGGAAATGGTTCAAGTGCTTGGGTCCCTGCTCCTAGTGTGTGAGGCTTGAAAGGGCTCCTGCCTGTTGGCTTTGGCCTGCCTCAGCCCAGGATGCTGTGGCCATTTCGGAAGTGGGTCAGCAGATGGAGAATCACTGTCTCTCTCTTTTCTCTTTGTAAATCTTGCATTTTTTTAAAGATATATTTATTTGTATTGGAAAGTCAGATATACAGAGAGGAGGAGAGACAGAGAGGAAGATCTTCCATCCAATGATTCATTCCCCAAGTGATCACAACAGCCAGTGCTGTGTCAATCCGAAGTCAGGAGCCTAGAACCTCTTTCCAGGTCTCCCATGAGGGTACAGGGTACCAAGGCTTTGGGCCGTCCTTGACTGCTTTCCCAGACCACAAGCAGGGAGCTGGATGGGAAGTGGAGCTACCGGGATTAGAACTGGTGCCCATGTGGGATACCAGTGCATTCAGAGCGAGGACTTTAGCCACTTGATGACACTGCCCAGTCTTTGTAAATCTTGCAAATTAAATAAAATGAAAAAAAAAACCTCATTTGAAAAAAAAAATTCAAGGGGTGGGCATTTAGACTTAAGACTACTGTGAAGACTTCAGACTCCCGTGTCCCATGTAATGGTACTTGGGTTCAATAACTGAGTTCTGGCTCCTGACTTTAGCTTTAGCTAATGCAGTTTGTACAAGGATAGCCTGAATGATGGGGTTTTTGCTATCCACGAGGGAGATGTGGATTCAATTGTATTTCTGGCTCTGAGCTTCAGCCCCAGCCAGGGTTCACTGCTGGAATTTGGTGGGTGAACTGGTAGATGAAAGCTTTCTCTAAAAATATACGTATCTGTTTGCCTCTCAAGAAAATTTAAAAAAAAATTTCTGTAAAGAAAAGTAAAATAAAAATAAGTCAATTAAGGAGCTAAACATGCAATGTACAACACACTCACTATTTTTCAATGCAAGCACGTAAGAAGATACTAAAAATAAAGTTTAAATTATGAAGAAGGAACTGGTAATTTCTATTTTTATAATCTTAAGAAAATCTATACATGCCAAGAAATAGCATCATTATCTGTTTGAATTACGAGAAGGAAAGACATTTGGTTCCTGTTCAAAGTAAGATGTTTAGCTGTGAGTAGAAAATTACTAACACCAAAGCTAGTACAAAACCTTGCAGATGTGTGGAAAGTTGCAAGCAGCTTTCTGATCTAACAGGTTACAAACCACTTGGGCCATCTTTTGCCTTTCTACTTGCATGAGCGGGCAGTTGGACTTGAAGTGGAGCCGACAGGAATCAATGGGACATCAGCATTGTAGGTGGCAGCCTAATCTGCCTGGTTCTAATGGCAGCCCCAAGATTAGAGAGCTTTGATTAGAAAGAAGTCAACAGGACTAAATGCCAATAAGGAGTAAATGGTTATAGCAAGAATTTTAATCTATATTGATACCTGGCTTGAAGTAGGGTACCAAGCCAAGAAATTTTACAATCAAATTGAAAAGCTAAGATTTATATTCAAAGTAATGAATACCAACCACATGTGAATCCATATATAATATTCATTTTTTTTAGTTAAAAGAGCAAATTTAAATGATCAGAAAGAACACGTATATATACATGTTTCTATTCAGAAGAAAGAAAACTGCTTGACTTGAAATTTACAATTTTTTGCTATTTAAATCATCTAGGAAGATCTTTACAAATGTTCAGAACTTGAAATCCTACTGCATGGCAATTTGTGATGGCATATTGTAAGGAATTAGGATTATGAAATGGTGTGTTAAAGTTGTAAAAGTAAGTAATGCCTAAAATAATTGAAATGTTATTGTGTCTAGCACAGGGTGGCGCATATGGTTGCAGGTGTTCAACGAAAAGTAGTAAAGCAGAGTTCACAGCCAGCACTAATCCTCACAAAAATACATCAAACATGCAACCTGCTTTCCCAGTAAGAGCTGTTACTTCTTGGCAAGTAAGGAGGCACACCTGTTACTTCACAGTTTCTGATTCTCTTTTTGAATGTGTCTTGAGAGTCAATATTCAAGACTGAACATATGTAACATACATGTTGGAAGAGAACGAGCATTTGGACCTTAAAAATCATCAAATTGGTATTTTCGTGCTTTTAGGATCAAAAGAAGACAACAAAATATTTAAATACTGACCATAGTTTTGCAGTAGTTCTTCTTTAGTGGAAACAATCAGAGATCGGTCCTTTGCTGATAAAACTACAGCGAGGCACACATAATGTTGTTCAGAAGAATTTGCTCGACGCACAACAGTAAGAAGTCGGACAGGGTGGTTATTCGGAGGAGAGCTAAAATGTTCAATACAAAACCAGCTAGAGTAGCTTAAGCCAGAGGGGGGAGGGAAGAATCTTTCACCTGAAGCGAAAATAGGAAAGAAACAACGGTGGAGTCTGTGTTGAGTCATATCTACATTTAAAAAGAAGCCAACCAAAGTATATAAACTCTAAATAAATATAATCTACTAAAAATAGTATAAAGAAAATACCACTTACCAGAACCAATGCCGCTGACTACAGCCCCATCAGTAAGACCTGTTGTGACAGCATTATTTGTAGGCGCATTATGAGGGGCCAGACTGGGCAGAAACAGGCAGCTATCAAAGAGAAGATAAACGCATGTTGGAGGCCCACTGTTTCTGAGCACTATGCACCCATCACTGTGAAACAAGCTGCCAGTCCGTGAAGGGAACTCAAAAGAAAAGTTTACAGCCTGTATCTAAGATGCCTAGCAAAGCCACTCATCTGAACTATGTGAGAGGTCTAAAACATAACACTTTTTTAAAAAAAGATCTTTCAATTATTTTTAATTTGAACATTTGAAAATGAAGGTATCACTTGCATTTGGTAAAACCTATCGATGTCTGACCCTAAGCAGGAGGGTGGAACTGTGGCATCCTGAGCCCACAGATTTCTTCTGGGGATGGCGCATCACTCAAGTCATTGCTTGGGATGCCTGCATCCCACACTGGGGCGCCTGGCTTGAGGCCTGGCTTCTCTGCTTCTAATCTGCATGTCCTAGGAGCCACAGAACAGCTCCAAGATCTTTCTCTGTCTCTGTGTTTCAAATACATTTAAAAAAATATTTCTTAATTATATTGTACCAAGCTGCTTATTCACAAACTCCCTTATTTATTTTTTTCGTGTGGATATTTACCCTAGCAGTTAAAATGCCAACAATCCACATCGGAGTGCTAGGGGTTTGTGCCTCAGCTCTGGCTTCTCACTCTATCTTCCTGGTAATGCGGGCCCAGGGAAGCAGTAGTCATGGCTCCATTGGGTCCATCACCCACAGAAGAGACCCGGAAGAGTTCTCAGCTCCTGGTTTCATCCTGATCCATCCCGAGTCATGGCAGGCATTTGGAAGTGTGAACCAGCCAACAGGAGTTCTTTTCCCTCTGTTTGTCTTACTCTCCTAGTACCTCCCAGATAAATAAATTTAAGAGTAAAGAAAAATTCCTTATACTCCTTTCTAGTCACTCCCATTATTACCACCTTCTATTTCAAAACATTTCCACTTATTTCAAAAGTAGAGTGACAGAATAAGAGAGAGAGAAGAGAGAGACAGAATCAGAGAGAAAGAGAGAGAGAGGAAGGAATATGGAGGGAGAAAAATTTTCCATCTGCTGATTCACTCCTGAGAGGCCCCCAACAGCTAGACAGGGTCAATCAGACAGGAGCCAGAACTCCACCTGTATCTTCCATGTGGGTGACAGGGACCCAGGTAGTTGGGCCATGATGTGCTGCCTTCTAGGCGAATTAGGAAGAAGTGAAATGGTTCAGGAGAAGCTAGCACTCTAATATGGAATGATTACATCTTAACCAGCTATGCTATGATACTCACACTCCAAGCATGTTTTACTCTATGGCTTGATTATAACCTAATATATTTTTAAAATACAATTTACAGATTATGTGAACCTGGTTGGATCCTACAAACAACTGTTATATCCCAAAGTTTTCTATCAGCATGTGTGTGCATGTCAAAGCTACTGGGGTATTAGTAATTCTGAATTTTCTATGGATTCCTTATTGCCCCCACTGCTACCACAGACTAAAATATATTTATTTGAAGAGGTGGTTGCTGAACACTTAGAATTCTTCTGTCTGTGCTAGGTCATTTAAGGATAGAATGATCACAAAATGCAAAGAACAGTTCAGGAAAATGTTTGATCATATGTTATGTCACACTGTGTGAACCAGGCAATTTCTATCATGATTACTCAACCCTGCCATGTTAGCATGAAAGCAGTCACAGAAAATACATGAGAATGTAAATGAGTAATGCTTTTCTGACAAAATTGCATTCAGCAAAAAAAAAGCCAAACAACAATAACAACAACAAAAAAACCCCACCATGCATGCAACAGTTTTATTAATAAAAGCAGTTTTGAATCATGGGTCTTAAGATTATTAGTTCCTGGATCTCACTACTTTATTTAGTATACTAATCAAATAAAGTTAATTGACTGTGGATGTATTAAACAGTGTGTTTAAAGAATACAATAATTTGAAAATATTTAGTGTACTATGTTAATAAATTCAACCTCATATATTTAAAATCAAAGATCTACTTGGAAAGGCAAGTGTGAGGCATAAAAATAACAGAATAAGGCTTGGCTACATTGAAAAAATTCCTTACCCAAACCCTTCAAGCGATGTGTCAAATTCAACAAAAGCTGGAGTAACTGAGGACCCATGAAGTCTAATGTCATGTGGTGTTGTCATGGAGACCAGACACTTGACCCTGGTCAGGGGTACTGTACTTCCTTCTGCAGATTTGACCAGACTCTTGCTTATCCGGTAATGGTTATCTTCATGCAAACTGAAAACATTATCTGAACCCAGGCCTTCCAGAGATGTGACCATACTACCTGAAAGTTAAAGACAATTATTTGGGAAAAGTACTGTGTAGAATTAAAATAATAACTCTCACCATATGTGCATTCTGTCCTGACCTCCCTGCTGCCATGCAGGGATCTATCCCTTCTTTCAGCTTTTCAGGAGCCATGAAGCTTCAGTCTCGACTCTATAATTTTTCATCAATAATTTTGAGTTCCCATCCTTTGCATACACCTATGGTCACTGTCCTGTAAATCCACAGCCTGGTAATAATCACCTAACCAGCTGCTCTATATAAGGTAGCGATGGCTGCCATTATATACGCCATTGAGCAAACTAAGGAAATGGAGACTTCTTGCAGCAGTTATTCACCCTTCCAAGTCCAGCGTCATTCTGAAAATGCACCAATGATTTCTGTCCTACTCCCTCAAGTAGTCAATCTGATCTTATGTTTCAAGACAAACAACAAGAAATGATTTTCATTTTTCACATGACTTTCATGGATGAAACAAGTCTAACAAAAGGAATCTCAAAAGTCAACTTACTTCTCATGTCTGGTTCGTAATAACTCAGTGAACTTGGCTTGTGAACCCTGTATTGTTTTAGAAGCTTTTTGTCCCAGGCACCACAATTTAAAGGACTTGCCAAACGTAAAAATTCCCTAAGGGAAAGACAAAGTAATTATTCCCTGATTAAGAATAGAATAGAAAAGAATAGAATAGAATAGAATAGAATAGAATAGAATAGAATAGAATAGAATAGAATAGAATAGAATAGAATAGAATAGAATGCAACATACAACAAAAGGGATTTACTGAATTACAACAGATTCACTAAAATACCAAATAAATACCAAGTTATTCTTAGAGGCAATATACAAGGTTAATCTTACAGTTTCATCATGACATATGTATTAATCTACTGCATGTTTTTCAAAAGTTAGTAAAAACAAACAAGACATTTCCTTAGTCCAACACGTTTCAAGTTAAGTCATCATATTGTACTCAAGCCTACAGCTTCTCTTTTGTTCCACATCTCACTGAAACGGGCTTTCATGCTTCTTTTGATATTCCACTTCCAAAAATCATGAAATCCTGCTGATTCTACTCCTTAGAAACATCTCAAATCTGTTGTCTTTTTTCATTTCTGTTGCTACTACCCAAACCATGTTATTTTTCTTTTCCCCCAAAGCAGGGCTACAGATTAAGAGTGGCAGAGCCATCTTCCATTCACTGGTTTCTTCCCAAATGGCTGCAATGGCAGGGGCTGAGTTCCGCTGAGGCCAGGAGTTTCTTCTGGGTTGTCCATGTAAATGACAGGAGCCTAAGCACATAGTCCATCCTCCTCTGCTTTCCCAGACACAGTAGTAGGGAGCTGGATTGGAGGTGGAGTACATGGGACTTCAAACAGCACCCCCATGGGATACCAGTGTGGCAAACTGTGGCGAATAATGTACAGCACAACACTGGCCAGTCCTGAAACAGTCTTAACTAGATACTGATCTTGCTCCACTCAGTCTACTTTCTGTGACACCCAATATCTCCCCAAACAGAAATCTACTTGCTGTCATCCTGTTGCCTGTCCCATTGTGAGGATGGAGACTCCCAACTGATGGCATGTAATCCCACACAGGAGCTAATTCGGGTTGATCTGTACTCCAATGTCCAGCTTTTTTGTCCCACCTTGCTCTCCTATCACAAAGGCCATTTAAGGCACACTTGTGACTCCCTACATGTGTTCTGTACATTCTCTGCTCTAGATCACCACGCTTGCTTTTGCTGAAGAAAATTCTTTCCTTTTCTGTAATTTCTTATTATTTCCTTCACAAGCCCTCTCCAGAAAAAGTCTGAATCAACTGTCTAGTAAACTGCTTAGCACTGCTATAAAAAAATTCAATATACAGTATTATGATTTCTTGCTTATCTGAGAGATTTCTTCACCAATATGAATTCATTAATATTTCCCAAGTGATAGGACATGACAAAAGTATCAAAAATAAAGGAAGTCTTCTAAACTAAGTCCAAGGCATGCTTCTTGATGAGACAGTACCCTGATCAATGCAAAACAAAAATCTACATGGCATTTATGCTATATGAGGCATTAGAAGTAAACAAGAGATGATCTAAAGCATTTGGAAAGATACATGTAGGTTATGTGAAAATACTACACCATGCCACGTTATACATACAACCTGACCATCAACAGATTTCAGTATCTCCAGGAGGTCCTAAAGCCAATCCCCCAGGGATAATGAAGAACAACTAATAAATGAAAAAAACATAATAAAAAGAACTGCGTGTATTCCCAAAATGATAAGACACACGATTGAACATTTTCTTTAAATGAAGAATAAGATGATTTATACATTAACTCTGTTGAGTTATGAAAATAAAGAAAAAATGCTTATAAATAGCAATATACAATGCATTTTCTTATATATATATATTTATATGGATGACTCACAAACTGTGGTACATACATACTTACACTATTTTAAAAAAAACAGGAACAAACTACTGATACAAATAATGGCTTGTATGCATTAAAGATTATTACGGTGAGTAAAAAAATCCAGTCTAAGAAAGTCACATATAGGGTAAGCACTGGCACAGAGGTTAAGGGGCTGGTTAGGATGCCTGCATGTCATATCCACAGTGCCTGTTCAAGTTCCAGCTCTGCTTCCAAATCAAGTTTGTTGCTAATATTCACCATGGGAGAGTGTTGGGTTCCTGGCACCATATGGGAGAACCAGACATATTTGCAGACATCTGAGATAAATCAAGAGATGAGACCATTTTCTTTCTCTGTCTTTCAAATATATATATTTAAAAAGTTGCACAGTATATGATTTTATTCATGTAAACACTCTGCAAATTACAAAATTGGGCAGAAGAGATTAATGATCTCCTGGAGTTAGGGGACAATAAAGTGGTAGCATGGAGATGTTTGTAATATCTTGACGGTGTGATGTTTTACATAGATCTGCATGTGTTTCAATCACAGACAATTACAGACCCACATGGACACTTCCTGACAAGATTAACCTCTGGTTGTGTTGCTGTACTATAGTTATACAGCATGGAACCACTGGAAGCAACTGTGGAAAGGGGAAAAGGAACCTCTCCAACCCATCTCTACTAAACTTGGGAACTGATAGTTCTTTCAAGATCAAAGTTCATAAAGTGTTTCTCAAAGCATTTTATATACATGAAAAGTCCTTAAATATGAATTTTGATGTAAATCATAGATATTAAACCTTTTCTTATGTAAAGTGAGGGTTTGTTAAAATCAAATGGAGTAACCAATGCAGTGAAATGTTAAGTGCTTACCAACAGCGAGACTTGGGTCTGAGAGCTATATTTTGAATACTGTGTTCCTCTGGCTATATTTTGGGTTTGTCCATGGATAACTGAATGCTGGACTGCTAAGGCAAGAATTCTTAAAGCATAAAGGCTCTAAAAACTGCCACTACTGTTTGGTTTATTTGAACCTGAGCAAGAGAACTCACTGACCTCAGCACCATGGGCTCTAGGGCCTGAGAGGCTAGTCTTTCAAACATCCGCTGGAGGGGTGGATGCAGGGAGTGGTCCTCGTCGGCCAAGGCAGCACTGCATCTCTGCAGCAGCCGTGCATGAAGACCAGCTTCACACATGACTTGCTGGTTGCGCTCTGTGTGCACCAGGGATTGTAAGATATTGGCCACAGCAAGTTGAAGGTCCAAAGCATGCTAAAGGCAACAAAGAAATCCATCACTTTGTGGACAAAGGAAACAGTTTTTTCCACATGCAGTTTATGTTTCTGAATGTACGTTTATATACTTCAAAATCTAACCAGATACATTAAGAAATTGGCTTAGAGTGACACAGCAACTCTATAACAGGGCTTGGCAGACATTTCCTATTTTAATTTTGTTAGAAGCATAGCCAGCTGGACTCCATTCTCTTCCAAGTTTTTTGTGTTGTATGACTATATAATGAATGTCTCTATTTTTCTAGAGAGAGTAGGTGTAAAGTTCTTTTTTCTGGTAGGTAGACAACTAGTTTAAAGAAAGACCTACTGTTTACATTTTGTGACACATCAGACCTTAGAAGCCAGTCAGCATTTTAACAAAAATAGTCAACTCCAATTCAGCCAAGCTTGGATAACAGAAGTCAAAATATAAAATCACCTCAAGGTAATATCTTTTTCAGTCATTTTTATTTCTGTATTATTCGCAATTTCAATGACTGGACAGATGTACAAGCAGACACAGAATGATCTGAGCACCACACAAAATCACTTTTGGTTCCAGCAACAGAGAGTGAATGTTTAATTCTAAAACATTTGGTAAATATTCAACATTCATTATGAAAGATGAGACTTAAAAAATCCTGTTGCTTGAAACACTTTCTTACCCCAGCCCCTCTGCTCATTCTGCTCATACTATCACACACACACATGTCACTTCCCAATTAGGATGAGATGGAACTGAAATATCCACACTTACTTCTGGCTGTGTCACAGACCCAACGGAGGCGAGGAGGTCCAGCATAGCTAGCATGGCACCAGGATGGATGATGACCGCATCAGATGTCTGGAGAGATGAGGTTGTCACATGTAATTTCAGGTCAGCTGCATTTTTATGAGGGTAAACTGGGGGAGTTGAAACAGAATGATAGGCATGTCTATAATAAAAAGAAAAAAGGCTAATTGAGTATTTAGTTCAAATTATATTAGGGGTTCATTTTCGTCATCTTCTGTTAACTTTTATCCACCGATATAAGCGAAAGTCTTGTAATTCATGGGTGGGTTACAGAACATTTTAAAGCTGAGACATAAAAAAATCAATGTATGATCAAACTCTTATTGACTTACATTAAGGCAAGTCAACCATCAACCCTTTTTGACTCTCATGTATCTTTCCTGCAATGAGATGTTTTCTTTTGATATTATATATATACACATATATATATATATATATTTAAACATTGATTTAACTGAAATGTAAGAGACAGAGAGAGACAGAGATCTATTTGTTGGCAAGCTTCTGACATGTGAGTCATGGCCATGGCTGTACCAGGTTGGTATTGGTCAGCTGAGTGAGTGGTAGCATCTCAGTGTGAGCCATCATGACAGCTGATGTCCAGGCACATTTGCAGGAAGTTGGACAGGAAGTGGAGAACCAGGTACTCTGACACAGGCTACAGGATTCACAGGGGGCATCTTAACTCATGGCCTGCAATACCTAGTGCTACCTCTGAGTTTGTAAAGCATCCCTTCATCCACAGGCAATACAACTAAGGATTAACAAGATCCATGTGATCTTGAGCCAACTCAGTCAGGCCTGGCTTAGGTGCGGCCACCAAGAATAAATATAATAAGCATCATGGCAGCTGCCTTCCCTTTCTTCACACAACACTACATGCAATACCACTGAAAATATTCATCACAATTGTTAGGAACGTAGAAGGCACATTCTATGAAGTAAGTTTGTGTGAGCCAGAAGGCTGAGACATGTGCACACGTCATCTCATCAATGAATGATCTCCATGGTTTATTTCATAGAATTCATCTATAATTCATGAATTTTGCACATTTTGCATCTTGGCAGTAAGAACAGATGCTTGGGGCTCCGTAGTTCTTTGTTTCAGTGAGTCGGTCTCGGTATAATTTGTGTATTGCTGAGTTCTGTCCCCCAGAGCAGTGCAGTTTCGGCTCCGGCACAGAAGCAGCTTGGGAAGACAGACAATTTATGTCAGTGCTGTAGCAGCCAAGAATTGGCACTGCCATGTCTTCAAAAAAAGTGCCATTCTCTGTTTAGCAGAGATTCTGGGAAAGCATTTGGCTTTGCTCAGAATAAAGTGCATGAGTCCTCCTAGTTTGTTTCCATAAGTTAGTATATCCTCCACAACCATGTTCTCAATGCCATTTATTCTTACTCAGAAATATCTGATTTTTAAAATTAGTAAGACATTCAGAAATGCTTAATACCAATGAATCCTACTCATATGTTGCCTCCTTTATTCTTTAAAATACCTTAAGCATCTAGAAAAAAATGCTCAAGTCTTTTTCAGTGTATCAAGAATTTCTTAACACAGAATTAATAAATTTCATAAAAAGTATTTCCAGTACACATGTTTGCAACTCTGTTTAGAAATGAACACATTCTAATTGTATATTTTAATTTCAGGCTTTCCAAAATTATTTCTGAATTGATAAATTTTATCCAGGTTTGAATTTCAATTGTGAATTAAAGTAAAACTTTTCTGCCTTTGAAACAGATCTTGACTACCACATAATTACTAGAAGAAAAAGCTTCTAAATTTCTCACAAACAATATGCTGATAAAAGAATTAAGTCATTGTATGTGAAACAGAAGAATATTTTCAAAATGATGAAATCTAAAACATGGCATTTGTTAACTAAGACTAAGTCTAATAGGATGTAATGACATTCTTACTAAGTCTTTTTGGCGCTTTCATTGTTATTTATACTTTTTAAATTCAAAGATTATAATAAGCTTATTAAGTGATTAATTCCCAAGCAAGACTTAACCACTGCAAAGAGGATAAAGTGATACTTCAACCTTTATTAAATTTTCACTCTGTAATCACTTCTAAAAGTTACGGAAATCATTATTCAACATTTCATCCTAAATTCTCATATACATATTTGTGAGACAATTGCATCTTTGGGGAGTATTGAGTCATATATTTAAATTCTGAATTTGTTTTGCATTAATTATCATCAAGTGTGTATACACAGGCACTGAGATAGACAATTAGCATGTGCCACCTGTTTCTCCACAGTAGATACAGCCTACAGAACTTTGGTTATGTTTTTTTGTTTTCACCTCCTCTGTGCTTGAACATTGTTCAGCTTGAATTCTATCATTCCTTCTGAATAATTAAAAGCTAAAAGGTTATTAAGTTACACATTTTCAAATATGATGCTGGCTATTTCGTTTCCCATCAGTTCTTAAAATAGCCAGACAATCTCTAGGATTTTACAAGTTAGACAAATATCACACACTCAAGACTTTCTTGGTATTTCAATGCTCCACAAGCCATGGAAAATAGTATAACATTGGTTTTGGTTTTTGCCAACCAAACCAGCATGTTTTGCCACAAGAAGAAGATACCCATAAACTGATATAATTCCAGAAATAGCACAATGAAAATCTGTTTCAAAGGTTATATATTTGAATCTGTGGAGTAAAAGCATTGTATTCTTTGCTGGTTTACCATTCTTATTACTGAGGAAAATGTATGTAAATTGAATAGCTGGAAGCCTGAAACCATCCACAGTAGTTTTACTATTGACATGAACTTTCTGTCCTTGAGATAATGTTTGGTGTAAGAATGACAGAAAGCTCACATGCATTAGAACTCGCTCAACCAGCTGTGCTGATTCTCCAAAAATTTTTCTTTCAGTCAAAGACTTGGCATCCCTACATATGGCTGCACTAAAACAAACAAACCCCCCCCCCTTTTTTTCCTTTCTTTTAATTTAAGGTCATAAATATCTCTTTACGCAAAGGAAGAAAATGCTATTTATCTTTGCAAAATTAACATTTAAATAACTAGTAAGATCTGCTGGGTTTTTAAAAAGATGTATTGCTTTCACATGTAAATTTCTGTTTTGCAGTTTTGAGTTACTTACAAGGACTACATGTTTTTAACCAGCAATATTTAGATCTAAAAATTACTATTCATAGGATGACTGTTATATTTTAGAACTACAATTGTTTGGGATTTAATCTATTTAGGAGTTAATATGACTTCTCTAACTCAGCACCCTTTTCACATATTATCTTCAAACAGAAAGATATAATATGGCAGTTCAAATGTACCCAGTTTGGAATTTCATGAATTAAGAACAATGTTTAGAAAGATAAAAAGAAATAGTTTTTAAGCACAAATATGCTGAATAATGCCAAATTCACTAAGACTAATCTAAACTATATTCCTAATGTACATATACATATTTTTAAAGATTTGTTTATTTGAATGTCAAAATTACACAAGAGAGGGGAGAGGGAGGAAAGAGTAAGTGAGAGAGAAAGAGAGAGATCATTTATTTGCTGGTTCACTCCTCAAATGGCCACAGTGGCCAGGGTTGGGTCAGGAGGAAGCCAGGAGTCAGAAGCTTCACCTGGGTTTCCCATGCGGATGGCAGGGGCCATTCTCCACTGCTTTTGTGATTAGAGCACTGGACTGGAAGTGGAGCAGCCATGTTCATATGGGTTGCTGGCACCACAGGTTGCAGCTTCATTCACTAAGCCACAATGTTGATCCCAGAATATGGACTTTGCAATATTTTTGATGCACTGACTCCTACTACATTCAATATTCAAATCTAAACAAAAGTAATAAACTTAATAATATAGCAGAATCTCAGGGCTTATTTTTTTAAAAGCTAAAAAGGAAAGGTGGGGAGAAGAAGAAAGAGTATTTGGTGCCTACCCCTCATGCTGGGATCATTGTAAACACAGGCTTTAGACAGAAACTTACATGTAACTTAACTGTACTTCTGTCAACCAACTGGAGCTTTTTGTAAATTCATAAATTACTGACAAGAGGTAGTCTAAGGTTAAGTTAGACATTTATACAGAAAGGATGAAAGTTAAGAACTGGAGTAGGGTTTCATTCACTTTTTCAAAGTTAGCCTTAACAAGTCATGGTAAACATGCAGCATTTCCACTGGCAGAATCTCACCAGGTACTTCCTGTTCTGTGAATAGGAGATTCACTTTGGAATAATTGTAAAAAGTCAAAGAAGGATTATACAACACTAAAGTAAGAAGAAAAAAACGTACTCTGCTTCAAGAGGAACCAAGTCCTCCATTCTAACTTTTTTTTTTTTAAGTAAAGGATATGTCTGCTTTAGGGACATATTCTAAACAATTAGGGACATATTCATATTACCCAATTACAGATGACAAAATCCCAGAAATTTTTCATAACATAAACATATTTAACTCTGAATACGCACAACGGAAATCGAGAATTTCAAAACCTTGAAATAAAAAAGCCCCCAAAAAGTGAAGTTATGAAACATAACCACCACATTAACATATAAGTATACAAAGGGAAAAAAACCCCATACATATAAATATCGACTTGTCTTATAAGCTCAGTACCTTTTCCTGGACAAAGCTGGTGTACCCCAAGGAGAGGGGAGAGAGGACTCACTTGTCAGGCAGGGAGGGATCTGTTCTGCACGACTACAGACAACAAAACAGACAGGGTGGTTTAGAGAGGTTAGAAGAAGAGAACACCAAGTCGGCGGCCGGTTAGTTTCACAAGAAATGCCAGTCAAAATTTTGTCAGAAACATCCTTCATATCCAGCAGGAACAGGGAACAAGACTGCAACACATGCACTGAATGAGACAGAAAAGCATGCTTAAGGCCGGGGCTTATTCTACTGACGCTAACATTTAACACGTCTCTTAGGGTGCTGGAAGCCCTGTTTTTGACAAAGCATACTAAAAACGGGCCATACTAAGATGGGTAGAAAACAGGGGAAAAGAGGTTGAATTGAAATATAAGAGAACAAATTACACAAATTAATTCCTAAAGAACGATAATAATCCACGTTACCTAGATAATATAAAAGTACGTGAAAAAAAGCTCTTGGAGAATTTAATTAAAAGGTAAGTTTATTTTGGTGTCTCAAATTTTGGAATGCATGTATAAGAGGTATTTAAAAAGTCAGTAAGATGCACATCTAAAAAATGCAAGGATTTCAAAACATTTTTTACCAAAATAAATTTACATTTTAATTCCATTTTCCCACAGGCTTTTTGAGATACCTTTGAAAATTTCATTTTGAAAATCGGAAACAGTTTTTCTTACAATACCTGGATTTTCAAATCCAAACATTTCAGATTAAGATCTTTTTAAGAAAGAAGGAACATCTGATTCTCAGTAGATATTCCAAAGTCAAGGACACAAAACCTATTTGAAGCTCTATCGCACAGTTAGCAGGCCTATGCATACTAATGAAGGTAATACGCAAAAAATTCATTTATTAAGGAAATAAAACTATAGTAATGGAGATAATGCTTGGGCTGGATAAAGTAACAGCATGATTACAATTTCTTTATAGTCCAAGAGACAGCTGAAACCCAAAGTGGCATTCTGACGATGTCCTTGGGGACCCTGTAATTTGCCCTACAGAGTCTGTCTCCATACATTGTAATTATTTATTCATGTGCCCATCTTTTAGTTAAAGCATGACCAGGACCTAGTCAACCATGGGCAGGGCTAGATCTGCATCTTCTCCCACAATGCCTTTGTGTGTAGCAAGCTTTCAATGAAAACCTCTTTATTGGAGGAATGACTTTTACGAGATTCATGAACTTGATGGACTAATACAGCAATATGCCACTTAGAGAGCTATAACGTTTATGGAAAATTATAAACTGGTAAGCATGACAGGACATGTCTTCCTGAAAATATGTAGTTTCATTACCATGGTCTTCAGATGATAACTAGTACCAGTAATCTGGATACACCTAATGTTTTGAGGGTAAGGAGCAAAAAAACAAAAAACAAAAACAAACAAACAAAACACCCCAGAATGATAGTAAACACCATCATAAAAGGCAAATTCATAGAAACTATTCCATTATTAAGTGTAATGAGGGGTAGCTCAGCCTAAGTTTACAAACAATATAAAGGTTTCCATGTTGAAAGTCAACACCAAAGCAGCAGCAATGGATACAAATAAAGCAAGTAGGATAGAAGGTTCAGGTTCGCTTGTTTCCATTTTCCTTTGGGGTAACTTATCACTCAACGTAATGTGGAACTCACGCTGAGAGCACCCTGCAATTCAGAGGACAGAACAGAGCCATACCTGTCAAAGGAATCTGTGGCTACTTTGTAGAGATAGATAAACAGTTTACTGCAGTGCCTTAAAGTGGGTGACACCGAGTCCATACACATCACCTCTTCCTCTAACAGTCTTTGAAATGGCTGTGTGTTTGAGGGGAAGACATTCATGGTGCTTATTTTTCTTAGGTCTGAGAAGCAGCCAAGAAAGCGAACAGCATCTGCCAACTTCTCATATTGAATCTCTGTTTTGAAGAAATGTGAGTTGGCTGGCTCGTAGCGCATTGCTGCAGTCAGGGTGCAGAACACGGTGTGAAGAAGTTCAAACACTTGATTCTGGTTCACTTTCTCCCAGCCATTCTTGGGTGGACAGCTCAAAGATCTTTCCATAGCAACCAGCAAGGATGTAATGTACACAAATCCTCCAACTTTCCTGAAAACGGTCCTTGAACGATGGCTTTCTCTAAGGACTGACAGGAGAGCCTACCAGAGAAAAAAAAGCACAGCAAATAAAAAAAAAAATTAAAACCACCATGCATAAATAGCAAAAGGAAACGCCACTCTGAATTTATTTGTTACATGAATGCTTATGTCACATATTCAATAGGCAGTTCTATACAATACATCAATATTTTGTTAATTTTAAAATGCCATATTAAAAGTAGCAGATTGTAACTTCAGAAAACATTAGCACACATTTCTTTGGATAAGGTGATCTCCAAATTCTGGTTGGAAAGTTTTTCCCTATCTTTAATTGATAATTAATTCAATGAGTTTACACACTCATGAGAATTTGTGATTATGTTTGTGGATGCTTGTTCACTTATTCTCAGAGGCATCAAAGACATGGCCAGGGCACCGCGGACGTAAGGTCTTTCCAACCCACATAAACTATCAGCTATTTCTGAAGTATTTCCCTTTGAACTTAGTTTATTTTTTACTATATATTTTAAAAGATTTATTTATTTGTATTGAAAAGTCAGATTTACAGAGAGGAAGATCTTCTGTCTGCTGATTAACTCCCCAGTGTGGCCAAAATGGCTGGAGCTGAGCTGATCTGAAGCCAGGAACCAGGAACTTCCCCCAGGGCTCCCACACGAGTGCAGGGTTCCAAGGGCAACTTGGGCCGTCCGCCACTGCTTTCCCAGGTCACAGGCAGGGAGCTGGATGAGAAGTGGGGCAGCAGGGACACAAACTGGCACCCATGTGGGATCCTGGTGAGCACATGGTGAGGACTTCAGCCGGTAGGCCACTGTGCCAGTCCCTGAACTTTGTTTTTAAAGTTAGCAATTTGTTTTTAAATGACCTAATGGTTACTGGATTTTTATTGACATACTAGACACCACATATTTCTATGCATTAGCTCATTTAATTCTCTCAAGAATCCCATGTTAGTTACTGTCATTATCTTCTTTTAGTAAGTAAGGAATTGAGATAAATATGATGAAATAATTTGCCTAAGACTATACTGTTTATGTAGTGGCAAAAGCAAGATTTCCCCTTTTTATATACCTAGTATATTATATTGCCCTGAATGGCAATTTAAACTCTATTTAAGAGTACAAAAGGTGTTCATGCTCTCTGTTTCAATAATGATAAAATGATGGATAGATATTCTACCACAATTTCCTGATCATTATATTTGAAAATAGCTCACATATTTCCAAAGATATTTGAAGAGTGAAAGGCTATATAATAGTATATAGAAGTACTTTTTTGAAATATGCTGCTGCAGAAGTTATGATTTCATTGCACACAATGGCTTATTTTATTATTGCAAATAGGAAATATGCAAAATATATGTATAAACAAAATAAAACATAGTACATTCTAAAACTAATAAGTTTTCATCTTAACCATTTGATAATGACAAGGTTTCCACATTTTACTAACTCCTAGTAACACAAGATGTTATAACATGAAAAAAAATTTTGTAAATTAACCAGAATTACAAAATATAAGGGCTAGAGTAAGAATGCTTGCATTCAAACTTTGACTTTGAAATTAAAAAGTGTTTTATTCCAGAAGTGACTTCACATTTCTGTGCAGTTCATGCTTATGGGAAAATGAAAAATAACAACACCTCACAGAAAATATGTGTAACACCCTTAGCTAACTGCCTGGCAGATAAAGCCCATTAATATCATTAATCTTCAAAAAACACTTGGGGAGAAATGTGACAAGTACCAGTGTACAAATGAGAAAGGGGGTGGGGAGGTCAGAGTTACAGTAACAAGCACAGATCATATGCCTGGCTAATTCAGATAGGGATTAGAAAAACATAGTGCTTGAGCCTCCGATCAGCCTGTCGTGTTAAGTGCCAGAGATGCACATCTGCTACCCCCTCAAATGGCATTGCTGGAACTCTGACACTGCCACAGTGTGATTTCAGCATTTGAAAGAACTACCTTCTTGGTTAAATGAGTAAGCGATGATGGTTAGTAGCAAATAGTAAAGTTACAATGAAATAGATGGTGAATGGTTAATCAGCCAAAACATACTAATGAACCATTACTTTTGAACAAACACAATTTAAATCTGCATCTGTAGAATTACAATGTAGAAGAATCACTGAAGTTTGGATTTATGTACTTATGAAAAATTCTATCACACAGATCTGTAATATGTTGTTAATTGAATGGAGGCACTGAGAGGCGGCTCTTGATAAAAAAAAAAAATGGAGACTGAAACTGAGACCATATATCTCTGTCCTTTCTTTTCCTTTCCTTTCCCTTCACTTCCCTTCCCCTTTCCATTTCCTTCAGTTGCTTCTTTATTTTGGGATTGATTAATTTATTTGAAAGGCAGAGTTACAGAGAGAGATTTTTTAGATCACTGATTCATTCCCATAAATGGATGCAACTAGTCAGGGTTGGGCTCCTTAAACTCATGAACCAGAAACTTTCTTGGGGTCTTCCATGAGGCTATTGGGGTATGGGCGACCACCCCTGGATCTCTGCCTGCTTACCTGGCGGGCATGACCCACAGTCCACCTGCCAACCACATGTGATGAATGTGACCTGCGACATAACTGGAGGGTCTAAAGGGATAGACCTGCCTTCTAGAGAATTACAGTGCTGTTGTTGGGTGGGAGGATTGTCACCTTTGCCTTTTCTCCTCAGTGATTTCAGGGGCCTGCTGGCAGGGAAACCCTCGAGACCTGGCACTTGAATAGGGACTTGAAGACATCAGGTAGGCTTGGGTGAGGCCCCTCACCCTGGATTGTGGGCCTCGATTCATCCTGTTTAGTGGGTTCCTTATTTAGCCTGATAAGTGGGCTCCGATTTGCCCTGGTAGTGGGCTATTGGTCTGCTCTGTGCAAATTCTCCTTGGCTAACCAACCTTGCCTTGTCGGGAATTCACCTTCCTCTTTCTGCCCCTGTGTGGAAGGAAAGATCACCCCTCAATTGGGCCTTTGTGTCAGAGGAAAAGATTGCTTATCATCTACATCAAAGAATTGTAAAACCTAATATACTAATAAGGCCCTATGCTACTCGGAAATGGGGAGGGAGAGCAGAGAAATCTTACATCACCCAAGAAGGTGTGAGGAAGACAGCAAGTATAACCTATCAGGATCGTAACTGGTAACTCATAGACAACAGACTCAAATCAGCATAAGACAATAGCAAAACTACAAAGGCATTTGGGGGGAATCAGGAGTGCTCCTGACAACCTCTTAACAGGAGGTCATATGCACAGAGCAGGAGGGGACCCCAGAGTGGAGCAGGCAGACAGGAGGTGGCTTGTATCCCAACCCTGAAGACTCTTAGATCCTCACCAAGGACTATCAGTACGGGCACCGAGGACTACATCGCAATTGCCAAGGAGACCACGGGGAAATGGAGTGCCTTCAGGGGCCAAGAACTCTGAGGTCACCCACCCTCATTTGGATCTCCCACATGGGATGGAAGAAGCCCAAATCCTGATTTGCAGGATCCAAGGTCATCGGAACAACAACCAGGAGCACTGAGAGGTTCTCAAAAACAGAATAACAGTAAACTTCCTTCGGAACTAGGGAGAGATTTCTCTGGTCCTTGCCTGGTTCTGACTTTGGGTCCCCAGCCTCACTGGCAATGACTATCAGGATCGCTCCGGAAACTCCTCAAAACTAACAAACAAATAAACAATACCAACAAAAAAAAACCTAGAATAGACAGAGAGCAACAAGGAAAGCTTAGAAAAAGACAGAAAACGGTTAGTGGGGATGCACTTATAACTCACTGGGTGGGACACAAAGATTAGTTACTCCTCACTAGGGTATTGAAGATTTCTCTGCACATCCCTCCTAAAACTGTTCACCTAAACTGTTGACATATGTCTTGTTGGAGTTATAGAGTTAGACTACCCATAAAACAGCCAGGTTCAGCAAAAGCATGCTTCAACGCTAAAAACTGCTAAATACAAAAATTAAAATAGACACAAAACAGCTGAATAGTAATCTATAGCCATTTTAAGGTGTATAGAAACCAGTTGTATATAAACTAATAATTGAAATGTCAATGTAGAAGTCACAGGATGTGGTTCAGAACTTGCATTTTTTTCTTCTAACATATTGGTTACTCAATTCCACGTCAACTAATTCCATAACGTTATAAAATGTTACTGATATAATGTCGGGGGTTTTAATTGATTGGGAAGGTACTCTACTGGCTCTACCTTCAGACCAGAGATGGTCTCCCCAAGAAACCGTTGAACTTATCTGGACAATAAGACGCTGGACTTTATACTTCGTAGATGCTTGCAATGAAAAAATCTCAACTGAATTTGGACTGTGGTAATGCAACAAGGGGGAGGAATCCACCATGGTGGGGAGTTAGGGGTGGGGGGAATCCCTGTGCGTATAAAACTATGTCACATAATGCAATGTAATTAATAAAAAATAAATAAATAAATGAATAAACAAAAAAAAAGAGAAAAGAAAATCCCCCCCTTTTGTTGGGGCTCCTCATGGGAGCATGTTTTCCTCTTTATAAACAAATTGTTTCACTGTGACCATGGGTCAAATGTATATAAGAGATCTGAAATCCAAAATACCCCACAGATGGAAGTGAAACTGAATCCCATTCTCCTCCTCAACGTTCCACCCTGGTAACAATGCAACCAAGCGGAAGGAAACCAGAGCCTCAAAAACACTTGCCATTGGGCCACTCACATAGCTCCTTCCTATGCATGGGTTTTGTTAACCTGGCGCCTGGCCCAGCTGCTGGGAAAGCTAGAGGCACCGACCACAGCCAGCAACTGGTTGCCATCACTGTTGCCCATATCAGTTTCAAGCCACCCTACCCTTCAACTGCACAGCAGGCTACTTCTAGTTTTCCCAGCTCTTGCCCTTGGAACTCTATTCCTGCATCTCCTTCTCCGGCTGCAGCACAGCCAACCTCATCCCCAGCACTTCCACAAAAAAAGAAAAGAAAACAAAAAAACCTACTTGCAACTTGATTTAACTATGTCCACTTAAAGAAAATACTTAGCCTTTTATAACTGTTAAGGTATTGTTAAATGGAATATTTATATCAAAAATAATCTGATATAAAGTTGAGTGCTAACCCACTCTTTTTTTTTTTAAAGATTTATTTTTATTATTTTTTCATTGGAAAGGCGGATATACAGAGAGAGGAGAGACAGAGAGGAAGATCTTCCGTCCGATGATTCACTCCCCAAGTGAGCGCAACGGGCCGATACTATGCCGATCCGAAGCCAGGAGCCTCTTCCGGGTCTCCCACGCGGGTGCAGGTTCCCAAAGCTTTGGGCCGTCCTCGACTGCTTTCCCAGGCCACAAGCAGGGAGCTGGAAGGGAAGCGGGGCTGCCGGGATTAGAACCGGCGCCCATATGGGATCCGGGGCGTGCAAGGCGAGGACCTTTAACCACTTGCGCCACCGCGCCGGGCCCTAGCCCACTCTTAAACTGTATCAAAGTATGGGTTAAATCAATGTGCTGCTTATTCTATACAAGTATTTTTATATAGTAAAGTAATTTCTTTGTTTTCTGTCTTTCATTAAGTTCATTAAGTTAAATCAACAAAAGTTACGAGCTTGTTTTAAATGTATGTGAGTGATGACTTCAGGTCAATAACTAAATATAATCTATACAGCGTTCTGTGAAAAAAAAAATTCTGTTTCTCTCAGATATTTTAAGCCTTCTTGGTGTCTTTAACAAGCACCCAAAAATTCAAGTTTTAGATTTGGGGTTCTGGTGTTTCTAGTGAGGCCTGCTAGAAATATCAAAGGATTTATCTCTCATTTTGTAGACAACAACTCATCAAACTACTAAAGATACTGTTGAATGCCAGGTGGGCAAAATTTTGTCACATCAAAATGCTGTTGGTAAACATGTCCACAAAATTACAGATGTCTAATTCTAATCTCTGTACTAAAAGCATTCAAGGACAAAGCGAAGCCTAGCAGTAGTATAATAACCCAATAACAGGTAAATGCTTTTAGTTTTAGAAATGAATCCAATTTTTCATTGCACATTTTTAAGATAATTTATATTGCTGGGAAAGCTAAAATATAGGTTTTCAGTTTAATGGATGGACTTCACAGTATTGACCATTTTTCCTCTCACAGTTTGGATTCAGACTGGATTATCACGATGAATTTTCACTTGCTAATTTCTAGTGGGTACTGCTATTACCAAGCGTGGTTAATACCCTAGTACAACCTAAATTTGACATGATCTCTCTTGCATATTTGATAGAAATATCAGTGAATATAATGAGAAAAAATGTATAAATCTTTGTAAAAATACAGTGGCGTTATAAAAAGAATATGGGGTATTGAAATCTGAGAATTCGTTCCAATCTCTAAAAAATTTTGCCATTAAAATATAGCCAAGTTAGATAATCACTCTAAACACACTTTTTTTTTCTCATTCATAAAACAGTTATTTATAGGATTAAAAAATAGATAATAAAAGCATAAGTAACTTGGTAGGACACTGCTTACTATATGCAAGAATACTCATTACATGCATATATATGCATACATGTATAATGTTTCATATAACACTTTATTTCAGAGATGTATTTTTGCTATGAGCAACTTTAATTGGAAAAATAATATGATGGCACACTTTGCTAGTATAATCTCTAATTTGAGGGATAACTCCTATAACCCAATACAATTACTGCAATGACTTATCAGCTGTGAGTAAATAAATATTGAAAAACTGGGTCTTCCTTTTCTTTGGAGACCCAGGCATGCTCGAATAAATGTTCCTGTAGGAAAAAAAAAAAAGAAAAAAACAAAAAAAGAAAAACTGAATGACTTGTGTTTTTCTGGATTCCTAATGTGTACAAAGTTGAGAGATTTTGTTGATGTTTTGGTTTTGATGGTATTCTGGATTTCTGAAGCTCCCCTGTCTCTGACTTAAATATAGATCACTAAAATTAACCCCAGATTTTTACAGCAGAAAGATAAGAGACACACTTGTCAAACTCACCCTTAAAATGTCCGTCTTCAACTGCAGTTCTGTGGGTGGAGCTGAATGCATGAGCCCCAGGAGAGTGCCCATGTCATCATCCCCATTTGGGGACAGCACCAGCTGCTGGATCGTCATCAGGGCATGCTGGCGGCACTGAGGGTACTTCACGATGTTATGGGCACACCTTGCACCTCCAAACTCTCGGAAGATCCCTTGAGGGCAGGAGAAATTACATAACGTGAGCTAACAATTCTGAGACAAGTCATATGAACTAAAATGCTTACCTCTGTAGGTACAAACTCCAAATACTGCAAATAAAACCTACCCAAGATATTTCACCTTCTAAGTTACAATGCAAAATTGAGATGTCAGGAAAAGCACATTTGGGGACACACTTTCCCTAGGTTTCCTCAGGAGATGCTTAAGAGTCCTGATACATTTAGCATGCCCAAATTCTCCAAATCTAGAACATTTAGAAATTCTCCAGGAAGAAACCAGGAGACTGAATATCAAAATCAACTTATGCAAATAGTTTTCAGGTGAACTATCCTTTTTTTTTATTGGAAAAATGCTTTCAAAATGATAACAAGAAAGCAACAAAATAAATCATTCTACTATGGGATACAGTACAATAATCCAAACCTTTATGCTGGATAAGCAGAGCACAAGAATAGAAGACAGACAGACTCTGTAACACAAAGCATCAATATATAGCTCTAAAGTCTTTACTACTGATTCACGTATTTAATCTTCATCTCCTGCCACATAGAAGTTGCTAAAGACTCAATACTAGTAAGCAACAGAAAAAGGATTTATGACCCCTATCGCTCGTGCTCCTGTTCACAATTATTGTATTCACATCAAGAACATCCTGGGGTGAAAAACGACAGCAGACCCAGAGACTTACATTACTGGTTATTTCCTTCAAGTAATTCTTCCATGCTTCTTGTTTTTAGAACACACTTTACACATACCTTTATTAACACTCACAACAAATACTATTACTATTACTATTACTATTACTATTACTATTACTATTACTATTACTGCTTATGTTTGAAACAAAGATGTCCTCTTGAATTACATCTGAATAAATGGTGACAGAGTGAATAACTGACCACGTGTTTTGCTGCAGCTGCCAATGTCTCCAGTCGTTTTCCCTTTGCTAAATGTGTCAGAATTATATGACCCTGCGTGAGTGTAAGTCATGGGCTTGAAAGTTCAGCACAGCATGCGATCTGTGACAGCCTGCGATTACATGAAGACTGTGGTTACTAACGTCTGCTTTGTCAGTGAGGGCCCATTAGGCAATTACTATAACTAATATTTCTTAAATACGATGGACAAAGCACTACAGTCCCTGAGACCAGAGAGCCAGTAATGTTTTTCTTAACAAGGAAAAGAAACATGCTAAGAAAGGAACTGTGTGGACAGATTTCACATTCCTGCAAATGTAGTGAGTTTTCGTTACACTGTGTTGGTCTTCCACTCTGCTACCTTAAATATTCCAATCCCCAACAGGGCCTCTCCAGATCAGGTTGTCAAAAGTTAATCTGCCGAATAAAGTTTTGTGAGTATACCTCTATTATGTTCTGAGTATATCAGCCAAGTGAACTTACTTACGGCATAAAAGGAGACTATGTAATATGACAGAAAATGTCACTATGGCACCCATTCATCATATTCAATGCTTCAATTAGCTACTACATTAATTCAGCCATGCCTTACCCTTCACCAAAATTGTGTTTAAGTAATTACTTATATAATTATGTGTTTATGCCCTTTTACATTAGACTGTAATTCACTTGGAATAAGAATTATCTTAAGGACCGCCCTGTGGCCTATTGGGATAAGTGCTGTCAGCATTCTAAATGGGTGCCGTGCCTGTCCTGGCTTCTCCACCTCCACTGGGCTCTCCGTTAATGCACCTGGAGACGCCGCATCACATGGCCCAGGTGACTGGGCCTCAATATCTACATGGGAGACCAGAAAGGAGCTCGAGGCTTCTGGTTTTGGGCCAGCCCAGCTAGGCCGTTGTGGCCATGTGGGGAGCCAACCAGCACATGCAAGATCTTTTCTGCCTCTCCTCTCAGTCAGTCCTGCCTTTCAAATAAATAAAACAAAACAAAAATTTTTTAAGTTATTATCTGTTGTTTGCATTTCTATCACCTACATTATAGTACCTGGGACACATAATATATGTTAAATATGTTGAAGTTTTGAGTTTTTCTGCCTTCAGATCATCAGTTATGCATGTGTACATGGATTTAATTCAACATTCTAGCCCTCTCATATCATTTAAAATACAGTCTAAACCCGTCGCCATTCCCTAAAGAATCTCCATGATCCAAGCAGTTTCAATTTAATTCCTCTCCCTTCCAGCCTTTTTACTTCTTTCAAGCTATACTGATCATGTTGCCTAACAGTTTTTGATGATGACTAAAGTTTCAGGAAATATTTTTCAAAGCAAGAGTGATATGTTATAAATACAGTCAGATTGTCTGTTAATGATGGATAGAAAAGCTTAAACGGGAAATGGAGACTAAAGATACAGCAAAATTATTAAGGAATCTAATCTACCTAGGAGAGGATAAGTTTTATTATGGAATAATTTCTCAATATTCCTTTTAGGATGTAATAAGATAATAAAGTAGGATTTTTACCACATAAAGTCAAGTATTTTGGAAAACCTGTAAATAAATCATTTGAATATGACTTTATGTTAAAAAGAAGGAAAATATCTTTCACACAGGGTATACTATAAAAATCAGGTAAAGGTTTCTAAAATAGCAAGAAGGCAATATTTCCTGTCACTACTGTACTTCTAACAGGTAAAAGTATTTCAGGTTTGGAATCTTGACTGTTTCATCATTTAACCGATGGTTTTGTTTCTCTAAGTGATAGAAATATTTCAGAAGCAAGAATTACTACAGAAAAATGTAACCAGATGAAATTTCCTCCCAACGCCTTTGACCCTCGTGGTGCCTGTCACCTGCGTTAGTGTTTGATCCCTGAAGAAGCGCTGTCAGGGTCTCCATAACCAACAAAGCCAGGTGCTTTTGGTCTTCAGTTGAACTATTATTTCTTGAGTCCCCTGTCAAAGAAGATCAAAGGCCAAAATCACAAAGATGACATGCTTAGATCTCCTTGATGCATTTTTAATGTTTTTAACATTTCTTTAGCATTTACTTTCATCACTAAAAATATAACTTAGCATGTATGCACTTCAACAATTTTTTATGTGCCAAACAAATTTATCTTTTGATTCTACTCTTCTTGGATCATTTTGACACATTTTTCCATTTGTTCTCTAAAATTAGTAGAAACATTTACATTTACTACATAAGTCATTTGATAACTATTTGATAATGCCTTTATAAATTTCCCCTCACAAGGAGAAAGCAGTTGATCACACACGTTGTTCTTTCAAGTTTTACTTTAAATTCCCTTGATTTATTATCAGGGGGAGAAGGAACAAGCTAACATCAGGAAGGATTCACTGGGATGTCACAGCAATACATCCCAGGAAGTCACCCAAAATAATAACTAAATGAAAAGCACAACCAACATAAACAATTTTCCTGAACCCCTTCTTCAAATAATAAACAAAATGATGGAAAATGCTTTACCTTGTTCATTTAGTGCCTGAGTTGGATCCTTCAAGAGGGCAGCATATTTATGCAAAAGGTTTACCATGACCTCCAGAAGGCCCACCTCCCTGAACACATCTTTAAAAATGTAGTCATGTCTTGTAAACTTAAGAAGGGTTTTCATTGCAATAATGCTACAGTGGTAAGAAGAGCTAGACTTTAAGAGGATACTAACACTAATAAGTTCTTTACAAGGGATATAATTTAAACTAAAAACGACAAACTCCAGCATCTCAAAGTATTTGCTTTGTACTTCTGGGAGTTTAGAAATCTTCTCTGCAAACTGTGACAGGGTGTGCTGTGATTCTAGGATGAAATAATTGGCATTGTCAGCCATATAAATATTGGTGATGGCATCAAGGATGATTTGGGCAAGGAAGCTGGTTTTGGCTTTTAAAAATGCATTCTGAAGAACTGCAAAGGCCTGGATGTTTCTCACACTGTGACCTAAAACAGAAAACAAGAACACAAGAGAAGGTGTTACTGGATATTTTGCAAAATCATCTGTTTAAGCATATCATGAATTATAACATTTACCAACTATTTACAGTAAACATACTGTCTTTAAAACAGACTTATTTTTCAAAATTAAAATCAATTACATTGACTAAACTTTTAATGCATCACTATAAATATTCCAAGTCAAGGATATTGCACATTGAAAAAGCAGGTTGCTGTAGGGAGAATAAAAGCATATTGTTTGGGCTTCAAAGTTTGGAAATGTATAGTGGCAATTTTCTGTAAAGTTGGCCTTGATAACAAAGGCAGGTATTTTTCAATCAGAAAAGGCATTGAGGAAAAAGAATCAATAAGCTTTAAAGCAGAAATGAAAAACTGAGAATCAGCAGAAGAAAAATCTTACATAAATACTCAATAAAAAAATTTGGCTACTAGTTATATTTTTTAAGTGTGTGACTAAAACATATCAATTGGAAAAAAACAAAAATCTTTCATTGCTTCTGAAAGGCAAACTAGTGGCAATAATTATAAATAAATACAAACAGATCTACCACTATCAGAAATCTATTGTATTTCCAGAAGTGATGAAAAATTAACAGTGAGCCTAATAGGATGATCCAGATTTCAGAAAGAATATAAATCTAGAATGAGGCAAAACATGAAGTGGGTTAGAAAGATTGCTCATAAACCCCAGCTTGGACATTTTGAAAAATGAAAACATTTCACAAAACTTCAGAATATATATGATTTTAAATTTTGGCATATTTAAAATTATAACATAAACTTACAACACATAAATTAATAATTCAGACTTTTATTATTTCCAGTTTCCTTAATATTTTACTGTTCTTTTGAGGATATCATGTTTATTATCTGTCAGTAACCAAAAACAAAGCATACACAGAGTGATGAACAAATACAAAAGCTACAACCACATGAAAACAAAAAAGAAAAGTTTAGAAATAACTTTAGCCAGTTTTTATACACCAACTTTCAGTTATTAAATTTCTATACTCCCCATCCGAAAGAAAAGACGTAAGAAGAGCTATATTTAAGGTAACACAACATTTTAAATTTTCCCAAGTTTGACTTTAATTATCTGGTTTCAGGGGATATTATAAGGCATACTAATAACCATCTGTAAGAATGAATTGCCTACCATAAAGAGACGGATTGTTTAAAACACAATGAGCACAATACAAACAATGCAAGTCAGATGTAAAATAGGATGATATTCACACACAAAGCTAGCACTTTGCACTAGGAGTTCAGTACAGTGAGTTAGCAGTGTTGGTAATTCTTTCCTTTTTGTTTTTTTTTTTCCCCCTGGTAAAATTTTGAAGTATGAAGCCTAACACAGCTCTCATGTTAGTAATTCTTGAACCAACTAATTTTTTTTATTAAGATCCATTCTTAATCCTTTTTATCATCCACTACATCTAGGCAGTATTAGTTAAAACAGATTCATCACAGTAAATGACCAAGCAACATCAAGACTAACATCTCTGTGACTGGCTTCAAAAGCAGAGCATTTTAATCAACAGAGAATTACAAAATCTTAAATTGCATTTAAAACTCACTAATTTCCTGTGTATGACAGAGAAAAAGAGATCTTTGTTTATCTGTACATTACTTGCAAGTTTGAAAATCTTAAGGAAGAATGGAAATAAAATCTTATACTCTGGATTTATATCAGAAATAGTTATCTAAAGGGATAAATGCCAAAACAATAAATGGATCACACATTTCATGTGTCTTGAATGACACTATTATGAGAAGTTTTTAATATATTTCCTACCAAAAATGCATATCTTCATAAGACCATACCTGTCTTTATTCTGAACTCGTTGAGGTCATCTTACAAGATTTTTTATTAAAGCAGCACCAATAAAACATGCAAAATTACGTTTCCAGAGTATTAATAATACTAAAATTATACAGTTATTATAAAATCTAATCACTATTTCCTACTTAAAGGTAAGCTTTTTTTTACTTCCTTTCTTAGGAAAATCTGGATACAAAGTTTTATAAAACCTCTTGGTATACAGTATAAAATTACACGTAATTTTCAAACTACAATATACACACAGAAGCAGAATTATAAATAACAATTTACTTGTTTATTTAAATTTTATTTTCAAATTTTGCTTCAACTGATTTACAGGTGGGTAGGGTAGGGTATGGACTATGACACGGCAGGTCATGTCACTGCTTGGGTTGTCTGTACTTCATATTGCAAAGTTTAAGATTAAGTTAAACATCCACCTCAATTCCAGTTTCCTGCTAATACTCCTGGGAGGCAGAAGATGATGAACCAAGAGACCTGGATGGAGTTCAGGCCCTTGGCTTCCTCCCGGCCTACCTCCAGCTATTGTAGCCCCTGGGGAGTAAGTCAGGGATACTGGAATCTAATTTTTCCTTATATCACTCTGCCTTTCAAATTAAAATAATAACAGTAATAATATTAAGGAGAGGAAAAATTCAAGCAACACTGTGAGAACACAGTACACATATAAAGTATATATTAAGGAATTAAAAAAAAACCTCCAGAATAGCGAAAGAACGCGTATAAAATCATTAACACAAATGGGGCACAGAAATCTGTAATAAAGCAAACATGCAACTGTGCTCAACTTCGTTGGTCTCTTAAAGCAATGAAAGCTTCAAAAGTACAAGTGGTTATATCTAAAGTTAAAATGACTAGCAAAGTCTTGTTGAGGATATCGAACAACTGGAGTATTCATGAACTGCTGATCTGAATACAAAATTGGACAGTCAATTGGAAAAACAGTTTGGCTATTTCTCATAATGTTAAACTATTTACCCCAAAGAAATAAAGACACATGTTCATACAGACTTGTTCTATATGAATAGCCACAGCTTTTTCCATGAAAGTGAAATAAATTTCCATCAATTAGTTTATGAATACATAAATTATAGGGTAGCCAAACAATGCCACACTACCCAATATTGAAAATTATCCAATTTCTGATACATTCGATGCAAGGATGGATCTAAAAAAAATTGAGTAGAAGAATTCAGAAACAAGGAAATGCATACTCTATGGTTTTGATCTATATAATGTCAGAAAGGGCAAATTCTAAATAAATGAGTGGTTCCCAGGGCAAGAGCTGGGGTGTAGAAGAACAACCTCAATGAGAATGGAGCAAATTGTTAAGATGGGGACATTGCATACATGGGGACTACCTGGTAACCATGTATTTGTCAAAACTGATCAAATTCAACACTTAAGTGTACAGATTTAAATGTCTGCAAATTTTACATCTATATGATTGACAAAAGGATAGCATTTGATATTCTATTTATAAGGATTATCACCATGAGGACTTTAAAAGGTATATGCAAAAATGTAATTAGGTTAATTTGAAATTCACACATGGTTTTTCATAAAAAAGACTTTCCATAAAGTTTTCTGAGTACTTTCACATCTTCGGTTTTTGTATTACCCCTAGCTTATTGGCCAAGGGAAACTTGACTTACTCATTCTGTAGATATTCTATTAATTTTTCTGAGGAATAACTTGATGCTAAGAAAAAACAGATCATTCATGAGTACATGGATTTTGATTCTTGGGGCAAGACCTTTGCTAGTCAACTTTACTGTGACAGCCAGTACATCATCAGATTTTTACAATAACTCCAAGAGGTATGGGGTTTTATAATTATCCCTGTCATAAATGATACAAAAATCAGGTCATGACACACATGGGACATTAATTTTGCCTCATTAATTCTCTTATTACATAAGAATATACCACAATTAGTTATTATGCCAACATCAAGATCAAAGTGGCTAGTAAAATTAGAAAGTCTCAAAATCAGCAATATTACTGATGCACCTATTTTGATATTAACTTGTAGAAAAAATTTAACTATTAAGTATTTAAGTTAATCTAGATGTTCTTCATATGTTGTTATTATTACTAATATTAAATAAAATGAAGTCTCGAATTGCTTGGTCAAATTGTGAATTTCTACAACACTTCACAAACTCTTGCAAGAATCTCAATATGGTCTACAATTGAAGGTATTTCATGTAACAGCTGCTTGATGACTTACATTTTTCATTGCTTGCTACCAAATTCTGCATCACAGAATGCACAGATTTGTACTATAAAATTTAAACACCCAAACTAAGTACCATGACAATCAAATATTTAGTAAACAAGAATCTCAGGAAGGGCAATGCTAGAGGCCTCCAAGCTCAGATGCCTTTGTAATGGTTATTGTTGATTTAAAAATCAAATGAATATAACCTAGCAATAGGTAAGTGGGTGTTCATTAAGTGAGTTCTTCCACTTTTGTACATGTTTGAAATTTTTATAAGAAAACTAAGAGCTGCAGTATGCATCTCTACTCCTGTAGAAAAGAAGGAATCCCAATGAAACCGTTAAATACATCTTGACAGTAAGATACTAGATTGCATACTATTGCTTATACAAGCAATGTCATGAGACATAGCAAACAGCAGAATGGTGGAAGTGTGGCCGCAGCTGTAGAACTACGCTACTGTAAAATACAGGGGAAGACGGAGCGGATGGAGAAAGGGGATGGAGAAGATGAAGCGATGTGGAGATACCTGTACCTTCAATACTGGATAAGGGAAAACAAATAAATAAACAGACTGAATAAGAAGGCTTAAGTAATAAAACTAGTTGGCATTCTTATGTAATTACATGTTCCCGACTACAGAGTAAGGCTTTTTTCTTTTATTTTTTTTTTTTAAGAAAATGAGAATTCAAATCTAAACTATAAAAATTTATTCTCTCACTTAAGTTAAGGAATGTAAAGTTTTTCCAGTTTCGTTTGCTTGGCTTTAGACACAAGTGTTCATGGTGCACGTTCTCCATAGTTATTTAATATATGCAGAGCTCACAGTGTCAATTAGGTTCTAGTTACATAAAGCAGAAATGCATCGTCAACATTCTAAAGCACCATGTACTTAGCTAATTACTCAAATGTCAAAATGAAATATTACAATGAAAGATCAAAATTTGGTTCTGTGACATAATTTTAGATACTTTATCAAATAGATTAAAGAAAGTTATTCAAGGAATTTTTATCTTTGGGCAGGCAGCTGGCACAGAGCACTTAACGTGATGTTTGGGGGGGTCTGGTACAATGACCTCTTGGCTGAATCCTTGCCTTGCATGTGTCAGGAACCCATGTTGGCAGTGGTTCTAATCCCGGCAGCTCCATTTCCCATCCAGCTCCCTGTTTGTGGCCTGGGAAAGCAGTCGAGGACAGCTCAAAGCCTTAGGACCCTGCACCCATATGCGAGACTCAGAAGCTCCTGACTCCTGACTTCGGATCAGTTCAGCTCTGGCTGTTAGAGCTGCTTGGGGAGTGAATCAGCGGAAAGGGGATCTTTATATCTGCCTTTCCAATAAACATGTATAAATCCTTTTTCCTCTCTAATGCTGCGGGGGAAGTCTGCAACCCATATCATAGTGCTTGGTTTCAAGTCCTGACTGCTGTCCAAGTCTTCTCCTTACGTGTACCCTAAGAGGCAGTGAATACACCTATGTGGGACACTCAGATTGAGTCCCAGGTCCCAAGCTGCTTCCAGGCCCACTCCCCTTGGCTAGTCGGGCATTTGGGGAATGAACCAGTAAATGGAAGATCTTTGACTATCTCTTTCTTTCAGCTTTTCTCAGGAAGTAAGCCAGTAAATTGAAATCTTCCCCAGACTTAAAACCATGGTGGCACATTAATTTTATGAAAATAACATAAACAAAGAATAACCAAAGCCAGAAAATTTCATCCATCCTCAGTTTCTTGGAGTAGATTGATATAAAAACAAACAAACAAATCAACAAACTCACCTTTGCCTGCGGGCTGAGGCACTGCAAAGCCAGGCAGAAGGAAGGGAGCTCCCGTTGTAATACCAGCTGGCTTCAGTTCATTTACACCGTATGTGGTGAGGGAAGTTATCAGATTAACCAGGTCTTTCAAGGCATCTTTGGATTCTGCCTCTTTTGCTTGTTCCAATCTAGAAAGAGTATGATTTACAAGCAGCTTTTCTTTTTTGTATTTTTAAATTTTAAATAATTTCCAATGTCATATGCAGTAAGTATATAACATACTCTGAGAAGTTTTGTCTTGTAATTTAAAAACCTACACGTTTTGTTGTAAGATACCTTGGTGTATTTGAAAGGCAATCATACCTTTAGTAACAGAGATGACTAGAGTGTTGCTTTTGCCAGTAACAGTATTTTTGAATTATTCACCTTTGGTAGATGCTCTCTATTTAGTTACAAAAGTTAGATCACATATCTTCCAATATCTCTTAAGCTCTAAATTTATACTTTCATTATTTACAAATAAATCCAATTAACCATTTCTTTCCAAGAAAAATTTAAATTTAAAAAATTTTAGAATTCCTTTGAAGAAGTCTAAGAATTTTACTGCATTCCATTAATTAATTCAGGTAATCTAAGTAAATTCAAACAAAAGTATGGGGATATAATATATTAGAAAGCAATATTAGTTACTTCTAAGAGAATACTGGGAAACTGTGATATTAGCTTTGACTATGGTTTTTACCAAAGTCACAAAATGGGATTCAACACATATCTTTTTTCAGAATGAGATTTACTGTTTTTTTTTCTTCATAGAAACAATTATTTGAATTGAAATAACCTGAAGAAGCACAAAAGCAGGAAGTAACAAAAAGAATGCCTAGCCTCACAACTCAGACAAAACTTTTAAAATTTTGATTATTTTAAACTCATTTTTCAATATGAATAGTTTTTATGATAGTGTTGTATCACAACCACAGTGTTCTCACCTGTTTTTTTTTTTTTTTTTTAGAATTTACCAGTGTTAACATCTTTGAATCGTTAGGGTTTTAATAGCTATGCAGAACCCATCACACATTTAGGGAACAGAAAGTAACATAACCAGCAAAATACAAAGGCATTAATATTAGTAATGTTTGGTTGACAATTAAGGATCGTATTTTTAGGATCAATAATCATTAGTTCAAGAGTTATCACCAAAAACCATATTTTTTAAAGAGTTGCCACCATTTTGAGCCTCTTGATAATATATTGCCAACTGGCATTCTGAAAGAGCTGTTCCAATTAACACCTCAGTAGGAACATATAACAGCTCTTTTATAAATCAAAATATATACAGAAATCTCTACTTTTGAGGGTTGCCAAATATTGAGAGCAACTAGATTAAATTGTTATTAGACAAAAATTTACAACACAGTACCATCTTACATCAGCTCAAATGATTTAAAAATAACTATCAGCCCAGCAACATCTAGTAGGGAATTAATATTTCTACCTCATATATTTTGTAACCAGCTATTTTCTAACCATAAACATGTATAATTTGGAATGGAAATGGGTGTTGGTGTAATGTGCTTAAGTGAGTGATTTCTTTCAAATATATACTTTTCAATCTATATAATTATTCTTATCATTGATTATACAAATGAAGACACTATAAGTCCTATAAAATAAGGATAACAAAAAATAGTATTAAGCTAGGCAGAGCTTACATTTTAGAGGCGCATTAATGGGTTACTCTAAACTCTAACTCCATGATTATGTTCATCAGTTTTTTTCTTTCAGCGTTTGCATGTTTATTACATAATTAAAAGCAAATGCGTTATAGGAAAAATACACAGGATGGGACAGAGGAATTTAACAGTGTTAAAATTTCAAATGTTCATATGAAATGAATACTTTTTTCTTCCTAAAAAATTAATGTTTTCTAATTGTTTTCACTAAAAGTCCTGTAAACAAAGGGTGTTCATCAGTTTAAATTCGCTTTTCTGGGGTGACGGCAGCACAGGGATACCAAGAATGACATGAAGCCAAGAGGACAGCCATGCACACATTAAGCGCTTCCATGATTTCTTTTTCCCACATCCCTGAATCACACTGCTGCTTCCTTGATTAAAACAAACAGATAAGCAAAGACTGACCACATATTTAGAATGCATTCTTAAATCTTGGGGTTTTACCTAAGCAAGAGATCACAAAGAAAATTATATCCTTGCCATATCCGAAAATCATCCAAGAGTGTTTGGGAAACGTCACTGGAATCTTTGAGAAAACAAGAAAGTCCGGCGAACATTTCCACAATTTCTAGGGGCGACAGGTCATCTGACTGCTGCATATTCTGAACACACGTAGATAAACATTCTTTTTCTGCAGGAATAAAGGATTAAATGGACATCAGTCATTTATGTCAACTGCTTAAGAAGTATTCCTCACTCTGTTTCTTAGTGAAACAAAAAATTTTAACCTATTAAATAATATGAAATACATGTTACACATTTGAAAAGAAAACATAAGATTCAAATTCTTTGGGAAAGTCCTGCTTCTGAGCAGTACTTATAAGTGCTAAACAACAGTTATTTCTACTAGATGTTTTAAATCATATTTTGACAGTGTATTAAAGAAAATGACCAGTCACTGCAAAAGGATATTTTTATAAATTTTATTGATATGGCAATATGATGGGAAAAAACTCCTATTTTTGGTAAGAAAAATGAAATAATAAAAAAAGTACAAAGTAGAACAGATTTTTTAAATTATATTTGTACCGTTTGTTGATAGTTTCAAATAGTTTTGCCCAAGAATTAACTTGGAGAATTTGGCATTTCAAAGAAGACTTTACCTTTCTCACCTTTAGTGAAATCTCATAAAGAAACCCAATATCACCTAGCGAAAGTTAAGAAGCTTTGGCACAGAAATGGAAGAAAAAGTGATTCATGTATTAGATATTAGGTTTCGTATCATTTAATAATCATAAATCAACATAGAATTATTTCATTTATATTTAAAGTATTCCAAGACAATAAGATAATGTATCCAATCAGTAGATTATTTGAGATACTAAGGTATCACCTACTATACCCACACTCCAAAGGACAGCTGAGTACTATAAATGACTGAATCACAGTATTTCCTACAAATAGATAGACAATCCATCTCTCTGCACTGCACAGATTATAATCTGGCTACTATGAAACATCTTCAGAAAGATCAACAGTTACAGCATTTAAAAAAAAAACTTGCCTTGTTTTTCACTAAAAGAAGAGGGATGAATAAGACTGTCTTAAAATTCGTGTTGTATTATGGTTTCACATTTACAGTTTTATGAAATTATTTTAATACTTGTGGCTATCTATCATTTGGAACTTCTTTACTGAACTTTCCTCACAAATAAAACAATATTTTGTTGTCCTCATGGCAAGTCTTCTTACTTACAATGAACGTAAACAGGGATACCCACCATGGATGTACTTTACCACATTGACGCTGAGCCCGTGACGGGATATAGTCATGAGGACTTCTCCAGCACTCTTCCTCCAGGGCAGGTTGTAGGGAGGGCACCAGGAGGTTATTGCACTGAATAGAAGCTGGAGATCATCTTTCTGAGCCAGCTCCTCCGCAGGAGAAACAAAACTGCAGAGTTTCACTAATATCTAGAAATAAAACAAGAGTGTAAGTCATAAATAAATTTGAAGAAAGGTTGAAGAAAGGGAACAGCTAGAAAAAAGACTAGAGTTGAATATCATTAACAAGTTTGTAATCAGTAAAAATTCAATTATTAGTACTCAATTAAGTGGCATGAAAAAATCATCTCTCATATACAAGTGTTAAAACAGTAAACCTGTACTGTTTATATCGGCTTATTTTTTTAAACCATTTACTATCCTCTCTTTATATACTTTGGCTTGAAATGAGGTAAAACGATATTTATCTTTCCAGATCAATGTCTTGTTTTTCCAATTTAGTTTAAAAAAAAAAAAAGCTTCTATTTTGTGTCTTCCACAAAAGAATGAAAAGTTGTCAAGCTTTGGAATGAGAACTCATCCATTCAACCGCAGCACTAAGAGCTGGCAATGTGGGGACTTCAACAATGATGCCAGCTTCCAGTGAACGCTTCTGTCTGACCCCAGTGTGGCTCTGTGCTACATTGCCTCATCTAAATATTTTTAAACAAGAAAATATGGCGAGATGAACTATGACAAACTGCAATTTCTGAAGACCTGTTCTCTTGAAAGAAGAATGCCTCCTGAGACCTGGATGTTTCAACAATGGCGGGAAAGTTGCTCAACTGCGAAATAGGCACCAGAAATAATCACATTTTGTCTGAGAAGGTTTGGTCTTCCCTTTTCTCCTTCCTTCAATTCAAACACGTGTTTAAACAAAAAATGTTTCTGATTTATAGACATCAAGTGTCGGGAGGAAAAAAGTCTTAAGAAATCAGGGATGTTAGCACAACAACTAGCAAGCACAAGGATCCTTTCCCCAAAATCACTGGCAAAACTTTGGATACCAAGTGTCCAAAATTTTGTGTAAGTTGTGTTTCATTTCCTGTGGGTGAATACAGACAATCAAACACCTCAAAAAGATACATGGACTGAGTTGTTTACTATTCATTATACTTCTTGTCACTGCCTTAAGTGATTAAAGGGACAGATGTCATCTCTTATTTGTAATACAGAAAACAAAAATTAATAAAATTCTTGCTTTCAGACCAAGTCCCTGGTCTAAAAAATTGTTTTAATGATTGTTTATCTGTCTCCTAAATTAATTGGTTCTTAATTTTTATAGGCAAACCAGTTCTTACAAAGAATCTAGTCTAACCCTTTTATTTTCTTAGCCTGCATCTACACTCACCACTTCTATTCCTAAGGACTCTTACAAAGTCCACCCAAGTGAAGCAGAGCAATCTTGGCCAGTTCAACAAAACACTGAAAGCATGCATGCAGCTGGACCAATTGCTCAGGTCCTAGGCAACGTCCGTCATGTAATGCTAACACAGGGAGTTATCTATGACTCAACTGCTTTTCTAGATGTTATGAAAATATGACCCGGACAGTGATGAGGAATGTAAACAAAGGAAGTGCTGCACTGGACAAGAAGGCAGGAGAGCAGGGTGTACAGACACCACACACATACACACATGGGACAAGAAGGCAGGACCAGGGTACACACACACACACACACACACACACTCGATAAAAAGGCAGGAGAGCAGGGTTCTCAATCTTGCAGCTCATCTGCCAGAGATCACTCACTCACTCACTCTCTTACACACACAAACTAGGTTATACAGTTGCAAACAGGACTGTGACAAAACTATCTTGTTGAGCTTCTTCTGATGCCAATAATCAATAATCCCTTTATAGTACAATAAGTGTAACTTTGACGGAAAGCCAGGGCACATTGCATTAAGTACAGGAAAAAGATTAATTCTTAGATTTTAAAAGAAAACTTTGCTATGCCTAGTCAGGTAAAGCATTAATTAGTTGTTTACAAGAGCCTTTTTGAAATGGAGCTATTATTCCAATTAACAAATACTTATCCAGTACCCGCATCAGCAATGTCTGTGAGTAGCTGTAATTCCTACGTGATTTACTCTCATATTCCCATTGCTTTTGTCATCCAGTCTATTTCAGGAGTCAAATAAACCTGAGTTCTAATCATATATCTGGTGTCTGCTCACAGAATCACTTTCGGGGCGAGGGGGATAAAAGCTTTGAAGCAAATACATGAAGTGAGATTTTAACCAAAAGTCCAAGAAGATTTAGTAAGTTTTCAATAAATATGCAAGGATCTGGCATTTTATTTCATAGCCAGCTTTTGCCTTTTTGAAACTGTTTGGTGTTTCCTTTTCTTCATCTGCTGCTTTCCAAAGCAATCATTCGTGAAATACGGACTCCAGCGACAGGAGGTAAGCATGCACCATTATTTCTATCCAGCTCTGGCTTAGCGACATCACATCTGCTGTCCTCTCCAACTTTCTCCTATTCTCAAGGTGGTGGCAGTGACAGCAGTGAAATGTCGACCATGTGGTAAGTAGAGTTACAGCTGCTATGCGTTTTCACTTGAGCTTCATTAACACACTTTCAGCACTAATTGCATTGTACAGGTGAGAGACCTGCACCTTAGGTTCCACAACTGTAAAGGCTTAGATTAAAAGGCACTGTTGCTTCTTTTTTACTTCAGTAAAAACACAGACTCATAAAATTTACAGTCTTAACCATTTTTAAGGGTTCAACATTGTTAGCTACATGTATACTGCTATGCAACAGATCTCTACTCTACAGTGCTTTCATCTTGCCGAAGTGACACTGGACACCCAGCGAACATCTCCTGTTCCCTGCCTCCTCTTACTGCCTTCCAACAAGCACTACCCTTTGTGTCATAACTGCTTGGTCATTTCAGATGCCTCATGTAAGTGAAAACATGCAGGATTTGTCTTCAAGTCCCATGTGGACAGAATGTATTCAAAATATCTTCAGATTGCTAATTTCAAAAATTTTCTCCCAAGAAAGGACTTCATATATGATGGCTGTACCCCAGGCTAGCTCACAGAGGTTGATTAAGCATCTGTTGACCTGCCATGCCATCAAGACAATACTGGAGACAGTTGGAAAGCAACACTTTGCATACAGGGGGCAGATGAGGAGCAGCAGCCACCAAGATAAACCATCTTTTATAAAAAAAAAAAAAGAAAGTTAAATGTGTACAGGCTAGGAATCTCCTGTATTTGAGTATAAAGAGCAACAAAATAAAATTTCTTGACATTATAAGAAACATGCAAATCTTAAAATGATTCTCAAAAACATTTTTTGGCTTACTTGATGTCAGAGCTGCTATTTTAAAATGTTGATGAATTTTCATTTTGAAATTTGAAACACTGAGTAGGGAGAATATTTAAGGAGTGCATCCCCTTCACTTTACAGAGTTGCTTACACAGTCAAGTAAACATTTCCATACCTGTACAAAAACTTTCTGGAGCAGTCCCCGACGTTCTGCTAGAGGTAGCTCATTCTGGGCACCTCCAACTGCCTCAGGCACATGTGGAAGGTCAAAAAACAGATACAAACATTTAACCAGGGTGGAAGGCACTGACATCGTAGTCATGCAGTCCACAGTTTTCTGGAAAACAAACCAATAAGTAAGTGAATAGACAGACATACAAAACTACCACAGTTGCAGATCTACAAGTTACAATCATTAAGTCACAAAAGGCATGACAACATAACCTTTTGCACATATTTTAAGAATTTTTTAAAAAGTGACTCTACACTAACAATGCTCAATTCCCCATATGAATGATTTGCTTTGGTTAAATATCATGACTGGTTTGTTTGTCAGTTCATAAGTTATTTATTAAATCTGGTATTTGTTTATTGATAAGCAGCATTTTTTAAAAAGCAAATGCACTTCTGCATGAATTCAGGAAAACTAATTTTCCTTACTCTTTTCTCTCATAAAAGGCACTGAAGGGAATCTGAGGTAATAAATGCTAAGACATATTAAGTAGTTATAGATTAGTAAGTGCTGCACCACTATTTTTATCTTTATATCTTATAGAGACAGGGGGCTGAAAGGACACTTGAGATAAGCCATCAGTGGCACAAATCTATCTCCATGGTGTTTAAAAGAATTTCTAGAGGAACAAATTCTAGATGTTCACAGAGTAAATATTTTACACTGCGAAGAAGTACAATACTTTAATTATCAAAGGTTTCCATAATGGAATAAAAATTTCTGCTGCACTGGAAATCAATAAACAGTATCTTTTATTGATTAGTTTACTTATTTTCCCATCAAATATTTATTGTGTGTCTAAAGGTTTGTGGGCAGGGAATTGGGGAATGAGCATGCAAAGAAAAAAGCAGACTTCTTTTTATATGGCTACATTCTAGTAGCTTTAATGAATCTGTCCAGTAACTTATCACCCAACCTTTGAAGTCTCAAAGGTAATTCCTATAATTTCCACAAAAGGGAATGATCAGTGCAGCCAGGAATGGAATAGAAAAGTGTGGAGGAAAAAAAATCACCTGGAAGATTGAAATGAGCTTAGGTCATAGGCACAAGGAACAATATGTTCTAGGAACCAGAGAGGACAATTTTAAATCCTGAAAATTGTAATAATGGTTAATCTTAACTAATGTTTACTGTGTTACAGGCCTAAAACTCACCATTTTATATACATGATCTCATTTACTCTGCAAGCCAACCTTATGAAGTACACACCAGTTATCATGCAGTCCTTGTTTTATAACTGAAGCAGGACACTTACAAACCTTGCTTTGGATCAGAGGACTGGTTAGGGGCCTCACAAAGACTGAATACTCAATGAGCTACAGAAATGATTCCACCTTCTAGCTTAAATATTTCTGGTTATAGAGACCCAATGAAGTGTCACAAACAAAATGACAGAATTAGATTTCAGAAAATTGGCTGGTGGTATCATAAGTTAAGTATAGACAGTCACAAGGCAAGAGTGAATATGAAAATAAAACAAACAAACAAAAAATAGGAGAGATGGGGCTTGAACTAACAAGGCAGCAGGAGAGGAGAGAAAACATCACAAACAATTCCTTGTAAGATCTGGGAGCTTGGGGCCGGTGCTGTGGCCTAGTGTGTAAAGCTAAGGGTTGCAGCACCAGCATCCTCTGTAGGTACCAGCTGTTGTAGGTGTTTGGGGGAGTGAAAGAAAGATCTCTGTGTCTCTTGCTCCCTCTCTGTAACTCTGCCTTTCAAAAAAAAGAAAAACAAAACTTAAAAATAATATAAAAAAAACAGGCTGCTTTCTATATATCCGATATTTCTTGCCTCAAACACTCCTAGTAACATCACTCATGGGCCAAACAAAATGATCAATTTAAAAACTTAGGCCTGCCACAGATTTATGGAACTTCAAGTCCCACCTGCCACTGCTTAGCAAGGATAGATCAAATTATTTCAAGGACCTTATATAGCCCATGAGCAGAACAATCCCCAACTAAGCATCCAAACACTCTGCTACATCAAACTATGATTTATGGTTTCTTGACATTCCATGTTGCGAAACATCTAAGACTTAGTATACAAGTCCCTAAGTCTTCCTTCCTTCCGACCCTCACTTTCAGAATGCTAAATTCTCAACAATTCTTGTGGCACTACATATTACCCACTATTGTATTTCATAAAGGTACCTTTCTTTGCATCTTGACTGTATCCTAAATGTTGAGCCCAGACTGTTTTAGTTAGTACTGTATCTGGCTATGGCCAGCAGAAAATGTACTCAAATAAAAAGGCAGCTCAAAACATAACACTGAATTTACTTTTAAAATTAAATTTATCTTCGTCCCAGTTGCTTATTACCAACTTTCTCTTCGTCCCAGTTGCTTATTACCAACTTTCTCTTCCCATTAGGTAAAGTGGTAGAATTTTTCATTTTCATCTTATCACTAATGAAGTATAACTTGGCATCAGAACAGGTATTTGGCAACATCTGTAATTTTTTAAGCTATTAGGTTTCTCATGATGCTTTTAGGTCTTTCTATTTATGCTGTGTAAGTTTATAAACATTTAGGAAATCTATACTAATCTTTAGGCATAATGACAGGACACAGATTGCTATCAATAATGAAGAAAAGATAAAGTATGCATAAAGTACATGAGCAAGACAGAACTACAACAATGACAAGTTATTAACATTATTACACTAAATACATACATGTTAATTATTAATAGTAAACATTCAAGTATTAAAGTAGCATACAAAGACGCACTACTCTAACAGGAATTTGGTACAATAACATACAAGCATTTACTACTAACAAAAATAGCCAACAGAAGTGGAATTCTAATCATGTAGGATAGTCACAGACAAGCGAAAATCATGGTATACTTCAGGATTATTTCAAAGTCATTCAGATTAAACAATCACCCCCACTGACTTTGGAATTAGGAGATTTTGGGGATAGAAAATCAATGTTAAATCTTAGAAAGTTCCAAGAAAATCAAGACAAGTTGGTTACTCTGCGTGAGTTAAAACAAAAAATAATCACAGCAAACTAGCCAACATCAACAACAACAACAATAACAAAAGTGAAAAAGGCTATTCCCTGCCCAAAAGGAACCCAAGTGCTAATCACTTTGGGTTAATGAGTAGTTTCTGCATATGGTTACTAAGAAATATGCATTTTTTTATGCCCTGATCAGCCACAATCACCTCTGTCATTACTAAATGATGTGAGGTATATGCAAGTCTATTGCAATCCCCAAAACAGACACTCCTAAGACTGGTATGGACTTTGGAAAACATTCTACACTGTCAAAAACCTCCTCCAAACCACAAACATCCGGATTTTCAAATGGCTGATTAATGGGTACATGCAAAATGCATCACAACAGATAGGAGCAAAGAAAAAGAAATCTTCAGAATAATTCAAGCAAGAAGAGAACAGAGACTATCTTGCAAAGTCAATGTTTATTTGTTTTTTGGAAGTAGAAAAACTTAAAATAGTTCACACGTTATTTGTTCCTTATTAGTTGGGTGGCCTTAGACAAACAATGATTTTTTTTTCTAAGCCAGAGTTTCCATGCCATGGGTTACAGAAAGACTGGGCTGGGCCTGTCAGACCCATAGCTCCTGGGCTACTTGGCACCAGCCATGACTAACCTGTTTGCACAGTATACTGTACCTCTGTTCTCACATTCAATCTTTGTTATGGCATGATGATGATGGAAAACAGTGCTCTAAGCCATGTATTTCTTCATGAATAAAATGTGTAAGATTTCAAGCTCCTCAAAGAGTTGTTGTAAGAGGCATGAAAGTGTTTATGAAACAGTGTTTAAGAAGTGTTAGGACACAGTTCATTACTGAAATGTCTTATGTGGATAGGATAATACATTAAGTAACTAAAATCCAACAGCGCGGCAAAAGAGGTTGAATAATCAAACACAGACACTAAGAACTCACCTGACCAGAGGATGCTAACAAATTAATTGTTGTCAAGAGCATCCAGCCTCTACTGGCTTCTTCGCTCTGATTTATCTCCAGGAACTGGACTATGGCCCGACTTGCGGCCTCTGTAAAACCAAAAGGAAAGCAATTAGGGGGAGAGGAAAATCACCTAGCAAGATGGTTGCCCTTATAACATACAGGTGAAATGAACATTTGTCAAATATAGATCTTATGCTTTGGTTTCAATGTGGTTTGCCCTCAAAGGGCTCATGTGTTAGAAGGCTGTTTCTCAGGGTAGCAAAATTGTGAGTTAGGGGCTTAGCGTCAGGTAATAAGGCCATTGGAACCAATGACTTTGGGAGGAACCAATGTAGTTCTTATGTTGGTTCTCATGTGAGTTGGCTATTACTAAAGGGTAGGAAGGGCACTTTCCCACACTTGGGCTTACTGAATCACCAAATGATCTCATCCTCTGGCATGCATTTCCACCACTGTGATGCCATCTGCCATGAAGCCCTTTTCTAGAGCACAGCAAAAGGCCAGCTGTATGCCCTTGAACTTCTAAAACCATAAGCTAAACAAAGCTTTTTTCTTTATACATTTGTCAGTGGCAGGTATTTTGTTATAGCAATGGAAAACTAGACTGATACAGTTCATACTAACATTATTATGTATTGAATGGAAAAACATTTTAAATGGTAATAGTTTATTAGTACACATAAGCCCTTATATCATTAATAAAGGTTGACATGTAAAAGTTAATCTATCCATTTATCATGAAACAATCCAAAACCATCATGGAAGCAGTAAAATATGAGCTGAATATGCAGGGAAAATAAGCATATGTTTGTACAGGAAGTGGATAAGAGAAAGGACACATACAGACTGGGAATACAGTGATAAAATCAAAATGTTTCCACATTTATGAGTCCATCATACATATATCAAAGCAAAAAGCACTGTAACAATGGCTTGATACTTCAAACCACTGATGTTGCAAAGTAAAAGTATACAACATCCATAATAATAATAATAATAATGGAAAAAGTAATAAAATACAGTTGTCTAATTATAAAGATGGTACTATTTGACTCTTTGGGCAAGCGGGGGCAAATGTAATTTTTAGAGTGCAATAGATGATTAAACGATTATTCTAAGCCTATTGCCTTGGTAGTAATGTGTCTGGTGAATTAAACCACCAAAGGAGCAGGTGGAAAGGAAATAAAAGTGAGATGCTTACTTGGTAATATACGTTGGGATAACCTGAATGGTACCAGTAGGCACAGAGAAACTGAAGTATGAGAGAGTCCTTTGCAGAGCTAAAGAGCTGGAAGGATCTCTGCCAACAAATTTCATTGGTTACAGTATTAGAGAGAAATCAAGAAATCCCTAAACCTGCAGGTTACTTTCATTAACAGAGTTATATCAATTTGTACGGTGATTTATGGGAGAGTTGGCAGAAAATAAGTCAAATCGGTTCACCATGAACACATGAGGAAAGACTTTAATATACACTTACTACATTTCATAAAAAGGCAGACAGTGGATTAAACAGAATTTAGATTATGTTAGAAGTATGTCTTATCAGATAACCGAGCATAAGACTTATTATGATTCTGTGCTGGGCACATTTCATTTTTAAACATTTCCATTTGGAGGAACACTTTAAAAGGAAAAACTTTTAAAATAGCTATCTTTATTGAGTCTTAACTACATGTAAAGTACTTAAGTGCTTGGGAGTTTACCCATTTAATCCTAAAAGAACATTATGAGTTACTTTCTATTCATATAGTTCCTATTCTAGTATAAATTGAGAGAAGGAGAGGACAAGCTGTTGCCAACAGTTGCATAGCTAGTCAGTGAACTCATATTCCAATCCAGTCTGTCTAGCCTGGAAGAAGCAAAGATAGTGATTTTAAAAAAAAAATGGTCAGGAAAGATGGAAGCCAACAGAAGCAAAGTTTAATTCTAATAATACGTCTTAACTGTTGAAATCACCATATTTTTAATAATTTTTAATAATTTATAGCCTCCCATTTTTCTCATGAAAATACATACCTTGAGGACAGACTTTCTGAAATCTTTGTTCACTGCTGACCCCTAGAATCTGGCACCTTCCTGGGCAATAAACAGGCACTCGGGAGATATCTGCTAAGGGACAGGAGTATGGCATAGCGCTTTAAGCTACACCTGCAACACTGGCAAGTCATATCAGAATGCTAGTTTGAAACCATCCTGTTCTCTTTCAGTTCCAGACCCATGTTAATTGATGTATGTGGGGGAGGTGGCAGAAGATAGCGCAAGTAGTTAGGCAACTGCCATCCACGTGGGAAACCACGATAGAGTTCCTAGGTCCTGTTTCAGCTTGTCCCAGTCCTGGCTGTTAAGATCATTTAGATACTAACCAGTGATGGAAGAGGTCAACCTATCAAGATCAAGGCAATGATAATAACAAAAGACACATCCAGGTTAACCTCTTGCGGACATCAAGAGGTTGGAATTTCTACAGTTAATTAGGATTCTGAAAGTTTTGAAACTGATCTGAAGCTGACGAAGCTGTGAGGATCTCACAAGAGAAAGGAGAAAAATATAAAAGAACATCACAGATAAACCTATTCCAAGAACAGTGGTTTGAGATTACCAGTAAAAGTTGATCAGCAAAGAATTCAACAATTTGGCAAAAACTCAAAATTCATTTTTTTCTTGATTGAATTTAACAATGCTCACATCAGAAAGACATTGTTAAGTGGTCTGCAAAAAGTTCATGGGGACTGTATCATGGAGGCAGGTATGTACATTTCAAGAGTGTGGGCTTTTATGCTTAGGCTGAGCAGAAGCATTAAAGGATATCTTTATTTAAGACATCTTCGCTGACAAATAATCAGTTAAGAAGCCAATATTCTACCTGTTGTCAAACAGTACAGCACATTCCATGGGTTACTGTCCTGACTAGATAAGACAGTGTATGTGAAAATAAATTTTCAACTACCAAAAGAATACAAGAATACAACTTACATTAGTAAGTTCCCATTCAGCACCTTTACCAACCTAATAATAACAATTACCCTTTTTGAAGAGAAGGGGAAGACAAGCTAAGTTACATCAGCAATGATATAAAATTATACTATCTTGGGTGATATTTTGATACCATACAGATAATGAAGACTGGAAAGGGTTGTCTTTGAAGGACGTGGGGGAGATCTTTAACTGTATTGACAAAACAAATATATACAAGGAAATCATTTTCATCTACCAGTTAAACATTATCCTTCAGAATATCTCAAAAAGATCTCCCCTTTCTATTTTAAACAAGGTCAGTAGTTCATTTTATCAACATTTAGCATTTACATGTATAACAAACACTAACATTACATATACTAGAAAGCCAGCCATACAGCTTAAACCCGGACCGGTGGGACAGCAGGGAGGTTGGGGGAGCCGAACTCATAGTCACAAAACTATTGCAGTACATCTCCTTAATATTTAACAAATACAGACTTCAGTGATGATTCAGGCTAAGGGTAGGACTTAATGAAATAAATGTGTTTATGTCAACTTCTCCTCACAGTTGTCAAAAATTTGATCCAAGCTTTAGCTTTCACACTTTCAATACATACAGTTAGAATGAAAAGTACACAAGTAGGGTCAGTAGAGTCTGTAATTAGATTAAATAAGAATGTAGACAAACTTAAAGCAAATGTAATTTGCCAGCATACACTGAGAAAATATAAGTGAATTCAATTAGCATTCAAAGCAATCAAAACACAAGAGTTGTTAAAAAATGCAATAGGCAACTGTTCTATAATGGCAACTATTTAAAGCAAATGTCAGCGTCAAATGTATGCTTCAAGGTGGTGGTGTGAAAAACATTATTATTATTATTGTTGTTGTTATTATTTTCTTTCAGCAATGAGGAAAAAAAGCCTTAAACACTTCTGCTCCATCCAAAAAAAAAAAAAAAAGGAAAGAAATCCACAAGTTAGTCAGAAAAACAGTATTAGAACTGAGAGCTCTCATGCTTCTTATTTATAATACATAACCACACCTTGGGATTACCTGAAGGTGTTGTGGCTTTGAAATCCTTGGAGGACAGCGGAGCACACTGTTTTTCTGTTTGAAAAAAAAGGCTGGGTTGTTGAATTGGGGATTCATTACATTCCACCAAAGCTGCCACCAAGGCATTGTGGTCAGCACCAGGCACCAACTGGGACGGCCCCATTGGATTAATGGTGGCACGAGAAAGGGGGCAAACTCATTAGTAATAAACTGAAGACCCTATTTTTACACAGGTGGAAATACCCTGCTTCACTAATGAAAATTGATCATATCTCTTTAAAACGAAGCAGAATTAGCCTGAAATAACTCAACAGACAACTCAAGAAGATGAAGAACAATCTTAATATGTGTTCTACACAAAATAGGGCCACAAAATTATTTTTGGTTTCTGAAACTATCTGTGTCACTCCACACATTTAAGAAAAGCCGCATGGAAGCAACAACCAAGAGACACAAAAAGATAACTGCGAAGTTTCCTAGTGTATAAAAAAGCACTTCATATATCCATTCTGCATCATGCTACTGTAAACATTTTCTATTGTTACTAACTTCCCTTAGATCTTAACAAGAAAATAAGTATCAGTCATCCTGTAATATCTTAAGAATAATCTGATAAGACTTCATGTGTTAATGGTGTTTACATAACAAAAAATAAGTTACGTTATGTAACTTAACTTTGCAAGAAAAGGAGTTGTGGGAAAAATAATCTTATCCTAGTGCACAATAAATATAGCCAATTTTCAAAGCCGCAATAGAGGGCTTATTTGAATGTAAATGACACAAAAAGTCTTCCAATGACAATTTGCTATAAAATAAATGCTTAAATGGGGACATTAAGTAGACAAACTTACAGAGGCAGAAAGTAGAATGCTGACTAGTAACCCATGGCTGGGGAGATAGGGAAAAGGAGGGTTGCTCTTCAACATGTAATTATGAAGTTTCGGTGGTGAAGATGGAAAAGTTCCAGAGATGGTATAGATAGTTAACAATGTGGTACCACACACTCAACATTTCCTGAGAGGGTGGGCCACCTCCTGCTAATTCATTTTTAATCACAAGAAAACAAATA